TGGTCCATCGAGATTATGCCGTGACTTACGACTTCGCTCTCTCTCTCGGTCCATTCGTCCCTCTCTAAATCTATCTTCTATGTCCACCTGTACGCGGACGGGGTGGATACCTGACGCACCCCCGAGGATCTAGAAAATCCAGGTCTCTTAACCCTTTCGCTAAACCGGACGACTGTACTCGCTCGTCACGAAACGCCATTTATGAGTGATTACGCTTAAAAAAAAAAAACAAGCAAAATTCTTCATATTTTTATCCGCAGAATTATTTTGACATTTTATTTGTCGACGTACAAATGCTTTTGTACGAATTTAATGGTACAAGGTATAAACGCCGGAGTGTCCGTACCTATTTCATGTATACGCTTTTGACGTGGCGTCTTTGTCGGGGATGGCGTTCCGTCTTAGGGAAAAAATTAAAAGACTTCCAGAAGGTGACACCACTAGGGATAATTCGGAGGCCGCAATTTACCGTCTGACTCATCAGCGGTCTCCGAGTCGCAGCATCCCTGGACCACGTCGAGGCCACCCCTCGTCGGAAATCCGTTTTTCGTCGACGCGTCACCGAGCTGACGCGTCCGACGAGGGGAGGGAAGGGACACGTCGACGTGTCTCCAGATAAAACGTGTCGTGGTTAATGAAAAAAATTGATACGATCTCCCGGCCCGTCCGACGTCGCTCGTGCCCTCGGACGACGAGGCGAGATCCGCGAGAAGAAAAAAAGAAAAACGGCAGATCTCCGAAGGAATCTAGAGCGAAATCTCGCCCCAGGGGTTGGGACAAATTTTCAGGACCCACCCCTGGGGAGGGCCCAACTTGAACGATAAATTTCCTCCTCGGACGTCGAGCCTACGAAGGAAACTCGTAACTCGGAGGTCCGTTGATCGTAATTATGATTTACGTCCGGAGAGAGAGTTGCTTCCTCCGGAATTTTAAGGGTAGGGAGGTCGATCGGGGAGGGACCTTGAAAAAACGTGACGGGGTGGTTTCTCCCGTTGGAAGTCTCGAGGGAGATAGAAAAAATAGAAAAAGAGGATATATCCAGGCTCGAACGGGGAAGGGGGACGAGGGTCGCTCCTGGACGTCTTTCTTCCCCAAATCCGAAGGAATCCGAATGGTAACTCGATCTACAAGGGCCCGATGGGGTGCACGGGGTCTCTTCCCCCATTCTTGGTCTGAGATCGCCGAGCAATTACCTCGGCGGTGCAATTACATATTTAATTACCTATTACTTTGATTGCCGGTAATAATAAATAATGGATCGGGAGGTTGCACGGAATGATGCTTTCGCCTTGCCCCAAAGCAGCACGCAATTATATCGACGGTGTAATTACCTTCCCATTTACATCACGATTGGCTCGGTTGATAGCATTGACGGTCACATTGCTATGACCTATTTAGGGATCCATTAATTCAATTACGGATAAGTACCGGTAAACAAGACCCGGGAAAGGACCTTTCTTAGGAAGGCATTCCTTTGGTGCGTACCCAAGTTTCCCGGATTTAAAGTCCCTCCATCTTTGTCGGAGGGGCACTTATCCCTCCCCCCGGGCGATATTTCAACTCGCGATAATTAACGTTAGTGTTTCGCACGAGTCCGACCATTTCGGTTTATGCCAACCTAACGAATGAACTGGAATAAATCGACTGCAGGACGAGTCGACCTCGGAGGCGGAGGAGCTCCTCGGGGAGGATCTTGAATTCCACCCTCGTGGAAATTGAGGAAATGGGGGAAATCAAGGAAATCGAATTCTCCTTAGGCCATTTCTCAGGAGCGGAGCTTAATTCGCAAAGTTCGGGACGGCGAAGAGGCGCTTTTATTTAATCAAAATACCCCGTCGCGACTTTTCCACCCCCGAAATTCCTCCCTCCTCGGCAATTCTCCTCGGTATCGGACGGAGGAAAAAATCCCGGGGATTCCTCGGATGGAGCGCGGAAGGAAGCATCGAAAGAGGAGATTTCCTCGAACCTGCCGGCTCTAGAATCAGCCCCGAATGCGCCCTTTTATTTAATCGAGATTCTCGGCCTCGCAGCCGGAATGGCAGCCGCCATTCGGGGCGTCTTTCCGCCCTCCTTCCTGCCCCCTTCCGGCCCGAACTCCGCCGATATCAAGGCTCGATGTCAATCCAGGGTTTTCACGGTTTCGGATCCGAGATCAGGGGCGGGTCGAGAGAGGGACCGGAGGACCCAGCATCCCCTCGGACTACACTCCCTGTCACTCAAAAGCCGGGGTGCCAGACAACGGGGGTGATCACGACTACCGTGCCAACGCACCGCTATATTCCTACGCGTCCGGCTAACTTGGCAGTGTATTGTCTGCGGGAAATGGAGGGCCACGGAAGGGTGGATATATCCCTACCCTCGTGATTCCAAGCGGAGCCGATATTCCTGAAAGTTGCCCGGAACAACGAGACCTTCCTTTTTCAAGCCGCGGATTGCAAATTGCACATTCTTAGGGGATGATTGGTGCGCGTCCCTCTTCGTGATACCTCGAAAGCCGAATAATTGAAATTCTCATAGCGAATCACGCGGGGAAGTGTTCTCTCGGAAGTTCCCGTCGTGGAAAAAGTCCTCGGACGTCGGGACCAACCCCGCGGTTGGGGATGGTCTGATCGCGGCGGAATGATCCTCTTGACAAATGCGCCCTGGCGGGGTACAAGAAAACGGACGCAAAAAAGGGCCGGATCTCGAGTAACTCCGTCCTCGAAGTGACCGGGGTTACATTTTTCAAAGTCGAAACTTTCCCCGGGTTCCCTGCGACTTGCCGAGCAGTTGCGGAGGAGGTGCGGAGGGGTCACGGGGAGAACGAGATGCACCAACGCAGATGGGGTGGCTTCAAGGACGTGAAAACTCTCGGGATATTTACAGGAGTCTAAGATTCGAAGGGATTTAACATCCTATTCAAGAATACCAACAAAGTAGGAACTCTCAACATTTTGACGAATTTCGAATCCTCCTGGAAATTCCCCGTCGCGATAAAGCGGACGAAACGTTGGCCCACCTCGTGCTCCGCGGATTTAGATAAAAAGGCAAGCCGACCAAATGACGGATTAAACCGGACCGAGGAGACGTATAAAATTGGAATTATCCTGCCAGGAAATTTAAATACCTCTTTATCTCTATTGCGCACCACCGTGAGATTTTGGAAAACTAGTACAGGGGCGAAACCTCCCCCCGACCTCGTTCGCATTCTTTTCCACGAGTTTTACATGTTTCATCCCAGGAATTTGAACCGTACGATTTTGCCTTTTAAACTGTATTTCTCGCCACGTTTGTTCCAATTTTTCGTGGATGCACCCTCTCGGCCCGCCATGGGCAATTTTAAAGGGGATGAAACATCCGCGTCCGGCGCGTGACGCGGATTTAGATAAAAGAAAAGCCCACCCAATGGCGACGGACTAAACTGGCCCGTGGAGAATTATGAAATTAAAATCAGCCGATTGCGAGATATCCCTTTATCGCCGTTTTGCACATGCAGGAGATTTCGGAAAGCCCTTTTGGGGTCGGCGCCTCGAGCTGCCCCTTCCTCCCTGTCCGTCCAGTTTCCACCTTTATTACTCTCCCGCCATATATTTCCTATTCCAGATAACGCTGCATTAAAAAAAAAAATACCCCAATTTTACATTTCCCCTCTCGCCACCGATAATATCCCCCTACCCTATCATCTCTTTCTCTTTTTGCCTACATTTCCCTGCACCCTCCTCCCTTGGCGTCCCCAATCCAGTCCCCCCTTTCACTTCTTTTTCTATCCGCAATTCTCTTTATATTATTACACTCCACCACACATCCTCTTCCTCTTTCCGTTAGAGCATTTCCCTCTCATTGATTCTACTTTTCTCTCCATCTCGCTTCCTCCCCTTTCCTCGTCCCGGTCTCTTTGGCTCTAGCTCCATTCAACGCACCGGCGAAATAAATCCGAGCGTGCTCGGACCTATCCCGCGGGATTTCCATAATTTGAATTGTAAAAGTATTCGGCGCCAATTGCAGTCCCCGAATTTATGCATTCCGCCCTCCTCGGGTCGTGTTCGACGATTTAAGCGTTCCAACGGGGTCCGCACCCCTCGGAGAGTCCGTACACCCTATACAGCCGGGTGTCTAGGGAATTTTCACCAAAATTGGTGGCTCTGCCCTCGCTGGTGCCTTCCGGCCGGTCAGGAAGCGTGCTTCCTGCGGCCTTCCTGCCCGATATCTCCGGCGCTGATTGGCCCATCGTTGTGTCCGTTTCCCCAATCCCTCTCCCCTTTTTTCCAACCCATCCCACCGGTGCAACTGCAATTTTTTACCTCCCGAACCTCGGAATTTCCCATTACTAGTACTTCCGAATACATTAAGACGGTTGAGTTTGCACGGTAAGCTAACTCGAGGGAGTTCACCCGAAAACACGGAAGCACCCTTCCCACCTTGGCGTGAGCGAAATCGACGACATGGCCGAGCATAACGAGCAGCTCGTGTCCGGTGAGCAGAACGAGTTAATTAATCCTCCGGAGACGCGGTTGCACGTACGCCACGCCGCGCTAATTACGCGCGTATGAACACACCGCGAACTTCTACCGCGCGGCGCCGCCACCTCCTACTCGGACGCAGCCCACTCCTTCGCCCAACGTCTCGCCGACGTGATATACAAACATTTCGATCCGCATCAGCATATCATTGGCGACAAGGTGAGTATGACTTCGCCAGGATGGATCTGACAATCCAATATTTCTGTTTATAGAGACGAAACCTTATCTGAAAGAAGAAACAAATAATTAATCCAAATGTCCAGTGAAGTCAACGTTCTAAATCTAAGAATTTTAATCTATACCACTATACGATCTTTCCAATGAGAAGATAATTGTCTTTAATATAGTACCTAGTAAAATGTTTAAATAACCTATAGTAGTTATTAATATCGGACCCTTTGTTAACCCCTTAACTTGTGCGCACGAGTTAATTCGAGCGGCGTTGTATTTTATGCTACTATAATTTTTCACCCTCGAATATAATCGAGAATTTTATTTTTTTGCCAAGACAATGTTCTAGTGTTTTTTTTTTCCTTAAAATAATTTATTTTATTTTTTTTAATCTGTGCATTAAGGGGCTAAAGGATCGCTTCGAAAATGGTTTGTCACATTTGCCGAGCAGATATGTCTATTATGTAGATTGCCGGTACGACGAAGAAAGAACTCGAGGACGCAATCGGGGCCTTCCACTCGAACCCTGGAATTGGCGAGTCGATCGTAATTAGTCGGACAGCCCGTAAAGCGGAAACGTACTCCCTTCGTTCCGGGAGCGTCGTAAACGAAACAAGTCCGTCCGGCAGGGCCGGTTCGCCGCACGAGCGCGGCCACATTAGCGGCATGTGTTCCGAGTGCGTGCGACGTGATCGATTCTCCCGACGCGAGGCGCTTGGCACGCACGCGTGTACCCACGTGTGCACGCACGTCCGCGCCTCGCGGATATTGCGTGGGCCGATCGGACTTCTTTCGCAAGGTACGAGGGAACTACCTAGGCGTCATTGTCGGTTCACCTATTGCGAACTGGGATCTCGTCCATGATGCAAAGGAGACAAGACGGGCTCCCACGGAGGTCGCACTTTTGTCTGGTTCCATGCCTTCCGAATCGCCACCACGCTGCAATACGACAATAACTTGATTACCACTACCATGACGAATTGATTATATGTGCCCATAATTATGAAAGTGGTCTAAGTCATATATTTTTTGTTTCGAAATTACATTGAATTAATTTCGTTTGAAATAATATGCCGTGAAATAACTGATAAACTCATTTTTTTTTTTTTTTTTTTCATTTTGACTTAGACCACTTTCATAATTATGGGCACATATCTTCGAGATCAAAAAATGGTAAGACCATGTAAAAGGTGGAACGGAAAAACAAAAAGTCTTACCATTTATGCATTATTTTCATATTTCATCTATTTTAAAGTTACTTCATTGGTCCGTGTAAAATGTTGCAGTACCTGAGTCATATATTTTTTGCAGTACCTAAGTCATATATTTTTTGTTTCGAAATTACATTGAATTAATTTCGTTTGAAGTAATATGCCGTGAAATAACTGATAAACTCATTTTTTTTTTCATTTTGACTTAGACCACTTTCATAATTATGGGCACATATCTTCGAGATCAAAAAATGGTAAGACCATGTAAAAGGTGGAACGGAAAAACAAAAAGTCTTACCATTTATGCATTCTTTTCATATTTCATCCATTTTAAAGTTACTTCATTGGTCCGTGTAAAATGTTGCAGTACCTGAAACCGTGAAAAATCTCGCATGAAAACTCTCGCCGGTATCAATGATGCTGCAGAGGTTCGCGGCTTAAGGGTAAAGAAACAAGAAAGAAGGAAATTGTTTGTCCGTCCCACCCGAAGCATGACGTGTTTTTAAATGCAGATTCCTGTAAATCCCCCGGCAGGCTTTATATTAGTTTAACCTCGGATCCCTGCCGACGCGAATGCGTGTACGTGCGGACGTGCCGGGCAACCGCGCGTACCGAGTTCTTGCGTACGTGCGGATATTGCTCGGCTCGACTCGGCTTCTTTCGGGTATCGCCGCCGACTTATGATCTCGAAAGGGGCCGAAGAAAACGAGTACCAAAAGTTACGGCGAAACCCGACTAAAGGAGATAAATGTGCCTCGGAAGGACAAATATTTCCTGAGCCGCGTGTATTATTCTTTGTTTTCTTTCCTCCTTGGTCCAGACTTCCTTCCGCGTGGAGAAGGGGGTGGAAATTAATTGGGCCAAATCCTCTTTGAGGTTTCGTCACGTGTCCCCGTCGTGGTTTTCGAGAAACGTGAGTCTCCTCCTCTGCCTCTCTAGACGGGGGCGAGATGGATATTAATTGGGAGAAAAGTTCCAAGGGCTTTGGGGAGCCTGTCATATGCCAAATTTTTGGCAAGATGAGGTATGCGAGCTTCTTAACGCCTGCTCTTGTCATTTGCATCGTCTTCGCTGAAGGTTCTCGAAAGGCACGGCGCCTTAATTAGCTGCAGTGACACGCGTGAACGATTGGACCTCGTCTAATAAAACGGCGGCTTAAATCCTAAAAATGAGTCGAGCCAATTAAAACCCCATACCGGATAAAATTGAGGTTATGTAGGTTAATAATTATCATTAAACCATTATCGACTGGCTAAACTCTGTAGTGTAGGATTTAAAGAAAACTATAAATGTCGATCACGGGATGAGGGATTAATCCCGTGGGCAAGAATTTCGGGGAGAATTTTTATTACAATGCAAACAACATGTAGGGATGCAGAGATGGTTATTACTTTGGGCTCTCCAATGTCGTGGAAAACGCGATTCAATATATTCGAAGAACGCGAATCGGACATGCCGGAGGGCCGCATCTCCATGTAAATGAAGACTCCGGCGGCGGATTAAATGAGAGTTTAGGAAAGAAGAATTAACCGGACAAGAATATACCCAAGAATTCCTATCCCGGTGGTTTCCCTCTTTTTGTCGACATTCTTTCCCTCTCCCGCGGAAAATAAAGGAGCACGTTCTTCCCCGGCGTTCGGATATCGCAGGGAAATCCGCTCGTTAAACCGTAACCGTTTTCCGGTCTCGCTCCATTTTACAGCTTTCCAACCCTTTCACTTTGTGCTAATTGCCTTCTCACCATTTGTTCGATCCAACGCATTCTTGGCTTCTTTTCCCGAATACCAACACGTTATCGACGACTCGCCCACGGTTCAGCACGCACGCGAAAGAATGTAATTAAACTAACACCATTGGAAATCGGTTAAGATACGTTGGAAGACGCTGCGTTCAAAATGAGACGGTGCTGCCATCTAGCGGTCACCGCCTCAACCGACACATGCAAGGTTAGAGATGTTGCAAACATAGTTTTCTACTTTACCAAGTTTCCAAAAGGAAATACCTTTTCCAGATTTTTGTTCCACTACCCGTAGCGCAAACAAGTTTGTCTCCTGTAGATATTTCGATAACCAAACGTCCCAATACGCAATCATTGATTTTAGAGAACACCAACATTCACGATGGTCGAAATTTCGAAAGTGCGACACTTTTAAAAGTGAAAATTCGGGGGTCTCTGTAGATCCGGAGATATGGTAATGGCGATTGGGGCCCAGCAAATGGTTATGAAAGTGGCCGCTAGATGTCAGCACGGATATACTACTAGCTCTTCTAGTTTCTTCTTGTAAATAACTGAGGATTTTTGTACGCGATTTTATGTCTAAATGTATGCGTGTGTGTCTACAATATAAGATCGATACCAGTGCTAGGTCTTCTTGGTAGTAATTAAATAAAGTCTCTTACTTCACCCCGCAAAAATGCAGGTAACGTTCCAGCTTGTCCATAGGTTATTGTGTAAATTGTTTATGAGGTTAGAAACACGACGCATCAGCAAACGACAACGAGGGGTATTCTTTCCTCTTCAGCTATAGGATATCGAATTATCCCTATGGAACTTTACATTTGTTCATTTTATATAGTTTAGAGTAAAATATAATAATAGTTGTAATGTGGTGAAAGGGGTGTTATCTTACCGTATATTTTTTGTACTTTTCTCAGACCAACATCCCTCTACCACTAAAACCCGTTAAAGGAAATCAGTTGGAGGACCGGCGACTCTGGGTTGGAAATCTTGACTTGAGAATTAATGAGTAAGTGTTTACATAGTTATCGTTTATACTTTATATAAAGTAGGGCTATTATCTGATGGATGTAGAAATCTACGAAACTTCGAATCGTCCTAGAAAAATTAATTTCTTGTTTGTCAACCGGTACCAACTCCTGAAACTCGTTCAAAAATATGGAACGATCGAAAAATTTGACCTGCTCTTCCATCGGTCGGGTCCACAAGCTGGTCAACCAAGAGGCTATGCCTTTGTCACATATAGAACAGCAGACGATGCTGAAAAAGCAAAGTTTGCACTGCATAACCTACGAGTTGGAGCAAAAAGTATCGTAGTTAGATGGGCTCATAGTGTAAACGAAGTAAGTATGACACTTTTATTCATTCGAATTTAACCATTTTTAAATGTTTCAAATTAAATACAGAACATGTTCCGTAATGTCTATTCACACAAACGTAAACAAAGTAAAGTCAAAATGAATATTAATACAATTTCAGATGGAGATTGATAAACCAAAACCACAAATAGATATACCTGCATTAGCAGGTGCTAAAAAAGTAGACAAGAGAATTAGGTATGGATTGTTATTTATTAGTTAGATGTTGCCGCTGAGCAACTTGTAGAGATTACAACTAAATACGTTCCTATTTTTTTTTCCAGTCGAGAAACAGCTATACAAGCAATTGAAGCAAAATTAAAGATGATGAAGGAATCAGAAGAGGAATTTGAATTAAATAAACCTTTAGATGGTGTACCAATTATACATCAATATCAAAAACCTGACAGTCAAAAAGCATCTACCTCTGCCAGGTATCATTATCAGAGCCGGGGAAGCCGGTATAACCAGAGACCATACAGTCGGCCTAGGTCGAGAAGATAATCACAACTATTTGTCAGATTACCACCTTCAAACCACATGACAATGTTTGAAGTTATCTTGAATCTGTACTGCTTTAACATAACTCTTACAATTAAGTTAATTATTTGTTTCTTATCATGACATGCAAGTGTAAATTGGACCAGTTGATAGTGTCACTCGCTGCAATTCAGCTTAAGAGTGAATCTGCCATGCACCATTGTACTTAATTCTTAAGTGAACAAAAACTGCTTCCTAAACGTATGCGTGTTCATGTGTGTATGTGTGTACGCATGTGTGGGAAACAGAGAAACGATTAGAATGTTTCTCAATTGACTGTTAATTTAGATATTCTTAATGACTTGTACACTGTATGTACCATCAAAGTACATGTATTTTGGTATATCGTCACTGTACAAAGATTTTTTGTATATTAAATAAGTCTAATTTGAATGATCATGTACATTTACTCAGAAAACAAACCAATTACCTACCAAATGTATTTGTCAACGTAACACTGGGAAATGTGCACAGCTTAGTTTGGAATAGCATCTGGGTTATTTCTGTATTTTCCTCGCATGTGATATGGTAACGGTACGACTTGTGGACAAGGTAATTGGCCAGGTATTTCACAAATGCAACTTTTTTCACAACCTACTCCAAAGTTGGCAGGGTTATCTTTCTTCTCCCGAGCAACTGCTTCCTTTTGCAATGTTTCTTTTGTCTTGCCAACTACGTTTATTAAATGTTGCAACAATTCCTCCTTAGTTTTACTATCTGCATCTATTAGCATTTGCTTTCCATCTTCTGTGAAATAAAGTGTACCTAATTAATTTTATTAAGTACACTATAAATTGACAATCCATTGCAAGTTAATAAAACCTACTTTGTACTTAATTTTTTTACCATATATCTAAAGGTTTACAAAAAGGTTTAATTTTCGAGCACCTATTACAGTAATCGGATCAAATATTTACAGTAATTTTAACGTACCAAAATAACATCTGAAGAATGGAGATGGTGTCATATTCCTAAATGTAACTACCTGCACATGTGGACTTTTATACTGAACCTGTGGTAAGTACCAAAATACAAAGTCCCTGTGGAGAAAATAAAGAAGAAAATATTTAAATGTATATTCACTGCAACCTAACCTTATAGCAGAAAACTTACCGTGTTCCTTCATGGTGATCACCCACAAGATTATAATTTACAGTGAAAATCTGAATTTTATCCTTCAGCACTAATTCCCCTGCCTGTAAATATTGCAGTGTCCTCCTGATGGGAGCTCTACCGATCATGAAAGGCATTTTTGCCTTTTAAAATTAATACCTTGGCTTGATAAAATTACTTTTAACTATGTTTCTTAATTGAATTTGCTATAAAATCATTTAATTATACTTTCAGAGCATTCGAAGAAAACACTTTTCTAACACCGGAATAAGGTTATGTGATAACAGCTGTGGAGTTCTTAGATCTTCATAGATGGCTAAGCACAGCACAGGACGAGATCGCGCGACTCTGCCCGTGAGCAATCTCCCAACTCATCTCCGTTTTCGAATTGGCCTAATCACCATAGATAGTGATGTTAAAGAGAGCAGCGCGAAAATTTAAACGAGCGATGGCTGCATCGTTCAAATACAGCGGAACACTGTAAAACAATATGAAAAAGTGAAAAGAAAGATGTTAAAGGTAGTGTGCATTATTTACAATTACATTCCTCGTGTTATAATTTAGCCATCTATCCGTTGCTTGCAGTTAAAAAGTGTCTAATGAAAACTTTCAAATGTAACGACCATATACGTGCACGAGAATTTTCAATATGGCCGACTACCGGTTGAAATGGGATTCTTATTTCTCATCTGCTATTCGAATTGTTCAAGGCAGAAATTGTTACACTTTCCTCAACTTTCCTGCTCCGATTCTATCCCCTTTCACTTTAAATTCTTTCTCCAAAAGTTTTTTATTTTTAGTCAATTTTAGTCGAATGTAGGAACGTGTCACTGGTGTTACACCGTAAAGACCTTCCACGTTATTTAGATTAATTTCTTCGTTCGTGGAAACTAGTTTCTGTGATAATCATTGACGTAAGTATGTTCAGTCGCCGGGTGAACTATATAAAAATTTAAGTAACACTGATAATTCTTTGAATAAATGTCACCCAGTCAAGGAAACTTGAAACGAGACTCCTTACCAAGTATACATATGTACATTAACTTCATCCCATATGGCTTTACTGTTAGTTTAGTGGTTTTTAAAATTAGTGCCTCTCTTTCACAATTCTTGTATAAGGAAAACTCTCTCTTTAAACTATTCTGCAACTGGTAATTAATTCCAGTAACAGTATTCTTCAAAATCTGTAGAAAATTTAATTATTAAACAGGCTGACATGTGCATATACATATACATGTAAACTTTCCATATGGTAAATTATATTAATACCGCTATTCCTTTTCTGCGCCTTTTAATACTTATTTCTGTTTTTCAGTAATTATTGAATAATCAAAATGGATATGTCGATGAGTGCAAAAGATATTCGTCAGGCGTACATAGACTTCTTTAAGAGCAAGGGTCACCAGTACGTGCATTCCAGTTCGACAATACCACACGATGACCCCACCTTGCTCTTTACCAATGCTGGAATGAATCAGGTAGATTTAAATAACACAGTCCCTTTATGTTAATGATTTTAATGATCTTTCATGTATTATATCGTTTCCAGTTCAAGCCAATATTTCTTGGAACTGTAGATCCTAACAGTGACATGGCGAAATGGGACAGAGTTGTCAATACTCAAAAATGCATCCGTGCTGGGGGTAAGCACAACGATTTGGATGATGTTGGAAAGGATGTATACCACCACACATTTTTTGAAATGATGGGCAACTGGTCCTTCGGAGATTACTTCAAGGTAAGAGTATTCTTATTCTATAGAATTCGATTTACTTAATAAAATTAATCAAACACTAAAAATTTACTTCCTCATAGAACGAGATCTGTACATGGGCCTGGGAATTATTAACTGATATATTAAAACTTCCTAGCGATCGCTTATATGTGACATATTTTGGTGGTGATGCAAAAACTAACTTACCTCCAGATGAAGAATGTAAAAATATTTGGATTCAACTTGGGTAAATAATACTATTCCATCATGATTATCTTTTCCAATATCCTCCTATTATTTATAAATATTAATTATAATGTCTTATATCAGGGTTCCAGCTTCACACATTTTGCCAGGAAATATGAAGGATAATTTTTGGGAGATGGGAGAGACAGGTCCCTGTGGTCCTTGCAGCGAACTGCATTATGATCGAATTGGTGGAAGAGAAGCTGCTCATCTTGTTAATATGGATGATCCAGATGTCCTTGAAATATGGAATCTTGTGTTTATACAGTATAATAGGTATCGTTATGCGGAATAAGATAATTAATATGACTTTTATAAAATAATAGAATTATGCTAAACCACTTTTTAGGGAGTCCGATGGTAGCTTACGACCCTTGCCAAAGAAACACATTGATTGTGGCTTAGGGTTAGAAAGGCTAGTCTCTGTTATTCAAAATAAGCGTGCCAACTATGACACTGACCTATTCGTGCCCTTGTTTGAAGCCATTCAGAAAGGAACTGGAGCTCGTCCTTATCAAGGGAATGTGGGAACCGATGATAACGATGGCATTGACATGGCCTATCGAGTGTTGGCAGATCATGCTCGTACCCTTACAATTGCTCTTGCTGATGGAGGAGTGCCGGATAACACTGGTAGAGGGTAAATTATACTTGATATAATCATTTCTATGTATGTCATTATATTCAGTTTGATTTTGTCAAATTTTCTGTAACATGGTAATTGCTCAGATACGTACTACGAAGAATCCTAAGAAGAGCTGTTCGTTATGCTACTGAGAAACTCAATGCCAAACCTGGATTTTTTGGTTCATTGATCCATGTTGTTGTGGACCTTCTTGGTAAATATATTTAATGATGGTATTCAATATTAATTGAATGTCATACTTTTTATTCTAATTTATGTGAGCATGTACTACTCCTAACATTCATTACAGTTTTTATCATTTTTTTTTTTTCAGGGGATGTATTCCCGGAATTAAGAAAAGACCCACAATCAATAGTTGATATTATCAATGAAGAAGAAATTCAGTTCCTTAAAACATTATCAAGAGGTCGGAATTTATTAAATCGAACGATAGCAAAATTAAAATCAACTACTGTTGTGCCTGGAGACATTGCTTGGCGTTTGTACGATACATATGGCTTTCCAGTAGACTTAACTCAGCTCATGACGGAAGAAATTGGTCTATCTGTCGATATGACTGGATACGAGGAGGCCAAAAAACAAGCTCAGGTAGTAATAGTTAAATGTTATGTATTTTAAGCATTAAAAGTATTAAATTTTTAACATTTGATGTGTGGGAATTAAGTATTATATCACCTGGTGAATGTTTTAGATTATATCTCAAGGTAAAACAGGAGGTGCGGACGACTGGATAAATTTAGACGTTCATGCCATTACTGAATTACAAAATAAAGGCATCAAAACAACTGATGACACTCCGAAATACGGCTACTCAGTAAAGTCTGAAGAAAAATATTCAGAGTATGAATTTGACACTTGTATTGGCACGGTGGTTGCACTGCGACGTGCCAAACAATTTGTAGAGTCGGTGTCATCTGGTGACGAAGTGGGAATTCTGTTAGATCGGACAAGTTTTTATGCGGAACAAGGTGGTCAAATTTATGATGAAGGTTTTCTGGTGAAAGTAGACGATGAGGTAAGAGAAAAGTTTGTTACAGATTTATAGAAAATAATTAGTGTTATCACTATTCTATTCTGTTTCTATCAGAACACGGAAATCCGTATCAAAAACGTGCAGGTCAGAGGAGGTTATATACTGCATATTGGAACAGTGTGCGAAGGTACATTACGTTCAGGTGACAAGGTTTCAACGAACGTGGATACTGTTCGAAGAAGGTTGATAATGAGCAATCACACTGCTACACATATTCTTAATTATGCTCTTCGGAATGTACTTGGTACCGAGGCGGACCAAAAAGGATCATTAGTTGCTCCTGACCGATTACGCTTTGACTTTACTAATAAAGGTATTAATTACGTAAACAAAATTTTAATCTAAATCGTGGAAAAGAAAGTGACTAACAAATTAAGACAAAAGACCATTTATTTTAAAGGAAGCATGAGTGCAACTCAAGTCAAGAAGACTGAAGAGACTGCAAATGAGTTAATTAACAACAAGAAAAAGGTTTATGCAAAGGAGAGCAGCCTGGCTTTGGCAAGAACTATCCAAGGTCTTCGAGCTATGTTTGAAGAGACGTACCCAGATCCTGTTCGAATAGTCAGCGTAGGAATTCCAGTAGAAGATTTGGAAAAGAACCCCTTGAGTCCAGCAGGCATGAAGACTAGTGTCGAATTTTGTGGTGGAACGTAAGGATCTGTCATTCTGAATTTAATAAATCGGCTCAATTATGCTTAATAATAATTTGATAATTTCATTTAGTCATTTGCATAACGCAAATCACATTGGTGACTTTGTAATAGTCAACGAAGAAGCTATTGCGAAGGGTATAAGACGTATTGTAGCTCTCACTGGACCTGAAGCATCTAAGGCCCTCAAGAAAGCCAGTTTATTGGAAAATCAATTGAACCAAATACAAACTGAGTTAAACGCAGATAAAAATGGTGCTAATATAAAAGAATATGTCAAAAGAATCGTTGAGTTGACGGAGGACGTTTCACGTGCAGTTATTCCTTACTGGAAAAAAGTAAGTAGAAGTGGTGCCTTATCATGCATTTGAAACTAATCAGATATACGTTTTGCATATAGGATAATATAAGAAATTCACTGAAGTCATTGAAAAAAGCTATTGATGACAAAGAACGTGCTACGAAGAACGCCATAGTGACAATTGTAGCTGAAACAGCAAAGCAAATGATTCAAGACATTCCTGGTGTTCCACTGATGGTTGAAGTCTTAAAAGCTGATAGCAATACAAAAGCATTAGATGCTGCGATTAAACAAGTTAGAGCGATATCCCCCGAGACTAGTGTCATTTTCTTTAGTGTTGACAATGAAGCCAAAAAAATCTTTGCTCTTAGCTCTGTTCCAAAGGTATCAAAGACATTAAAGAAACTATTAATTTCACAGAAATAGTTTAGAAGCAGTCTAATAACTGAGATAAATTTACAGAGTGCCATTCAAAAGGGTTTGAAAGCTAATGATTGGATTCAAAAAATTGCTATTCTCATGCAAGGCAAAGGTGGTGGAAAGCCTGAGTCTGCACAAGCTTCTGGACCAAACCTTTCATGTTTGCAAGAAGCAATTACGGTAGCCAAAGTCTTTGCCATGTCTAAACTTAAAACTGAAGCACAAGGTATGTTTAAAAATAATAAAACAAATAATTTAAATACAAAATTAACAGCATTCTAAAGTGAACGTTTATGCAAATTAAGACAATCAATTGATCATTTTTAATATGTATTGTATAAATTTTAGTTGCTGAAATTCCGAAAATGTGCAATGCATCATCGGACCCGAATGACGTCCTTACGAAGGAGAAGTCAAGGCCCAGTGGATTGATTCTTCTCACCAGTGCAGAAAGTGTGACACGATACCGAGCGGAAATAGTTGCCCAGTTCTGTCAACAAGTATTGACAGTGGAAATTGAAACAGAGAACAACCAAAAACTTCCAATTCTACAGGATGGGAGCCTAGAATTACGAGATAGTAATGCAATCGCATTTTACTTAGCTGATTCCTCTTTAAAAGGCGGAGATAACCTCTTTGACAGGAGCCAAGTAATCCAGTGGATGAGTATCGCAGATAACCATATTTTACCATCGGTGTTTAGTTGGGCATTAGCTCTTTGCAGTTCTGGCAAGGGAAAAAATTCTAAAATGATTTCCAAGGACGGTCGCGAAGACTTCCTAGCTATGTTAAAAAATGTAAATACCCTGTTGCTCACTAAAACATATTTTGTGGGCGATAGAATAACACTCGCTGACATTTCTATGTTTGTCAGTCTTTTACCATTTTACGAACATGTCTTTGATCCGGATACTAGAAAAAATTATGTTAATCTTAACAGATGGTTCAACACAATCCTACATCAGCCGCAAGTAAAAAATGTTGTGAAAAGTTTTAAAATGTGCTGCCAACGAAAGAAAATATAGATAAATACCAATTGTGTACTATCATAAGGGCAAAAGATTGCGATATTATTTGCTACTGCATGATTTCGAAAGATTAGAGTTTATACCATTTTATACAGTGCCTTTATCCTATATAGAAATCAATGTACTTTCTTTACTAGTTCTTTTTATAAATTAATATTGTCATTCTATTGTCACGAAGTTATTTCATAGAAATTAATTACATTTTACTGTGAACACATTAAACCATGTTTAGAGGGAAATTAATGAAGGAAATGTTTAATGCGTTTCAAGGATATTTTAATATCACTTAAAGCTAGGTTATGAAATTATAAAGACTTTTCTAAATCCGCCTTGCTATTGTTTAACTGTTTATCATACAATATCCTTACTTCCCTCAGCAAAATCGACACGTTATTTCCCTTTTTAGCAGAAATTGGGATGACTGGAAGGCTTACTTTCTCCTTTAATATTCGAAGGTTCTCCTACAAAGTCACAAATAAAATTATTTCTGTAGCAAAACACGTTCCAACATTGAAATGAAGAACTTAAAAAATAATTTAAAGGAAAAGTTGTTAAAAGTAAAAACTTAAAAGTTATATTAGGTTTAACTTTACTTCCAAATTATCCTCACCTCGGTGTCTGGTAGATCTATCTTATTAGCAATAATAATTCCCGGGCGTTCGATTAAATTTTGACTGAACTGGCTGATTTCGTATCTTAAAGTTTCCAAATCCCGCCACGGCTCGTCTAAAGAAATATCGAGAATAAATAGCAAAGCTGCGCAGCGTTCAGCATGCTTGAGAAATTGAATTCCAAGACCATGATTCTTGTGAGCATCCTCAACCAGACCTGGGAGATCTGCCACTAAAAAGAGTAAACGTTTACATTTGAAAAATATTCTAAGAGGTTAATTACTGTTAAAAACTACTGCGTGACCCACATGTCTTCACAGTGATTAATCTATTTTTCAAAATTCTTCAATTTCCAATTTAGGAAGTTACCTGCTATTTGTTCATAGTCATCGTACTCTATCATTCCAATGTAAGGTCGCAGAGTAGTGAATGGATATGAAGCGACCTTAGGTTTGGCTCTAGATATTGCTCGTAGCAATGTACTTTTCCCTGCATTAGGCAGACCAATCTAATTGAAAATGTAAATATTACATAGAAAAATCAAGGTTGTCAATAATAACGTGTTAGAATTAATGATTCGCATTTTTAAGTTGTGAATAATTTTCATACCAGTCCAACATGAGCCATGCTTCGTAGTTCCAAGACATACTGAAATTTCTCGCCTAAAGCACCATACTCGCAGATATGAGGAGATTGCTGTGTATCAGACTTGAAAAAAGCATTTCCGCGACCACCTGCACCTCCTCGTGCTGCGATGAACATCATGCCTTCTGCGTTCAAATCAGCAACGATTGTCCCATTCACTTGACGCACTATGGTACCAACTGGAACCTTGATTACAGTATGATCAGCATTTCTACCACAGCAATCCTTGTTGCTTCCTTTTTCTCCAGACTCTGCTGCTTCTACTGGTTTTACATGACTGAGGTCTTTTATGTCCTGTGATACCTACAAGAAATAACATCTAGTACCATTCATGTTACCCAACTAGGGATCTTAGTACAGAAAGATTTCTGGAATATTTAAATGCCAATTAAAAGAGCTTACTTCGAAGATGACATGTCCACCGTTGCCTCCATCTCCACCGTCTGGGCCTGCACGGTCATTAATGAATAGCTGCAGGAATGAAATCATTCCATCGCCTCCCTTTCCTGCTATTGTTCGTACCTGATAAAAAAAAAATCCCATTTCGATAAGATGTAGTTTAAAACACAATTGCATTCTTTTCATGTTGCCTAACCTACAGTTCGCATGTCGGTGAATCGTATGTCTGTATTTCTCGTTGACTTTGGTTTTGTTTTCCTTAACGGTAGTGGAACTTCACTTTCTTCACTTGCTGTGCTGCTGAGAGCTCTACTTAAATTTTTACTAACCATACAATTCAGACTTAGAGTTTTAATAGCAAGGTATGCAGTGGTTTTTTGTTTCTGCAGTACATGTAAATTTTGAATCCTACAAAGGACAGTCAAACGTCGGAGGGGATACATCTGCAAAAATTTATATATAATTATCATAATATTAAAATTCATTAACTTGTATAGCAATTATATTAAGAAAGGTAATTACAGTAAAATTTTTCAAGTTATAATGACATTTAATTGATCTTCTAAAATTTTCGCAATGATATTTTGATGAATATCGATTACTCGTTTCCTGTACAGTGGTAAACGGTAAGATGTATAACTGATCCTGTAAGTCTTTGTCTGTTTACCAGAACGAGGAAATGTATAAGACCTAACAAATGTAACATCATGTATTATCTGCCCTGCAGAATTATATAAAGTTTCAAACAATTTATATTGAGAAAAGTCAGCTGTGATGGCAAAGGTTATATCGAATTTAAATATTGGGGAATCATGAAATTCATTAATAGAAAACTCTGTGCTATTGGCAATGTCAATTATTTGCTTCCATGTAATGCCCTGTTTAAATTCTTGTAACGCTAATTGATTTGCCGGTTTGATACTCCAAACGTCTGGCAATCTACTCTTTATGAAAAAGTGCGTTAGAGAGTTTTCGATGTTGAATCTTTTCTCCATACTGCGGTAGCCAGTGTTAGAATAATTTGGAAATAACGTTAATTGGAAGGGTTCCACAGTTTTCAAAATGAAATTTCCATGTGCTGCCATTTCTACAATTTGCCAGGAATCATCCCAACGTCTTTGAGGGTTATCCGCAGCCGTACCACCCTGTCCTTTACACAGTGTCACTAAGACTTGTCCAGAGGGCTCCAAGCATTCCCCGCAATTTAAGAAGAATCGTTTCAGAAGATCTCTATTTTTATCTATTTTCATTTTGCCACCAACATGAGGAAAATTAAAAATGATCTTGTCAAAGCGTTTTAAATTTAACTCCGACCTTTCAGTTAGTTTCGTGGCATCAACACCTAATAAGACGTCGACATCTGAAAAGAAAAACATAGAATATCTTGTAAACATAATATATTTTTCCTTTTATATAAATTTTCAAAATGCTATGATGTATATTGAATACTTTTGAATAATATTGTAACTTATAAAATACTGACCATTTTTTTTAAGGTATTCTATGTTTTTCATTCTGATTTCACTGGCTACCACAGATTCATAACACGTTGCTGTCATCTTAATCTTTATGCCCTGATTTAGCAATGCTACAGCAAATGAAAAGTTGCCCTCTCCTACTAGCAATACTCTGTCATTTTCACAAAAGACCGATAACCTCATATTTTCCTAAAACATAGCCAGAATAGATATTCAAATAAGTCGCAAAATAATAAATTTCTAGCTCTGTAGAAAAGGTACGAACCTTTGAAGATAATGATTTGTTAATATTTAAGAAATTCTCTGATTCTTTCAATGCGTCACCAAATTCTTGTATGTAACCAAAATCAGTACATATAGTTTACCTTAAACAACCAGTAATAGTTACATATTTATTACGTATTCTGATACTTCGAAATTAATTGTTTTATTGAAATCATTTTGTTGTCCGAATGAAAAATCCTAAGGAAAACAAACCACGAGACTTAAGAGTATTTCATTTATCTATGACTGGGGTCTCATAACCTCTAAACCGTTTGCTGCCATCTATGAAGGCGCAAAATTTCAAATCAAATATAACAGACAACATAAAATCTCTTACAATGATTATTTAATGTACAACTCCTATGAAGATATGATTTTTTCAATTAAAAAACACGTAGGATCACTGTTGTATATTTCTAAAATCTATTATAAGTTTGTAATAATTAAATAAATTATTATAAACATTTGGTATAAGTTACATAAGGTAGCAATAATGTTTGTACTAGCTGACATGACTTGATTCTACTCTGTAATTGTGCCTAGCCAGACGATGATTCCTTCTAGCAGGCATTAACATTATCTGTGCCGCTCCCACTGCTCCCAATAATCTCTCATCTGCATTTCTGAAAGCCTGGAGATTGTTCTGTCAAAAGCGAATAATTCTTCCTCTCCAGTGAAAATATTCGACTTATGATTGTCCTAAAAAATGTGGTTAAATCAAACATATAACATTTGTTACAATAATCTAGGTTTGGATCATAAAAATAGTATAGGGCATCACTGGAATTTATGGACGTCGTAAAATTTAATATAAACTAATAAATCACAGATGCAATATATATATATTTTTTCATTACTTACAGATCCATGGGAAATTTTTAAATCATCCATTAACATTCGTTTTTCATCTGTATACTCAGAATCACCTTCAGCAACAAATAATTCTGTATGCGGTGCATCAGCAGAAATCACCAACCGAACCTAAAATGGTACTACTAATTATCAATTTTTTACGCATTATAAATAATTACTAACAATAAAATCCTTATAATTTACCCTGTTATCGTAAAGTGTATCTATAAGGGTGATGAATCGTCTAGCTTGTGACTTGAGCTTAAGATTTAATTGTGGAATATCTCTTATAATAACAGTATGAAAAATTTGAGATAGTTCCAAATAATCACTAGCTCCAAGAGGCTGGAATATGGAATTTTGTTATTAGATTTATACCAAGATTAAGTTTTATTTCTAATTATAAAGGAAATGATACTCTTGCATAAGAGAATAAGACATTACCCTGTCACATAATTCTTTAAATGTTGTATCGATAACTCGCCCGCAAGTTTTCTCAAACGTGACATTCCGCCCTTTAATTGATATAATTCGTGATCTTGGTACATCATTCTCCATTGAACATAAGTATTTAAATATCTTATCCACGGCATCATCTGGGTCTTGGCCTTTTCTTTGAATTTTTAAAATTTTCAGTAAATATTCAATGTTCATTCAGTAGAAACTTACATAAAGTAACTCCTATGTTGACCTGAATTTCCTTTCAGTCTATAATCAATCCCAGAGTCTAATGAAGTAACGACACAGCGATCCTTCAGGACTTGAATGAATGGAAGGAAATTTCCTCTTTGTAAACCATTCTTGTATAAATCATCTGGAGCCCTGTTACTAGTAGCCACTACAATTACACCGAGATCAAATAGTTCAGTGAAGAGTCGTTTTAAAATCATGGCATCAGCAACATCGGTTACCTAGGATATTTTCATTTGATTTAAGAAAACATAAACAACTTTAAATCAAGAATGACTACAAGTCATTCTTAAGTCACTAAGTTAAATGAATGACAGCACCTGAAATTCATCAAAACAAAGCAACCAAGCTTCCGCAGTGATGGCTGAAGCAACTGGAGGGATTGGATCAAATGGTTGCAGTTTATCGCTGTTGTTTCTCACAATCGTCTTTTTTACCTCATGAATTTTACTGTGTACGTCTAGCATAAAGGAGTTGAAGTGAACTCGCCTCTTATATGAAATCTGAAAATATCAGTTAAGATTTAGGACAATATTTCAATTTTGTTGGTCTAGAGGAAACAGTGCAGAATGTAATGCATATGGAAAGCCATGTTACTTATTTTACTTCTAAAAACCACTGTTCCCAATTCATGCTTTTTTTAAAATGTAAAGAAAAAAAGTCAACACAAATGTAATTTTAAATGTCTCATCGCGAACTTAAATTAAAATGATGTATTAAAACTATAAACTAATAATTGCAGAAAATGTTCATATTTTTCTAGTCAAACCTACATTTTTTTTCTTAGAGTAGTAAATATATTTAACGAAATGAAGAAATTGGCTCGTTGCAGCTGGCTCCCCATGTGCAATACGGCAGAGATGTTAACTGAGATACCTGACAGCAATTATAGAAAAGGTCCATCAACATTGTTTTACCTCCACCAACCGCTCCATAAAGGTAGAGCCCTTGCGGTACTTTTCTCTTTTTCTTGCTTTTTCCTATCCATTTGTTGAGAAAATTTGGCTTTTCTGGTTCGTAACCACACAAGTCATTGTATACCCTTTGTAACTCCGTAGTTATTTTGACTTGATGCTCGTCAGTCATCAATTCACCTTTAGATACTTTTTCTTTTAAAACGCTGATCGGACCATTGTCACAAACTGCACGTACAGTATCAGCATAATTGCAGACTTGTAACGATGCCAGAATGTGTGGATGTAACAAAGAAAAGACATGCTTAAAACCAATTAATTTTTTGGCAATGTAGTTTGCCATTATCAAGGTGCTTATCTGCAAAAATGCAAAAAATATCATTTGGTAAACGTAGCAATATATTCCCTTAATATAAAAGTCATTTTGAAAAATCCTTAACAATTTTCAATGACTGACCGCTAAAAATACCTTTATGAAAATAATAGATACTTTACTACAATCTTTGGTAATATTCACAACCGTTGCATTCTAACAATAAAAATGAATACATATTTGAGATCAAGAAAGACTGCAATTAACTTTAAATGGTAAATAGAAAAGCATAAAATGTATTACCTTAAGATTAAACGACAAGAAATTTTGGTGATATTTTGAGCCAAGGTGATATCGAAAAACGTCACGTGACGGACTTTGACGGACGATCGAGCGCTCTGCCGGTAAAATTACAGGAAAAAAATTACCCCCGAAAATAACAGCAGGTAGCGAAGGGTACCTGTAACTCATATTTCGAGGTTGTCAAAGATTCTCTGTCGCCTAGCGTTCACGCGCTGAAACTATTCCACACTTTAAATGAACACGGAATAGAGCCAGTAGGTGGACTGCAAGCGCTCTCCATAGTTCCCTAGAAAACCAATATGGTGGAACTTACAAGACGCCACCTGGCGAGTGCTAAGTACAGTTGTCCCGATAGATGTCGCTAGGCTCGGCTCGAAAACAGAAAACCGAACCGGTCATGGGGGCCAGTTAACGACCGTGCACCGCGCTCGCGATTCTGGGATTTTACCGCGAATTTCGGGATAATCATCGAGCCGCTAGTCGAGCAACGTGTCACTCTCGGCTCATTGGAAAAATGGGCGCCTACTTGTCGGAGCCGGTTACGGAGAAGGTCTCGAGCGACGGGTCGGGCGAGAACGTCGCCTTCGGCGCGAGCTCCATGCAGGGCTGGAGAGTCAACCAAGAGGTAAGCCGCCGCATTCATCGGCGCATACGTGCACCGTTACCTGCGACCTGCATCCCGATGCCGGCACGACCGAGCGAGCTCGACCTTTCTTCCGCATCTCCACACGTGATTCTCGAGTTTTCTATGTATCACAACACATCGAAATCATTGCTACACGCGAAACCGCAAAATTCGTAAAACGCGACCACTTCGAGGCACTTGGGCGAAGCTCGAGCGAGCTCGACTGTGACGGATGTAAAGCGATTTCTATGACGATACCGCTTTCCTCGGAGCGTTAACTCGAGCTAAAAGCAGCGTCAGATTGAAAAATCCACGATTTTTGGGCAAAAACGCCTAACGGCTATGTTATGCATTACTGAGGTGTCTTATGATACTTTTGGCTGAGCTTCTGATAAATAAACATGGCTGTATCAATCAGGGCAGCTCTGTATGGAAAGAAAGTTTTGTCTGAAAGATGGAGGCTTTCGTGCTAGGATGAAATGAAAATTGATAAATTCTAATAGTATAAATTAGTACGGCTTTAAGAGGTGGATCGTTTCAATTAGCACAAATTTATTTTGTGGCCATTTGATACCTAATTGAAAATGTTTTGTTTAATGACTCCTAGGATGCACACAATTGTTGTATCGAGTTTGACGAGAGTGTCTCCCTGTTTGCTGTATACGACGGTCATGGAGGACACGAAGTGGCTCAGTATTCTGCTGACAAACTACCAGAGTTTATAAAGAACACCGAGGCGTATAAGACAGGAGACATCAAACAGGCATTAATAGATGCATTTTTGGGATTTGATGCCACCTTGGCTAAACCAGAAGTTGTCAGTATTCTAAAGGAGATTGCTGGCACGACCAATGCGGACGGTGACAAAGAGAATTCCACAAAATCTGGTAAATTCTTTTCATACATATATTTTATATTCCTCGTTAACTTTTAGTGTACTTGTGTCTCGCTTTCTATATTAGCTATTAATATATTAATTTCTCTTTATTTCCTCAATTCTATATGAAAGCATTTAATATTTTTCTGATGTACCGTATTATGTATAGATGAAGAGGAAAACGTTAGTAATTTATGTATGGAGGCAACGATGCCATTGGAGCAGGTCATGGCGAAGTATCAGTCAGAAGGGACAAATCCTAGCATTAAGGCACTTAAAGGAGAGAAGTGCGGAGGTAAACGTGTATGTACAACGAGCCCGTACTTACGTGGAAGGAGAACCAGAGACAAGGCAATATCCTCCAGTGGTGCCAGCTGTTCCTCTTCCTCTTCATCAACCTCTTGGAACACGAACGAAGCAGATGTCAGCAGTTCGAGTCAGCCATGCGGTTCCTCTCGATCTGTTGCTGAGGAATCTAAGCAACAGGAGTGCATTGGAAGTAGCGAAGCTGAACAAGTGTTAGATTCGACGACCAGTAATGGTGACATTGTACACGCTTCACAGCCAGTGGACTCTATGGTGGACACAGTGCCGGCAAAGTCTGCAGACATGCCCGATAGTTCAGAGGATGTGCGCGACAAAGTGTCACCTGGTGAAATTACAACAGCAAGGCCCAGCATGACAGCGGAGACAAATGGTGAAGGTTCGAAGCAGAGTTTCCGAGATGCCGACAGCAGCAAAAGTGGTGGTGATAATGTGTCGAGCAGCTCCTGCATACCTTTAGAAAATGGAGAAGCAGGACAGCACGAACGAATCAGTAGCAGCAAGGGAAGGAAATGGGAAGACCTGGAAACATTTAGAAGTCGTACATCAAAACGGAAGAAGGATGACAGTTCCGATGATGATGACGGGGAACCTGCGAGACCCCTTAAGCCAGAAGTGGAGGAAGACGATGACAGCGAGGAGACCGATGAAACTTTTGACGGTGTTGAAGAAAGGTAACAATTTGTGCTTTTAAATTCGGCTTCAATTTTTGCATGCTTCGATTGCTTATTAATGTTTTGTTTCAGCGATGACGACGATGATGACGATACAGAGGATGTCGAAGATGAGAATGATAGCAACGATGATGACGAAGATGAAGATGATGATGACGATGATGACAATCAGAATGACTTTATAATAGATATGATGGAGGAAGTAAGCTGTTTATACATACAAAATACATAGCAGGAAGTACATTTATTGAATAATTGATATATTTCAATTTATCACAGCCAGGATCTGACAGTGGATGTACAGCAGTTGTTGCAGTGCTTAAAGGAAAGGATCTTTATGTTGCCAATGCTGGGGATTCGCGATGTGTTCTCTGTCGAGATGGTCAAGCTCTTGAGCTCAGTTTGGATCACAAACCAGAAGATCAACCAGAAATACAACGTATTGTAAAAGCTGGTGGTAAAGTCACAGCTGATGGCAGAGTGAACGGTGGTCTCAACTTATCAAGAGCTCTCGGAGACCACGCTTATAAACAAAATACCGAATTACCTGCACCGGAACAGATGATCTCTGCTTTACCTGACATCAGGCACATTACTCTTGAGCCAGAGCGAGATGAGTTTATGATTCTGGCGTGTGATGGCATTTGGAACTTTATGTCGAGTCAAGATGTCATACAGTTTGTACGTGCACGGCTATCACTAGGTCACTCGAAAATCTCGAAGATCTGTGAAGAGGTATGTACAACATGTAACATAAATTGCAAAAATCATAGACTGCTTCACTTAATACAGCAAATAGTTTTGCTCGGTAAATAAGATTTAAATCGTAAGAATTATTTCAATGAATAATTTATTGCAGCTCTTCGATCTCTGCCTTGCTCCGAATACGCTAGGGGATGGAACCGGCTGCGATAACATGACAGCAGTCATAGTCCAGTTCAAATCGATCAAGCCAAGTAACCCAACTTGCAATGATGTAGAACCCTCCAAAGCTAAGAAGAGGGCGGTCTCACCCAATGATGCTACAAAAGGAAACAACTCTTTCTCGGAAGAGGCAATCGTTGAGGATAGCAAACGTCCTAAAATTGAAGCAGTCTGAAGAACAAAGGAGTGACACACTGTACGAACTGATTTCCACGAATCACTAGGGAACTGGAAGAAAAGAAACAGTGAATGTAAATTTATGCAAGATGGTGTAATTCTGTAAAATTGAGCCCCACGCGCAGACGAGTCGGCTGTAGTGATCTTACAATCGACGCGCAGTTAACACACGAAGTATGATGTGTTAGCTTTGGCTATTGATGACAGACTGACCGATTGGAGCACATGGAGCGATGACATCATTCACACCTGATAATACCATTCTGTAGTTTATATCCCTTGTTCATTAGTTTTATAGTTCAATGAAGAATTTTAACTTTCTACTCAAATGCACGATTTGTTACACAACTACAAAGGGATTTAGATATGTTGGTAAAGCTTTACTCTCTTTGGTAGTTAGCAAACTTCTGCCCGCTCCATTGAACATTCAGCTGCAAAGTGCACCAAAGTCTACATCACAGCTGCATGACAGCGAGTTTAAAGAGATGCAGGTGGAAGTATTCATGCAATAAGTATTTCTTCGAGTTCAATTCAAAACATCTGTTAAAACATATTAATAAATAAGCTGTCGAAGCCTAATTCACGCGAGTTCGATAAAAATTGCAGAGAGTTTATAAAGAACTCTGTCATCGTGGTGCCACACAGCGAACTCTTACTGTGTGTTAAATCCATGGCAGGTCTTACTGTCGACAGTGCATCGGACAGCCTCTTCGATACGCTGGGAATGTTTAACGATAACAAAAAAGAAGTAAAAAAAATTCTCTTAGACATTGTCCCATCTGCTCCACTTACATTTACAAGGTATACTCCCTTAAATCCTTAGGTTACAGGTGTAATAGGTACGTCATTGTATATATTTATAGAACTAGGACCTAAGACAGTAGGTCTTACATTTGTAATTCAACACGTCTCTTCTTATTTTTACTAAATAAAGTTTATTTTTGAAGCCCCGGTTACTGCGCTCGTGTCGGCCAGAGTACACGACTGCGACACAGTGAATAATGACAGAAAACGGCTGCTCGCTTAATTGTTCCCATCATTTTTATAAACTGATCTAAATGATAAAAGCGCAGCGGAGATTTTGATCGCGATTAGGTGGTTGAGTCGCTATCCAACGACGCTGTCACCTATTCTTGATATTGACGACTCGTGACGAATATGTAAATTTCTATCGAATTATATACTTTTAATGGCTCCCTGTAGAGACGTGATTAAGGATTGTATTTATTTGTAAATCCTCCGAGCCGCGTTGATGATCGCTATACATGAAGAAGAAGAAAAAAAGAAAGGCAAAATTCGTCCAAAAACGGTTGAAAGAAAGAACATGATTAATAGAAATAGCTTACTAGAAATCCTATCAATGTACATACATACATACATACATACGTATACATTATAACGATACAAATGGGACCTTTTGAGAGTACTGTATCAAGAAAGTCAGTTGTCGATTATATTCTTCCGAATTTGTCCTCTTATGTACACGTTTTTACTTTATTACTTATCTGGTATTTGTTCAAAACCGTGAGAAACAGCCAAGCGATATCAGTGTGCACTGACAGAACTATTACATCGAGTGTAAACTCCCAGCAGTACAAGGTGACAATTATTTAGCCATTTCAAATGATAATAAAAATGTTTATGCTGGTTAAAAATTTTGTAAATCTAGACAATGGTAGTTCTTAGCGACTCCCTCTAGAGAAAAAAAAATACGCAGTTAATTAAAATCCGTTTTATAAGAAAAAAGTAAATTATTTATGTTGAATTGAAGATAAAAATAATTTTACTGTGGTTCAGAACAACTTTCCATATAATCCCTGCTTTTATAACTAAATTTGAAGACATTTGTTCTTGACATTTTTGAAAACATGAATATCATTGAAGTACGAGAGAAATTAAGTGATTAGTGTAAATACACTTGGCTATCGAGATAATCGAGCCTTCAAAATGGAATATCATATATATCAGACAGTTTAAACTGATGTGCCTTTCGAGTTCAGGGGTCAGCGATTTTCGGAGTGATGTACATTATTTCCGTTGCAGAGGGTTCCTGCGACTTAGAACCTCTTCAATTTTTATCTGCAAATTCTGTCATAAGTTTATGTACAATATCTATCCTGTTTAATAATGTTTAATAATACATGTATCACTCGAAACGCCACCATGCGAAATGCTCTATTTTCCATATAATTACTGTACTCGGTTCTGCAGACCTGTTAGGTTTTTTTCGAGCTCTGCTTATTTAGACTTTTTAAATCTTTGATATTATGCACCGTAGTTGTCCATTAGTAACAAGGCTCTACCATTTATATTTCATTATATTTGACTGCTTCTGCCTTTTATCAAATCTTTTATGGCCTTAAATGATATATCCTCTTTTTATGCTTAGCATAAATCGTGTTTTCTTAATTAGTTGTTAAATGCTCAATCGTTTCCAACTGCTCTAGTTCTATTTTCTTCAACGAATCAAATTGTATCCTTAAACGCTCAAGTTCCATTGACTTCTCAATAATTAAGGCCTGAAATCATTTTTAATTGTCAAACTAACGAACATGTCAGCATCGAGGACTTATTTATATAAATTCATTAAAGACCTGTATTTGTTGTTTTTGAGCATCCCTCTGCTTTGTAATAGATCGTAATAGATTTCGAGCTCCAATGGTGCGCATTCTTTCCTTTTCTACCTCATTCGCCAAGCCATCGATAAGTTGAATAAACTCTTCAGAGTTCTTCTGAAAGTCGCTGATTTCTACAAGAATCCAGTATTAACACTTTTCTTAGAAATATTCCAAAGTCATATTAAATCGTTTCGAGTCAAAACATTTCAAGAATGAATAAAAGCAGTATGGTTCAAGTTTCTGAAATAAGTTATATCCTTTTTTTTTTTAAATAAAATCTTATGAATCATAAATATTAAAAGATGCCAAGAAACGAATCCATGAAATTATTGACCTATTTTTAAACAACATTAAAAAGGATAGTAAAAAAAAAAAACATGAGACGGAAAAAACAACGCATCCAGTTACTAATGTAGTGCATCCATCGATATAGTTGGGCAATATATACCGTTTTATCTACTATATTTATATGTAAATTTACCGTAAACGTATTTGATTTTTGGAGTAGTTTCACATTGCCCGGACAGATGGCGCAGCGAAATATCAACGGACAAATGTATACATATATACGTCGCATTCATTTCGAACGAACGTTGACGAACAGAAATTACTGTACACAAGAATAATAACTCGGCAGAAGGCAGAAAAAAGAAGTGAGTATCTTATGAAATTATCGAACCATCAATTACATATAAGTGAAGAATCGCCTTAATAAAGAAAGCGAACAGTTTTCGGAACCTCTAACACGAACGTCACGTCTATGGGTATGCGTTATCGCTGACTTACTTGATACAAAATTTTGACATTCATCTTTCAATTTGTTAGTTTGATTGGCAACCTCGGGCTCCAAGACGCAAATTTTACAGAGATCGTCGATATAAAGTCCGTACTTTGATAAAGAGTCGACCATTTTTCTATGCCAAGATGTGCGTCTTGATTCTTAGATAGTTATGTAGGTTAGTTAGTCACTATCTTGTTTGTGGTTGTGGCCATTTTATTCAAGGAGCAGTGATAACCTCGGCATAGAGTACTCACCTACGCAGAGAATGAACAACACGAAAGAATTTATTTACCACACAGTTGTACAGAATCTTATGCAGTTAAATCTAGTATTCATTTGTAGATCTCTTTAAAATTGTATTATTGAGCTACTTCGTTTAACATAAAAAGGAATAAAATCTATCGAGTTTCCGATTCCTACGTGAACCATTTTTATAGCAACCGTGGGTGTAGGTTACCTGATGCTGCGTTACGGAACGCACTTGAACTCCGCAGTATTTCGGAACACATGATGTGACAAGAACACGCTTGCGCGTTCACCTTGTTGCTCCAATCATTCCCGAGTCCCTCGACAATATGGAGTAGGGCACGATGTACATATGTACCGTATGCCTTTCGAGTAGCTCGTTGAGGTCAACGTTGAGTGCCGTTTTTTGTCCCGAGGACACGCCGGAGATGTCGGTAACTAATCTAACCTAGCTAAGAGCCGTGGCTCGCATCAGTGTTCGCACGGTGGCAGCCCGAAATTCGCGTGTACCCGTCGCAACGTCTCCGTTGCTCGTGTATTAAATGTTGAGTTTGACACTCGACAAAATCGATATCTCGTCCTCACCGTCATCGCCGCGCTCGTCGTCGGACGCGGAGGCGTTCTTGATAAACGTCTTCGTCATGTCGGGCGATCACAAGACGGTCATTAAGTATCCATCAGAGTACGTCAAGTTGAACATTGGAGGGTCTCTGCACTACACGACTATAGGGACACTGCGAAAGCATGACACTATGCTGCGTGCCATGTTCAGTGGTAGGATGGAGGTTCTGACGGATTCGGAAGGTAAGGCGTTACGAGACACTGTCTCCAGAAGCTTTTCTGGAACCTTTATTTCCTCGTATGCATATGATCGTGTACCTGTAGAAACAGCAAAAACATTGGAAGCCGGATATAGGTTCTACGAGTAATCAGAACATTAAGAAAAAATTTATACGTGTTGTATTTTTTTAAATCAATTACGTAAAGAAGTACTGGCAAATATATTTATGTTGAATTGGAATAAGATTAACACGATTGTGTTTGGTTCGTTTCAGGTTGGATACTAATAGATCGCTGTGGAAAACATTTTGGAACAATTTTGAACTTCTTAAGAGACGGGTCTGTTCCCCTACCTGAGAGTGCCAAAGAAATGGCAGAACTGTTGGCCGAGGCAAAGTACTATTGTATCAGTGAGTTAGCGGAATCATGCGAGCAAGCTCTGCTCAAGAAGGAGCGGGAAGCAGAACCCATTTGCCGCGTTCCTCTGATAACGTCACAGCGGGAGGAACAGTTGCTTATTAGCAATACTATGAAGCCTGTTGTAAAATTGCTCATTAATAGGCATAATAACAAATATTCCTACACAAGGTAAAATTCATATTACTCTTATATAATTTGATATATTTCTATGTATAAAAACATTGAGTTTAATTACAAAATTAATAAGAATAAAACATAAAAGACTTCTAACATTTTCAGTACATCCGATGACAATCTATTGAAAAACATCGAACTCTTTGATAAGATGTCACTTAGATTCAGCGGTAGAGTGTTGTTCATTAAAGATGTCATTGGTTCAAGTGAGATCTGTTGTTGGACGTTCTATGGTCATGGTCGGAAGGTAGCAGAGGTATGCTGCCACTCGATCGTGTATACCACAGATAAGAAACATACTAAGGTAAAGCGATTTTTATATCAATGAATTGTAATTATTATTAACTCATTGTAATGTACTTTGTCATTGATATGGATTTCAGGTTGAGTTTCCAGAGGCTCGCATTTACGAGGAGACATTAAACATTCTTCTGTACGAGCATCGGAATGGTCCTGATCAGGAACTTATGCAAGCTACATCTTCACGTGGAGCAGTCGGAGGTGGTCCACCCTGTACCTCTGATGAGGAAGAGGGTGAGCGATCGGGTCTGGCACGTCTTCGCTCCAACAAACAAAATACCAACTGACCCTCTCTTGCTCTCCTTACTTCTTCCCATCCAGCAATCCTCAGTATGGTCCGATCCCTCAAAACCAGGGCAAATATCAAGTAATGGCATGTATGAATCTTGTGCCAATGAAATCACTACTTTGATGCCACTCCAAACCTCGTATTGAAGGTTGATAAATAGATCCTTGATACATCATTCACAATTGAGTAAAAACAAGGTAGTTTGGAGGGGACCATTTCGTCATAGTGAAGTTATGTGAAACCTGGATGAAGGTTTACAGGTACGTGTAATTCTACAAAATTTAATGTTCAGACTTTTTTTATTCTCATTACTTAAATCATTAACGTGATTTTAGAGGACCCAAAATAATTGTTACTGTGACAAGTGAATGTTATCAGAAGAATGTGTATGTATGTTGAGTTTGTGCCAAAAATTGTTATCAAATGTGAGAATGGCTCGAAGTCCCCTTTCTATGATGGATCGAATTATTTTACATTAAATGCTTGAAGTATCATTACTACTTTTGAGCAGTATTTGGAAACTAAAGTCTGTAATTGCCTGTAGAAAAATTACTTATAATGCTTAGAACAGCAGACCTTCCAGCTTTTCGTTAAGTCGTACAAATGTGGCATTTGCAGTTTTCTGCGGATTTTTATGTGCAGGAATACACATTTCCATAAAGACCACGAGCATTTATATATTCTGGTAATTGTATTTACCAGGTATTAACCGAATTACAGAAAAGATACACATTCAGGTAACGCAACCAAAAATCACATTTTCACATTTAGAATCTCAATAAAGCTCAAATTTTCGTCAGTTAAACTATTGTGTTTCACTCTATAATAATTAACACATTGTTCATATTAATATCATTTATACTCATTTCTTGACATACTACTGAAAGGGAGAAGCGGAAGAACCACTGCCATTTGTTTTTACAACATTGTAAGTTTATTCACAAAACAGCTTTAGTTTCGGAGAAAGCCTAAAAAAATACTATGACCCAGATTTTAATTTAAGAAATTATGGAAAAAGAGATAGAAGTATTAATCTGTTTAGGACACAAACTTTTCATAATACTAAATGTTGATTCATCATTTAGTACATCTCTCCCACAAGTAGAAATCTTTAACAGCCTATAATAAGAGAATGTAACTTGCGCAGCAATGGGCATGGCAAAGTTAAATGATTTTGTAGTCGATGCTAGTAACCTCTTTAACTCTTTGCATTCAGATATCACCAATGTGCCAACAATCTGGTTAGTTAAAGATATATGGATGCAAAAGGTTAATTGTTAGGAGAGCCAAGATTCAAATTCATATCACATTCCTATGGACAATCATGATTATTATTCCGAAGACTTTGTAAAAGATTAAGGCCAACCTATTATGTGATAATATACCAGCACTTCGCAGTCGCGCAGATTTTGTTGCACTTTGAAGACCCTTGAAAGTGAACTCGACTTTTGTTACAACATACACATTCGAGATGTCTATACATATCGCACTGATGTTTCACAAATTTTCTATGTCAGTTTCGAAAGTAGGTTTCGTCCTTCCGCAAGATATCTCTATAGAGTTTCGTGTGTCGGTCAGGGAAATGCTAAGAAAGGTAAAAATTGTAATTGGAGTTTCCTGTGAGTGAGTACTGAACTTCCTGCAATCACCCGATGTTATGTGTCTATGCAGTACTACGTTGCAGACCTAACTTAGCTAGCACTTACCGATGCTGTAATTATTGTATCGTAATGTCAAGAAAAATATGTGCTTGCGTTTCATGATACTACCGTGTAGGACACAGGGTAATTATTATAGGTGAAATGGAAACTTGATATATGCATATATATACATGTATAAGTACATTTATTGTAAATACGAAGATTCAACGTCTAAGCTCTCGATGGTTCGATTATGACGCACTTGTAAAGTTTACGCGAAACTTTCAGCGATTAGGCATAAACGAGTTTACCTTACTTCGACTTCGTGTCTGTATATACGGTACGATAATGATTATTTGTATTATAAATTATTGTAATCAAGAAATGCGAAAGTGTTGAGATTTGGACTCTAGAAGTATGGGAGTCGTATATGTATACGTATTTTATTCGTCTACTGTATTCTAGGGCCTTGGGAAGACTTAGGCCAAATGGCATCAACGACTTAAATGGAAGTGACATTTGTAATTCTATTGCGTCGAATTTAAGTTTAACTTGAATAGGTAATGGGCTGATTGCTTCATTACCACTTTATAATTTACTTGTCAGTTTATTAATGCTTATGAAATACTTAGAATTAATGTACAATGGACGCTTGAATGGAAGTTCCAATTGTTGATAGACGTGCCGGTAGTGGGCTTTGAAACCAGTGACGTTACTACCGTTTAAATATTTAATGTTACGATGAATTTGGTGGTTATGTGCTGTTCATTTTTTGATACTTGAGTAAGCGGTCAGCATGAAGTTTAAAGTTTCCTTATCGTTATGAAGTTTTTTGATCGGGCATGTATGACATCGTTCTAAGGATGATAAGTAATGCACTTAACGCGCACAAATCGTGAACATAGACGATTGGCTGTGGAAATATTCATTTTCTACATATTAAACGTCAGAGAGACAATAAACGGGCAGACATGTTTAAGAATGAACTTGTCTCTTCGATTAACTTAACAATTTTACTGTAGTATTTTGAAGGACCTGGAGTTACATTTAGTTTAATGTAAATTGATGGTGTGAGTGATCATTTGTAATTCACGTTAACTTTACTTATTGTTTTTCCATTGTGGTAAATTGTTTGTTACGTAATCTGAAGTCACGGGAGAGCATGGTTCTCAAATTTACTTGTTATATCACGAATGTATATATAATAAGGAAGTAAGAATGTAACAATAGAGCAAGTGCCAAAATCATGTAATGTGGTAGTCTGTAACTTAATGAATGCATTGTACATTAAAGAATGAAACGAGTAAGCCGATTGGAATGCTGAATGCGATTGTTCGTTTCACCTCCTGAAGTACATGTAAGTTTAGATCATTGATAGTTCTTACTTTATAATGGGTATTCATTGCTTCTTATAGAACACATCAAGGTAGTATTTATCAAATGTGGGATTTTTTTGGACGATATACTTCCAATGCAGCAATTCACTAATTAGGGCGAACAAACTGAAAAAGTAACCTACCGCAAGGATGACAAAACCTATATACAGATTCTGAAGGTCTACGAGCATTTTTTGCGTTTCTGTCCCTTCTTGAGTCTCTTCTGTTTTAGACGATTGCAGAACTTCGTTTAGCCACTTTTGAATGAGACCTGTTTCGACCATTCTTTGTATCTATAAAAAAAATGATTAAAAATGTTAAATGTATTTAATGCATTTAATTCTACTAGACCTACATTGGATGACAATATTCAAAACTTATATGTTTTAACATTGTTGGTTTACAGATATCAATTACCAGTTTATCAACACGTGGCTTTAATGGAGAATGTTTATCCAAGCCAACCGATATTGGCATATGTACGACGCATTCTTGCATTATATGCAAGATTCGGTCCAAGTGGTGTGCTTCATTTCTAGACGAAGCATTTTTTTTCTGCTCATCATTTAAAATTTGCCTCTTTGTACGGGCCTGTTTCAGATGGTAAATATTTTCGTAATAGCCAAACGTTCCATTGGCAACTCTTGACAATGCTTCCTCCTCATCGGTTACAAGCTCGAATTTACTGCCAACTTTTTGGGCATATACATCGTTCGATGTCAAAAACAGTTCCTTTTTATCTTCTCCCCACCCCCCAACAGCTATGGGACTTTTGGCCAGTTGCACAATTGTATCAATGGTTATCCTAAAAATACCATACAAAATTTTAGCAGCCATTATAACATTAAATATTTAATGATATTACCTATCGACAGAATTAGCAAGTACTGCAGTCATGCTTGCACGATATGATACAACAACCAATATGCTGTACAACCACCACCAGCCTATAAAGACTCGCAAAGCCCAGGCATTAGGCAATCGAGGCAGCGAAACCAAGAGAAGCATGCTGTAAGTGTATAGAATACTGTTCTGTAGCTCCGTAAAGAGGTACAAACCCTTTTTATCATCGGAAATGAAAGAAGCCGGTGACTTGATGCTCTGCTTTCCAGTTTTGGCACTTTTTGGAACCTCAAAGTTTTCTAGATTTTTTTCTAAACTTGTTTTCATTCTCTTAAAATGAATTATATATCTCTCGTAGGATAGTGAGAACAAGTGGAAGATGATCCCACCCGACAAGAGAGTCAGGATTACAGCGATCCATGTGTATAATCTAGTGTAGGAAAAATATAGTGACGTTTGGTTAATATTTAGAGATTATTCTGAGGAGAGAAATGATAGACACTTAATGTAGAAGTAATGTATTATAGGCAGAAATACTTGAAAGGAGCAATGAGAAGCTTCCATGAGTTGTCCATCAAAGATTCAGGTGTTAAAAAAGTAAGGCACTCGGTGTTGTATGGTAATGACAAGTCGAGGAGTCTGTAATGACGGAGGGTGTAGTGGAGATCACCAAGAAAGAATGCAGCTCTACTGGCCACAGCTTCTCCAAGAAGTCCAGTGTAAGTATCGTTCGGACCTGGTGAACCCCACCTTTCCTTATCGACATTAGGTGGAGTGTACAGCGAAGCTTTAAAATTCATTACTTTGGCAATTACTCTCAAAATCTGAAACCAATAACAAATATGATTTTATTTTCACTTCATTATCTACTTTAAATTTCTTCTACGCAATTTTATGTAAGTATACATGAACATGTATTGAAAAAAATGTAAGGTACACACTTCAAATTCTATTCCCAGTGCTTCAGAACTGTTGGGAGTTTCTTGGATGTTGTTGTTCTCACCTTGAAAAAATTGTCTAGCTTGCTTAGTGACAGCAGGCACATGTTCGAACACAGCAACTCTGAAAATTCTATCCTTTGCAGGTAAACGAGATTTTTGGCCTATTGGTATAAGTTCTTAAAATACCTCAACAATTTCCCTCGAAGATCTCTAGTCTTATCAGGGAAATGATTTCTGCCGTAACGAAATTTACCATGGTGCCAGGTGTCAATGTGGGTGGTTGGCAGGGTCTTTCTTCCATGGGCAGGATAGTGCAGCACATTCAAGTCCAATCTCTCTTTAACAGGCTGTTCTCCAGATCTACGTTTATAAACATTGAATCGGCGTAAGAAAACAGCATTAACCAGTCGATTCCATAGGTAGTGCATTCCAGAATGGAATAATCGGGAGTCGTCCAAAAATAGAAAATATCCTTGAGCATTAAGTAGCCGATCTCTAAAAAATTTACAACTGTTTCCTAATAATGTATTAAATGGTCTTCAGTATTATTAAGTATTTTATAATTAAAAGGTATGGTCCTATATAATGTTATAAGTTCTTTCAATGGCATTTAATACAGTATTTTTTTCAATTTCTTAAATATTCAGTTTACTCACCCTTCGGCAAACTGCAACAGTCGAGACACTTGTAATCCATTTGCTACAAGAATGACATACGCATTGCAACCAGCCTTCTTGCTCTCATTGAGAATCTTCTGGAGCCGAGTTTTTGGTGGAAAAAAGTCTTCGTTATCTCGAATGACTACCTACGCAAAAGAAAGTTGTCCTCTGTAGAACGTCATTACTTTTCTGAAAGCAACGAAGATGTAGAAGATAATTTTTCATACCACATATAGAGGTAAAAGGTAGATCTCTTTCATCCAGGCATCACCCATTGATTTACTATAGTAGGAATCCAAAACAAACACCATACACTCGGTATGGTTTGCAATTTCTGCGATGACAGCGTGAATGACAGCCTTAAAAGGTTCTTTTGCATTTTCGCAGTAAATATCAGACTTTAATTCACTGATTGATTCATTTAAGAAATACTTTGTGAGATTTCTACTAAATCCGAATATTAATAGAAGTCCAAAATCGTAATATAATTTCTTACCTTACGTTAACAGCAAAAATGTTGTGAATAAGAATTAAGATAAGGAACATGATTGGCAGTAACCGAAGATAATGTTGAGCGATTCTTCAGTTTGCAGTGGCAGAGCCAACATGAACACAAATCGGATCAGTTTCTTTGAACTTACCAAAGCAGGCTGACAATGCTCTAATCTTGCAAAGATCCGCTTAATATTTAGTGGCTACTTTCCATGGAACTGAACCATGTCAAAGGTAAATAATAAATTACAAGAAAGCTCAGCAATCCTCCTGCTTCAGGCATGTCTAGTTAATATGTTATCAACTTATTATGAACTGTTTGTCCTAACAATAGACCATACATGCGATACAAGATAGTATTATATCTATACAGAAACAACAAATTTAAATTAAGAAAAAATATTTACGTGATACTTTAGAATCATTCTTTATTGCACAACAATAATGCATGTCTTTGTTACATGAGATCATTAATTTCTCTTAACAATGGCTAATGTATAATGAGCGAACTCTAATCCTGAAAATTATCAAAAAATATATACCATGTAAAAATGATTCCTTAATAGTTGATACGTGAACTGATAAAGGCGTTTTTCCGCAGCAACTGGTAATTTTAAATGCAAGTTACTTTGACACAAAAGCTAAGTCATGGAATCATATTTTGGGGTCACTAGGTGTATGTACGGTATCGCCCGTTCAGTATAGGTTAGGTTATGCAAATGCTTTGATAAAAATTGAAATTTTTGAAAAATTACGACGGCTTCAATGTATGATATGCAACCTAAAGCAGTGAAATCAGCCAGTTTGCAATATTTAATGGATTATTTTTACCATTCGATAAGGTTCATTTTTAAGCTGGAGTTAGGAAATATATAAACGTCTTGTGGTATGTTGAGTGCTACGAATAGTATTAATGGTTAATTGTTATCGTCGGATTTGTCTCAACCATCACATGTCATCGATTAGACTAAAATACATTAACTGGAGCTGTTGACGCTTTCAAGACAAAACAGTGGTGATTCCTTATCTGGTACATATAGTTGATATAGTTAAGAAGGAAATTGTATTCCAGTTACAATAAGTTGCCTATAAAATTTGACAAGACTTAGACCATAAATATCTGGACCTCGCATAGCAGTGAAAGGGTAAACGAATAATGTACCACGTATCCCGAAGACTCAACCACACAGTTAAAGCCATTCTGCTTACTGAAAAATTGGGAGTGGCAGGTCCAATGCGAGATCTAGATATATATGGTCGAAAGGCAAGAACTTCCAAGTATAATTATGAGATAAAAAACTTTATCAGATCTACCTTGCCAACTGATGTTAATAAGAATATTATTGTTCCTTTATGATGTAAGAAAAATGATTAATTTTGTTGTTCTTAACGGGCTGTTTATTAATTTATTATACGTATATTCTTTTTCTTTGAGGAATTTAATGCGAAGCATTCAGTAGTGATGAATATTTTCTCTTAGGGTCCTTTTCACTCTATTTTATTCAGAAGTTACGCTCAAACTTTGATACTTGTGACGAAAGAGTTATTTCGCAAAAATGCAGAGTTAGCATTCCTTTGACTTCCAAGGTATACTGGTCATTTAGATTGCAAAATCTGAAGGAAGAAAACTGTCGTACTGATTGGTTTACAGATAGTTTATAACGGTATTAGTGTTAATTATTAATTATTTGACATTTGTTCATGGATATTTGAAAATTCTCTTTAGTTGTGAAGTACCACTAAATTTGTTGCAATATCTGTAAGTAAAGTTATGTCCATCTCGCTGATATTAAGTTAAATGTTGTTTGTAATGATTTATTTTGTCCTATTATTAACTTTAAATCATTCTTAATTTCAGTTCTTAAGGGTTCGTACTATTTCCACGATGAAGTCAGTAGCAGAGAATTTAATAGATAATTTACCAAACGGTCCACTGGACAGTTATCGGAGACGTGCAACTTTCAATTGGAAGTCTTTGAAACTGAAACTAGAAGGAGAAGACATTGTTCGTTTTCAGGTAGGAATCAAGTTATATCTTTAATATATTTTTGAAATATTAATTAATATCATACCTTCTTTAATAACTTGAAATTTGATTTTCAGAAGGACCTTTGGACTTACATAGAAAAAAACCCATTATTTCAACAATCAAATCATAAATTAACATTGGATGAATTAAGAAGAAGATGCAGTGCACAAATGGATGTTTTAAAAAACGAATTTTCGGTAAATTAATTATTTCTAATTATTAAAGTATTGTTAAACGTGCACGGCACTAGAATAAGATGAATATTGAATGAAACATTTTGTTTTTTCCTTGCTGCATTTAACAGACAGAAACCAGTTTATGTAAGTTTGCTAGCAGAGTTATGGTTAATTTTATGGATTCTAATGCGCAGACTGATTTTATGATTACAGATATTGCAAGCAGGAAGTGCATTCAATTATTTGTTTTATTACGATCCTGCTTTAGTAGTGAAGTTTGGTATAACATATGGCATGGTACCCAACGCAGTGTTTTCTTTAGGCACCGATCAACATAATGATATTTTTCAACATTTGTACAATGGTGACGTAAGTATGAACCGCAATAGACCATTATGAAAATTACGGATTAGTATACAGTTTTTATTACTTCAGTATATTGGATCCTTTGCACTGACTGAGATTTCTCATGGCACAAATGTTAAAGCCATGAGAACAACGGCGACCTATGATGTGAAAACCAAAAGTTTTATTTTCCATACTCCAGATTTTGAAGCAGCTAAATGTTGGGCTGCAGGATTAGGTACAGCTGCATTCTTCAGCGACAATTATGGAATCTTCGTATCCACTAAAAGTTTTCTTTAAATTGTTTAGGAAAAACAGCAACACATGCTGTACTCTTTGCTAATTTAATCACTCCCGATGGGAAAAATAGAGGTCTTCATCCATTTATTGTTCCTATTCGTGACCCAAAAACTATGCTGCCGTTCCATGGTGTTACTCTTGGAGATATGGGAGAAAAGATTGGTCTCAAGGGAGTAGATAATGGCTTTGCACTGTTCAATAGGTATTCAGTACCCAAAATATGTTTGTTAAATAAGACGGCAGATGTCACAGAAGATGGAAAATACTTATCGTTCATGAGTGAAAATAGACGATTTGGTAAGAAATGAATTTCTAATTTATTATGAACTCCCAGAGAGTACAACTTAACATACTATATGTTATCAATGATTTTTAATAAAAGCTTTGTTTTCGGGTTCGACAGGACTTTCCTTAGGTGCCTTGTCAATGGGACGTTCTAACATCACAGTAATAAGCACTATGAATGCATCTCTGGCTATGATTATTGCAATCCGATACTGTGCCGTCAGAAAACAGTTCGGCCCTTCACAGGAGGAAGAGTGGTCAGTGATCGAATACCAAGCACAGGTATGTTAACATTCCATTAACGCTCCTATTAAAACCTACACTTAATATAACTCACAAAAATGTTTATCCAGCAATGGAGGTTATTCCCACACCTGGCAGCAGTCTATGCCATGAAGATATTTTCTGACAACATTTTTAAGATAGCTTGTAATTTCCAAGTAAAACTATTAACTGGTGAAAATAAGGATTCACTTGTCAATGAAGGTACCGAAATTCATGCCCTGTCCTGCTCAACTAAGCCTCTTTGTTCGTGGATGGCGAGAGATGCAATTCAAGATTGCAGAGAAGCTTGTGCAGGGCATGGATATTTAAAAGGTAAGTAACCTACAAAGTAGACAAAGTGAAGATTGACACAGCAATGGTATACAAATATTTACATCAATCCATTGATATTATTATTTTAACTTTCAAACGTCTAACCTCCTTTTGCAAAATATGCATTGTTTTTAGTGTCAAGATTGGGAGATATCAGAGCAGATCATGATGCCACTTGTACATATGAAGGAGAGAATAATGTATTGATTCAACAAGCAAGTAATTGGCTGCTAAATCAGTGGCAGAATGTTATAGATGGAAAAGCAGTTCTCTCTCCTCTTGGATCCGCAGATTTCCTTACAAATGCGGAGGGCATTCTTCGATTGAAATTTAAGCATACTACAATTCATCAGACAATGAAACTAGAAAGTGAGCAACAATGTCATGTATTTATAAAGATTCATAATTGAGCCTATATTTTATTTATTATAGATTTCCTCGAGATACTCCAATGGCTGGTTTGTTATTACGTTAAAAAAACTTATGAACGCGTACAAATTCTTAAGAAAGGTGGGCATAGTGAATTCACTGTCAGGAACGATTCACAGATGTTTTTTGCTCGTACTTTGACACTCGTATATGGAAAGGTATTATTTTCATTGAAACTGAATTATACATAGTATACAAAAGGTATGCTTTTATTTATTTTATAGCAATTTATATTTACATCTATTAAAATATTTCGCAGCACGCACTTATAAAAGAATTCATAAACTGTCTACAAAGCTCAATGTGGAACCTTGAAGAGAAACGTGTGCTTACAAAGTTATGCTTATTGCACGCAGCATGTGTGGTGGAGCAGAGTCTAGGAGATTTATACGCAGGTGGTTATGTCACATCTGATAGTCATTTTGACGTGTTTCTTCGGGAAGGAATTATGACATTATGCAAAGATCTAGTTAACGAGGCAGTCGCATTAGTTGATGTTCTTGCACCCCCAGATTTTGTTATAAATTCTCCGCTAGGAATGGCAGATGGGGAGGTAACTATTATCCTTCCATTGGTCTTACATATGTCAATAGATTAAAGGTTAACTTTAATTGTCCCTATTTTAATAAATGTTAATTTTTCTTTCTAGGTATATAAGCATCTCCAGAAAAGTTTTTATAAAGATAAAGAAACTTTTCAACGTCCTACATGGTGGCGTGAGTTAGTGCAATCAAAATTGTAATTTGTATTTTGCCAACTTGACACTATAATTTTTGCAGTAATTTTGAGCGATGTGGTTAATAGAATATATTTTTGTAACAATTTCCATGGACGTATCAAGATACAATTGAGTGGATTATGGGATCACGAAGAGCTTGCTAATGTGTGCAAAGCCAACAACAAAGTAACTAAAATCTGAAAGATTTTGTGAATTCGACAAGATCTTTTTGATTTTAATTACTTTGTTATTGTTATTGGCTTTGCACACATTAGAAACCTCCTCTTGCTTACATTAATTTAAAGCAGGGCAAATCTTGAGTAATAGGCGTAGTTAATATGTTATTTTAATTGATGGCTATATAAATAAGGAACATTATTCAGAACTTCTTAAATCTAGTATTTGCTAGAACTTTAGCAAACTGGCCCCTTCAGGATGAGCAAAGACCTATCATTGAAAATTTATATATTTTATAAGCTCTTGTTCGATACTTTTTGTGTATTAAGTACAGGATGGCTTTAAAAGCGTTTTTCATATGAGATTATAAATTTTGCAAGGATCACAGAGCCACTTATACTTAATATGTACATACTGTATATGGTTGCGGCTAGAACATAATTTTAATATATTTACAAAAAATATTGAAGAATTAAATGTTAACATTTGTGTATGTAATACAATTTTTAAATAATTAGGATGTCCTTGTAAATTAATTGACAAAAAAGCAATGATTAAAAAACATCAATGGATGTTCGATCACAATTCTATGTGCGCTGTTTTGCTAAAAAATGACCTGTCAGATTCAGCAAACCATTCTTCATATACTTTATCTGGATCGATCATCCAGAATTTGTGAAACGAGATTGGTTCCTGCGAGGCAAGATATGCTGTGGCATAGTCAATGGGTCTAGCCTGGAATATAGCATTCTCGGACAGGTAAATTTAATTTTACGCGATGTAACAAAATACAACCATAATAAGTAAATTAAATAATTTTTATGAATACCTGGTGAAATAAAGGTGAATGAGTAGGTAGTACACCAACTCGAGGGAAACACGCTCCGAATAGATACATATCATCTGGAGTAGATGGTGAAGGACAATCACAGATTTGTGGTTGAACCAGCCGTTGAACCAATGTCGCTGATAATGCCAATCCAGCTCCTCCAGTTAAATAATCGTACCCTCCTGTTAAGTAATTATTATTCCAAACTCGAAATCCGTATCGTTCACCCAATGCTATAGCCTCTGAAGGATTATAACATGTTAGAAGACGTAGAAGTCTTGAGAAGCTGTAATCCAAGGAAGCAACAATTATGCATTCGGAGTCATTAAATCAAAGTGCACTACAATGAAATAGTTTATAAAATTGTTGAAAATTATTTATGGCAGAGAATACATTTGAAACTAAAATCTTTCAATAAGATTTTGATGAGATTTACCTGAAAATAGTGTCATCATCGCTAATAATTAACCAGTCAAAGCTCTTCTTCTGCATTAGATCATTGGCAATTCTTAAGATGGAATGCGACTTTGCACAATGTCCGTGATCGGTGTTTGGTACAATGTAGGCATTGGATAGGTTTTTATCTATACTAAAATTAATTAATTAATTTTAAATCTTGCTACTAAACATCATGAAATAATTGCACATGAAATAGCTTTATGCACACCTGCTTCATTGGTGAAGAATCCTATATTACTTGCATATTTAGCCCATGTTCTGAGAATAACTGGAATCCTATCATTGTGGTACTTATGGCAGGTTTTAACAGCGATAAAGACATTCTCTGGAGATATCGATTCACTCTAAACCATAATATGGTTCGGATATTAGTTCAAAGTATTTTTTTTAGTTATTCAGGTTATCATTCAGTGATTACTGAACTTTACACATATTTGTAATAGATAAGGTTAAATAATTACTTACGCATGGGTGAAAAAATCGTGGATACGTGGCACAATCTTCACTGGAAACTACACAGAATTCAGGAACGTGCTTTAAACGTACACCTCGACCTTCGTCAAAGACAAAGGTTGCAAATTCATAAGACACATCTATGGTAAAATCACCACTTGGTCCTTCACCTTTGTAAACTCTTTCTGCTAAACTGATTGATATTAGCTTTTTATATGAATGGTTTAAATTCAATTCATGTAAGTAAATATTATTACAGATTAAAATATTAAAAATGACATTTTTTTTAACATACCTTTTTAAAAGTGGTGCCGTTATAGCAAATCCTGATGCAACATTTGGATACTTAAATTTCTTAGATTGTTCTGCAAAGTGGTGAATAATTGTAGGATCTTTGTCATAAAGAGCATGGCTGAGCCATTGATTCTAAAATTCAAATAGGAATTTAAATCAAATTGCGAAATAATATGAATAATAAATGGCACACATATATGTCCTCGTTATTACTACACAAAGTTATGGATTTTACCTGTGAAGTATTAAATGTTGTGAACAAATGTAAAAGGCGTCGCAATCGAATTACTGTATTTTCTAGGCAGAAAAAGAACCATTCAGATTCGGAATATTCCTTTGATAGGTGAGGCAGCAATGGACCTATCGTCCAACTCCCATTAATATTCAATTTATGTGATAATACAACTTCAACTGACGTCTGAAAGTATGGTGAAGAAGAATTGTGAAAAACAAGTGCTATGTTAGAAAATAAGTTTTTCTTTATAAATTTTACTATATATTTAATTTACCACTCCCATATCTATTGCTTGTCTCTCTACATCTTTTTTCAGTAATTCTGCATGAGCAACATGGAATGCATTTCCTTGACTGAGTATTAAAATAACGATGCGCTGAGAATCTAAAATAGAAAAGTATATAATTTCCAGTATCAGTAGTTTAATTTAAATATATAAAAGCCAATGTTGCATGTTCTCGAGAGGCAACAAAGTTCCGGAAGTTAAATAAAAAAAAAGTGAGAAGAATTGTTGAAAATTAGGTCCCGACTTACCTAAGGCACACGTGTTATTGATTGCAGGCGATGTGCAGAAAATTAGAAAAATTAACGCGAGGGAAATCATTTTTAAATTGTCATCTGAAAATCGTATCACCACAGAAAGCTGGGCGGCACAGAGGAGCAGACTGAATTCATCTCTGCTGAAACGACAAAGTTGCGAGAACATTCACGGTCGATAAAAAGCATTCTTCTTTCTCAGTTAAGAATTGAGCGCTACCTTACGTCAAGAAACTAAACTACTTCACGGGCCGCGGAGAACAGCTACTATCGATAAAAAAGCAAGCCGTTAACATCTGTAATTAAGAAATTTTAGGAAGATCGAAAATTCATGCTCCCGATATAAAACAGTACTTATACATACCGTTAATTCAGACTATGCCACTTGTTTTCAGTTACCTTTTCTGTATCATGTTCTATTTACCTCAAGACGGAGTTAGGCCGGTGTTTCACTGAGCGCGTCGGGTGTGACATGGAACGCGGTGCGTCGACGCGTCGGGGGTGAAAAACCAATCAGAGCTGCCGTTAATCACGTGCGCCTCTTTTCAAGTTGGTTTTTCATCCTCGACGCATTTCTTTTAACCATGTAAAGGCGTTAAACTCACGTATCAACATTTCAGTAAAGCACGGTCGATCCGCGTATTCCTATGTTTCATTTACGCGCACCCCCATAGCTGCAACCCCGTGTTTTGATTGGTCGAGACCTCCCTACCACGTGACCCCGCGCGTATATACGTCAGCGAAGGCGCGCTCCTTTGCCACTCGCTCCGTCAAGCTTTCGCGCCGAGGTTCGATGGCGTCGGTCGTTAGAAATTTCGTGCCCTCGGGAGAATCCATCGGCAATTCGAGAACCTAAGATCTATCTCCGTTTCACTGAACCCACTCCTAGAATAGGTACCTAGAAAGCGTTAAAATCAAATCCCCGTCACGCGTTCTCCTTATCGTCTCTTTGCCAAAATTGAAGACCATCGATCAATCCGATACGGGTTAATTTTCTTTTCTTTTCAGTAAGGAAAGGGAGCCGATTCTGAAGATAATAATACCGCTTAGAAGGGAGGAGGACCTTTTTAATGTTCTTGGTCGGTGCCGCTAACTTCGATTCTCTCACTGAGTCGTCACGTGACGTCGGGTAGGGGATTGGATTTAAGGCAGGATCTCTCTTTATCGACCGAGCGGGAAATCGTACTCGAAGGTGGGCATGGGTCTGACGGATACCAGTTTCGAACTACTTCTGACTCTGTGGCGGGTTTTGGGCACGGGAGTCCTCTGGACCTGCGGCCTCTCGCAGTGCAGTGGTGCCTGGACCGGCCGCGACACCGCCAGCCTCGGCCATTAGCTCTTCTCTACTGGTAAGTGTCTCTTTTAATACATGAAGGCTCAATCATTTTCCTTCTTCATAATCTCGTCCCCATTTTTCCCCCATTACGTCTGCAAAAATAAAAAGAAACCCAAAGTTCTTCGCTCAGAAAATTGCTTTCCTTATTGACGAGGTGCGGAAAATATTCTAATTGTTATTTCGGATTGTTAAGAATAATTTCAGAGTTTGGATTTTGGTACTCGGGATTCTGATAAGAAATTGATGGAAAGAATTCATCGCGTGTTCGGTTAGTCGTAGGGGTCGTATTACAGATATTTCATTTTTTTCTCGAAGGAGTTCTATTTATATCTCGGAAGAGGAACACGTTAATTAAGAAGAGAAACTGAGAACTTTTAATTGGTACGATGTGAATGCACTGGTGATGAAAGCAACGTTAAAAAGTGTCGCAACTAGGATATTAATTATACATAGTCGCGGTAATGGAGATTTCCGCATTATTGGTACCTCTTATGGGAAAAGCGTAACGCGCGATAGGAATTCCAACAGTTCAATTGATCTACGGCTCTTCTTTAAGAATGTTTCAGAAATTCGTTTCCTCGTATACCGCGATCCATCAATCTGCCAACTCTTCTCTGGGAGCTGTACGACGGCAGTAAACAGAATTATTAAAGCAACAAGTGTTTCCACTTTAAAAACCACATGCCTGTCCGAGGCCAGGGAAAGTAAATGAAGTTTTCATGAAGTCGAATAAATTCATTGTAAAATCGAATCATGTCCGCATACCGTTAATACGAGTCCAAGTTAATGACGGAAAGCTCTTAAATATCTATACCTAACGAAAGAAAAATGTAAAACACGTAAATTCGGTTTAAACGGTACTAAAGATAATTTTCATTCGGGGGCTGTACCTTTGAGCAGGAGAGAGATCGCCTAATAATAATTTATTTACGGGAAGGTACGTTAAAAATCAAGGTGTAGTATTTTTTTTTCCTTGCCCTAAGAGGCGTGTCGGCGCATATTGGGCAATAATAATGAAGCTTTCTCTATAAATGCCGATCGTGCACGTGACAGAAAACCCCTCGTCGAGCCCCCTCGAGTGGGGCGGTCTCGTCGCCTTTGAAATAATGCCGATTTGACCGATGCCCGTCACGGGACACAATGAGCTCGTTACGAGAGGATGCGGATATATATATACGTACCCCGTATATACAAATACACGTTTATACCTGTACATACGTATATATATGCGTACACCCAGGTATACATGGATATATCAGAGGAGGTGCGAGGCCTCCAGAGGTGGAGGAGCGTTGACGCGATAAGGGCTATCCATAACTCGTCGACATCGAATTACACACATACGGCGTTAGCTCGCGAGTTTTTTTCATCGGGCGAGGTTTATCGACGGATCAGATTTGCGGGGATTTTCGCGAACCATGGGAAGTCGAAAAGATGCCGCGAAGAGCAGTCCGCGAGCTCGGCGTCTCTTTGCCCTCCTCCCTTTTGATCGCTTTTTACGCGGTGGGACATCTCCTCTGAGGTAAAAAATACCGAGGATGGTCCTTTTCCGAAGAGTCGGCGGAAAAACACCGCGGCGCTTTTGATATTTTAATTTTAGATAATAACTTGCAGACCGGCGACAAGAAGATGACTGATATTTGGACAGGGGTTGTTGACCGAAGTGAATAAAAATGAATGTCGAAACTAGGTTCATAATGATAAGGGAATGTGATTCCCTGAAATTACCCAAATGCCATCAAAGGATTTTGTTCAATGAACCAACTTTCTTTCCGGCGATGAATTTTTTATATCTAATAATGAATGTTTGTTGGAAACGGATCGCGGAAATGCCGTCGAAGGTGGTGATGAGATAAGAAATGCCTAGTGCTGATCGATTTTTGATATCTAATAAATATTTCTCGGCAACAGGGACCGCGGGGATGCCATCGAAGGTGGTCAAGACGACGACCCCTGCCGGGGTCGACGGCGACGGTGACGGCGAGAGAAGAGAGACCTGGTCCGGGAAAGTGGACTTCCTCCTGTCCGTCATTGGATTCGCCGTCGATCTTGCCAATGTCTGGAGATTCCCTTACCTGTGCTACAAGAACGGGGGAGGTGAGTCGTTGATATCGATCGTTCTTAGTGACCATTAAAGTCACCCGGTGATCAAGCAGAGAAGAAATGGCGATTGACCAAATCGTTCCGAATGACGTTCCACGTGGTCATTAAAGTTTTCGTAAAAAGCGCAGGCAAAAGGAAAATCACCTGCGGTTCTCAGGGAAAAGTGCGCCCTGATTTTCAGTCTCACCGACGAGAGCACTTTTCAAAAGCTGAGGTAACCTCGTCCGCGCGTTCATAACCATGGGCCATTATTTCAATCCGGCCGAGGTGATGGAACGCGAGTAATATACTCTCGTAAGGTAATATGGCATTAACTAGAGGACTAATTGGCATTTCCCTGGCAGAAAATGACCTCCCTGGATTTGGCACGTTCGAAGTTCCATGCCGGAGCGGGAAATACAAAGTACAACCTCGATCGACCTGAGAAGATTTTTTATGAAGTTTTACATGGATTAGGGAAGGATTCGCTCGAGTAGATCGAACTTTCCCAGAGTTCAGTGAATCCGATTGATTTATGCCAGGTTTCGAATTTTATTCATTTATTTAGTGGTTTTCATTGTAGTTTTGAGGTACTGCAGTCGGTCAGTGGGACGATCATCCGTCGTAGATGTTGTCGAGGGATCCGACGAATTCCGCGTCGACGGAACCGTCGACGGGGAGGATGTCGATGCCATTAGTCCTCTATCAAGGCACGCAGGAATGTGATTAGGGCTCGCTGTTAGTGATACAGAAGCTTCTCAAAAGCGGCTGCTAACCTAGTTAAACGCGAGAGGCCGCGCGGCCCGACGCCATTAGGATGGGAAAGATCGGTCGCTAATTTCCAATTACCTCGATTAATGACAATTTCCCATTCGGCGCGGCTCTTTCCGCGCTTAACAACTTCCGGCCGATGTCCGACGAAGAGCCGAGAAATCCGGAAAAGTTAGGATAAATGCCTTCGGCAGTTTCAGAGGCGAGGAAAAATGAACACAAGGAAACAATCCCGAGTTTTTATCAAATCGTGTTGATCTATCGATCGGTATTCGATACGTCATACGCCGTACCGAGTCATACCGATCGGCTTCCGCAACAGTGATAAATGTACAATCTGAAATTGTTAATCGATAGATTTAGTAATAATAGAGGTATGTAAGATTAATTGAGGAAAAGTCACAGCTTATGGATCGCTCGGTGGGTTTATTTCGGAAATCGGGAAAGATTTCGCATTAAATGCCTTCGGTAGCTCTCGGTACAGGAAAAAAGAGCCCGAGGAGGTAATCTCGAGTTTCCATCGACAGAATCTCTTTCGTCATGCGTGAATACTAGCAGCCACGATAAATATGCAATCTTGAGTCATCGAGCCATAAACTTGGCAATAAGAATAAATGAATGGTTAATAAAGGGCACTACGTGTAAATCGTATATTTCGGAAATTGGAAAAGATACGAAATTAAATCGACGGAATCTTTGGTCGCACTGGAATACTCATAAACGAGATAAATATGCAGTATTGAATTATTAAGCCGTAGACTACTCAATAAAAACAAGTGTTAGTCAATAAAGGACTCCATGCCGGAGTTATTCAACAGATGGGAATATTGCCTATCGCATGCATAATTATCCAATCGATTATAATCATTCTTACATTAGAAGGAAAACACTGTTAGCGGATCCATTTGTTGGGATTATGTAAATATAAACCACAGTACACGGTAATGGTCACCTTTTCTACGTGTTGCAGTTACGTCAATACTCCCACGTGATGACAATTATGAATGCTTTTATGACCCCATTCTAACATGGCCTTTGTGGTAACATTTTTTTATTCTCTTAGAAACAATGGTAATACACTGACAAATAAGTTTCGTAAGGTAGATTTCAACCGCGATTACGTATTAACGGGGTCGATTACTATTTTTCATTATTTATTCTGGCGATACTTTGAGCCTTAATAAATTGTTAATGATGAATCCGAACGTCGTGGAGTGATTTCCTGTGTTATGAAAATGGTGGACAAGCGAGAGGAAATAGCCAAAGATATGGGGAATCTCTTTGCAGTCTTCAATGCAATGGCACTCGTAATTTCCTCCTAGTCTTGTGGATCTGTTTACGGGGCCGTTTAACCCTTTTACCTTTTCTTAGAGAAAATTAATAGGAAATGTGCTCCGAGAGAGGATGGCCTTCGGGAAACAAGATCCTGATCATACATCGAGTTCTTGCATATGCTTATTTATTCTTGGTTATCATAACATTGCTTTAATCATATTAAATGATAATGCTACACGAATTTCAGGAAATAATATGTTCATATAACTAAAGGCGCTGGTCTTTAGTATTATTTAACGAGAACTTCTCTTTTTATCTTTTTCTTTTCTCAACGTACCATTTTACCGAATGGAATAAGAGGATACAGTAGGAAAGATGGAATCGAGGCCGACAACTCGAAAGACGAATTAATCAAGTCAGACAATATCCCTCGTAATGCGATTATGTCAATGCGCCTCCATGGATATGATAAAGACAAAGACCTTAGATAGTATCCTTTCCTAGGGTAGCTTCTGGCCGAGGTCCTGACAGGACGAAAAGCCCAGGGATGAGAAAGAGAAGGAAGAAGAGAGAGATGACCTGTTGATCCACGAGAATCCGTCAGATTATCCCCATTCCCGAAGAAATCCTTCAACTTGAGTTCCGGCATTTTTTTTCTTTTTTTTTTGCTCCATTTTTCGTCTAATCTTTTAACGGGAAAAAGCGCGATCTAAAGTGAGGAACGTGTAGAAATAATTAGGAAGATATCTGATTGCACGTTCGAAATATTAAAAAAAATATATATATATATTTATGAGATGAGTAGGTGCGTATTTATTTTTATATTTAATGAACTCCGTCTCGGGAATAAATGTTCTTAATTTCGAAAACCTCGAGAACTTCGTTCTTGGCCACAATTTCTGGGATTAAATGGATTTTCCGAAACGTTCCGGGAAAAGGGGCAGAGCGTTTCGCAAGCGATCTCGTTGCTGGAGTGTTCATTCGGGAAATTAATTAGCAATTATGCTCACCAGACCTCCGCCGACACTTCATCTCTCCAATTTCCCTTTTCCCTAATCCAAGTCATTTCCACTTGCCTTGTACTTAATTTTTTTGTCATTATTACTCAGTTCGTGTACCGCATTTGTAGGTGTAAATGGACTGAATATATTATATATAGTCTTCTATCGTCGGTATATCATTGTACTGTAGATAATTAGAAAGCCCGATTAATTTCTTCTTATTATTGAATTTATGTACCGTATTTTCTTTTATAGAATATGCACTGAATATATAAATTGTCTTCTACCGTCGACATTTTATCGCGAGCCATCGTACGTACATTAGTTTCAATGACGTAATATTAAATTGCACGGGGAAATTTTGAAAGTTCACAATTGGATTTCGACGCTTAAAAGCATTCCGTGCTCTAAATATTCCGAAATTCGCTCTCGTGGTCTTTGTCCCCACCTTCTCCCCTATTCGTCCATCTATCCATCCATCTATCCGCCTACGTAGCAATTCGCTCACCTCGCTTTCGGACTCATTTTTACGAATTTCACCCATCTGAGATGATTTTTTTTTCTCACCAAACGAAAACACAATTTCCCCTCTCTTATCTACTTCCTTTTGTCGGTGAGTGCCGCTTCCTAAACGATGACAAAAATTCATGAAGAGCTCCTTACGAACTCTTAAAAAATGGCCACGCGTTAAAGCCGAGCTCTCGGTCCTCCTTTTTCGTTCTTCTCTTCTCGACTTTTCCTGCCCGTTCCACCCTGGGCTTCCTCATCCCATTTCCAGTCGACAAGTAGAGCTCAAACCTTTTGCAGTCGCACAATTACCACCCTCTCCGCCTCACAATAGGTTCTTGCCACGAGACTTTCAACTTTTCGCGACTTTTGAGCACCCCTAAAGGGACAATCGAGATTTTACTCGATTAATCCCCCTCTGTTCGAAAAGCGTGGAACACGGGTCGCATTTAAAATAAAAAAGAGAGAGCATACATTTTTTGAACCGAGGAGAAAATTCTTTAACCTGTAAAATTCGGAAGGAAGTTTGGGTCCTCCTTCTCTCTTTCCTCCTAATATCTAAACTCAAAAATAATCTCATTTCGATACCTAAAAATACACATTAAATCTAAATTTATGTTTTGAAAAAAAAAAGGTTATCGAAAGAAGGATTCCTGGAAAAAAAAACATGGAAAGTTTCGAAAAATGAGTTCTGTAGGTATTTCAAAAATTCATTCGATAACTCTTATAAAATCCTCTGTAATTAATGAAATACGTATTTAAGGATGGCAAGTGTTATTTTTTTAAATATCATATTTAAATTTCACGTTTTCTCGAATTGTCCCGTATTTTTTTTTTTTCTTTATTCTACTGCGGTGACTCGACGCGCGAAGATTGGTTAATGAAATCTTCGTGATCTCTCTTTTGTGTTTTAGGTGCATTTCTGGTGCCGTACTGCGTGATGCTAGTAGTCGGTGGAATTCCCTTGTTCTACATGGAACTTGCTCTTGGCCAGTTCAACCGGAAAGGTGCCATTACATGCTGGGGACGTCTGGTTCCGCTTCTCAAAGGTGCGGTCCAATTTTGATTTCCCTGAAACGGAATATGGAAATTTCGTTAGCAGGCCGAGCTAATACTAAATAATTAATAAAGCGAAATTAGAGCACGTTATTGCCCTATTTATGGGGTCGTCTTCCGCTCGGAGGATGTCGAGTGACCAAATCCAAAGGCGACCTCGTAACGAAATGCACCACTTTATTGGACACTTCCCTCAGAAATCCCTGCAGCTCGGAGGCGCGATAATATATTATTTTTATGATATCACCGAGCCAAGGGGCATTGGTATTCCAGGGGCAGGACAGTGCCACTCGCTTTTCACTCTTTCCCTCTTTCCCCTGATTCCTGGCCGCTTTTTATCCCCCTCTTTTATCCCCGCCTCTTGGCCTCTTAAAGACAGTTCCTTGGTCCGGCCACTTTCCGTGATACCTATCTACAGCCGATTGCATAAATGGTTCAGATATATTTTTCACTTCTGAACCTCGAAAATGTACAGTTTATCATATGGAAAAATTATCAGAGGAATATATGATACGTATTATATATATGTGCATACGTACTGTAAGTACTTTAAAGCACGGAAAGAGCAAGGTTGCGAGCCTAAGACCTCGGCGAAGTACCATTTCCTGCAATTTTCGATTTTTCTCACGACTGCCTCTGAAGTATCCGAAATATCGGGAAATCATCCAACTAATGTCACGACGATGTTCGCCTTTAACCTAGTAAATATATCTTTATTCGGTTCAGCAAGGTCCCTTTTCTCTTTTCTTTCCAGGAATCGGATATGCAGTGGCCTTGATCGCGTTCTACGTCGACTTCTATTACAACGTGATCATAGCCTGGGCACTTCGGTACTTCTTTGCCTCCTTTTCGAGTATGTTACCCTGGACGACGTGCGACAATCCTTGGAACACTCCTCTCTGCCGGGAATTCGACGTGAACGTTTCCTACATCGATGACTTCCCCGATCCGGAGATCGATTCCTGGTCAAACGTCTCGACGAGTTTTCGGAACGGTGTCGTCAATGCATCCTTGGAGGATTATGGAAACAGCACGATATATACCAGCGCCGCGCAGGAATACTTCAAGTAATTTCCCGTGTACATTCATTATGAACTTGTTAACAAGGACTTTAATTACGACCGTCTTGAATTTCAAAGCCGGGCCATCCTGGAGCTGCACCAGAGCGCTGGACTGCATGACTTGGGAGCCATCAAGTGGGACATTGCCTTGTGCCTCCTCATAGTCTACCTCATCTGTTACTTCTCCTTATGGAAAGGAATTTCCACCTCGGGAAAAGTGAGAATCTATCGTTAGAGCTCAATTTAAAATCCAAGTACACGTGGTGAGTGAAATTTTATTCCCCATTCTGCCTTCTTCCAGGTGGTGTGGTTCACCGCCCTGTTTCCGTATGCGGTTCTCCTGATTTTACTCGTACGTGGAGTGACATTGCCCGGAAGTGGCGAAGGCATCCGCTATTACCTGAGGCCGAACTTCACCGCCATCACGAAGGCGGAGGTAAGTCGGAGGAAATGTTGAAACGAGGAAAATTGGGGAATTTCCCAGCTAGTAACAGGTACCGAGATCGAGCGCTCCAAAGGGAAGCCCTCGAGAATGTCCTTTCCAGGCGAAAGCACCCTCGTGGTAATGCATCGTGCGATCAAATATGGCGGAAAAGTAAAAGGAGGGGTAAAAGGAAAGCGTGGCAGGAGGAAGAAAAAAGTGGGACTGGCGTGCCCGAGCGAAAATGGAAACTCTGTGTAGCTGTCATAATAGCCATTAGAGATGTCGGTCGCTCGTATCCTCAACCCTCTCGGCAGCTCGCACGTGGAATGCATTTTCCCCTGTGATCTTGGACACGCGGGGACCTCGTACAGGATGTGACATTAACTGCTGGACATTTTATCCGAGAACTACGAGCCTTCCACCGTGCACGATTCGACCATTCCCAGTCATGTCCTTTGACTTCAAGCCCCCCGATTTCCTCGCTCAGTCGTTTAACTTTAATTCCTGTATGTATTTCTCCGTATCACTGTTATCAGGTGTGGGTGGATGCCGCTACGCAGGTCTTCTTTTCCCTTGGCCCAGGATTTGGCGTACTCTTGGCCTACGCGAGTTACAATAAGTATCACAACAACGTTTACAAGTAAGTCTGATGTGAATTTTGTGATATTAAGTATTTCTTCGTACTTAAGTCTTCTTGTATTTTTGCGCTCATGTGATTGTATTCTTTTTTTTTTTTTCTTTAAGGGATGCCTTGCTGACTAGCTTGATAAACAGTGCGACTTCGTTCGTGGCCGGTTTCGTGATATTCTCGGTTTTGGGGTACATGGCACGAGCCAGTGGAAAATCCATTCAAGACGTGGCCACGGAAGGTCCAGGGTTGGTCTTCATCGTTTACCCTGCAGCGATTGCAACAATGCCAGGATCTATATTTTGGGCTTTGATTTTCTTCATGATGTTACTGACCCTTGGTCTGGACAGCTCGGTAGGAATATATTTTAACGTTCTTAAGCCCTTGCAACAACTAAAGCTCACATATATAATATTTTCCACTTTTAGAGATTTAATTTATATCAGAAGTATTTTCTATCTCTTTAAACGCGATAGGCGTCTTCGGGCGTCATAACCTGGTGCGGGTACAAAGAGCATTCATTTTCATTTATCTCTGCTCTTCTTCTTTCTGATAGTTCGGAGGATCCGAGGCAATCATCACGGCGCTAAGTGACGAGTTCCCGATTATTGGCAACAATCGCGAAATCTTTGTCGCCTGCCTTTTCACGCTCTATTTCCTCGTGGGACTTGCATCTTGCTCTCAGGTAAGTTGAAAGAGAACGGAATCAGATATCTACTTGTGCTTTTTATCCGAGGATACATTATGTAGAAAGTTAACATTGAAATACTGTATAGTGATTGAGCCTACGAATTTATTCATTCCAGGGAGGTTTTTATTTTTTCCATCTCTTGGATCGTTACGCTGCTGGTTATTCGATGCTATTTGCTGTCCTGGCGGAAGCTATCGCAATTAGTTGGATCTATGGAGCTGATCGTTTCTGCGCCGACATTAAAGACATGATTGGTTTCTCACCCGGCCTTTATTGGCGAGTCTGCTGGAAATTCGTCGCCCCCATATTCATCATGGTACGCTTGTTTCTGTATTTCCATAACTTTTGCATACAATTTCTCCGTAGAATTGACCTGAATTAAGATTCATGCAGTACGGGGCATTCAAAGCTACGATTGTCGGATTAATCTCAGCCAATTAGGGCGTTTAACTGATGCAGAGTACAATTCCTCGTTTCCTTGTTAATGTAAATTCTTACTTCGTGTCTGGTATCTAGTTCATCATAGTCTATGGGTTGATGGGGTACGAGCCGTTGACGTACGAAGACTACGAGTATCCTGTGTGGGCCAATGTCCTCGGTTGGCTCATTGCATCCTCCTCCATTGCCATGATTCCTGGAGTAGCTATCTACAAAATCATCACGACGCCTGGAACATTTGTACAGGTCAATGATTAATTTTAATAATACCCATTTAAGATCAACGGACCAAAGGATCAGAAGACCATGACATACATTCACATGATATCTTCTTTAAGAATGATATCGACAGAGATAATTCAATTTTTCTTACGATAAGTGCACGAAACAATAAAAATACCAATAATTCGCGTACCTAATGGACAATTAAATTGAACTTGGGCATTTAACTTCGATTTTCCAGAGGATGAAAATTTTGACGACACCTTGGAGAGACACTCAGCAACGGGCTACGTTCTCTTCCGTGGCGAACGGTGCTGTGAGGAGGAGTTTCCTCGCAGGGGAAGGCTTCGATGTCACAACGGCAGAGGAAGAAATGACGAAGGAGCAGACGGAGGTCATGATCCAGCCCTGTGAAGAAATCAATGGAGATCCTCCTCCTGAACCCGTGTAGGACAATACCGTAGTAATCCTGCACGGTGCTCGGTTCCAAGTTTACCTTTGTTAGCGTAAACCAAATCCGTAGCTTCGTCTTTACGAATTCTACGCTCTGCCGGGGTTTGTTACAGAAATTAACGCGAGATCGTCTTCTTACGGAAAGACTGAAGTGCGGTAGGACTGGTTGTGTGATTTTGCCTTTAAGTGGTAGAATGTTGAGCCTTTTCGTTTTTTTTCTTCCCTGAAAACGTGATGATGTTCATGTCACCTCATTGCATTTCATTACAAGAATTGTGAATCTAATAATAGGCGAGAATTATTCATGATTGGACATTCATCCTACATCCGTGAGTTTCTATAAGCAAGAATGTGTATAAGAAAGCTGGCAGATGTGGTTACTTGTATGTGTCCTATTATGAGCCGTCGTTAAAGCGTGAAATATTTATAACAAGGGGTTTACAAAAAACGTGCAAAGTCTAACGGTCAGAATCTGCCATTTTTATTGCGAGGAACAATATTTAACAGTGATGTAATAGAACTTTTATGTCACTGCGGTAATACGACCAAGTAAAGATGCAAAGGGCTCAGCGAAATTGTGAAAAATAACGACAATTTCGCTGCGAGGTATGATGTGCACTTTTTATTCGGGACAACTCTTTGGAAAAGTACTTATTCACGTTTTCTTCGATGCCACGTATCATTTTTATTTTTCTATTGTGGATAAATAGCTGCCTTTTATAAATTAATTACAGAGACTTATACTGTCTTAATGACATTATATCTTCCTTTTTTGAACATTTGCTAAAATTTCTCTGTAAATAATCCGAAGCTAGTTAAACCATTTGTAGCTTCTTATGAAACAATACTCGATTGACGGGCCATTTCGGTGAAATGAATGATAATTATTGATGTAAAGGAGACTTTTCGTAAGGTATATTACATTTAAGAGAAAAAGGGCGTCGCCGCTTTTACTCAGAAGGGAAATCTTGAGAGGGCGAAATGTAGGTCAAGGCTTTAGTAGAAATGTAGTTAAATATCTCTTAAGCTTCACAGAGTGCAAGCCGGATCTTGTATTCTGGAGAGATCTTTTTTAGATTTTATTCATCACTTATATCCCCTTCAATATCGTCCATAAAGAATTTCAGCGGGACTTTTTGTACCTAATGACATATTCCACCGTACTTGCATTTCTTAGCATCTGGTGTTTAACAATGTTTGCAAAAATCTGACTTATTCCAACGAAATTCGTCGTGAATATTTCCTAACGAGAGATATTTATCTACCATTAATATTTATTGAACAATGATTTATCCATTGCTTTGTGTATACAAAATCAACGGGTTTACGATTCCTTTGATTTTATCCCTTGACGTTGTTATACAAAGGTATTCGCTGTTAGACTATTATATTTTATAAGAAAGGACAGATTTATTTCCCGTTCTGCAGAAGTAGGAAATACTATTTAAGATGTTACGCTTTGTTAAGGATAAGAAATTGTAATGTGTAAGTGGGCGTTACTCTCGAACGAGGGCCGACAGTTTAGAACCAAATACCTGATGTTTACTATACAAGAGATATAGTAATCTGCTCGTCTTGATAGTACCTTATAAGACTATAAATTCATAAATTGGGCGAAGCGGATATAATATGGACTACACTCAATTGTCACGCTTTCCCAAAAAACAATGCTATAACGCGACACGTAATTCACGCTATACGTAAATTACCTGTAAACCAACTCGATCGACGAATTAATTGAAACGGCGATAAACCCATGAAAGTAAATCGAGATCAAAATGAAAAGTCGAAGCGAGACTGGCCATGATCGTTGCACATAGTGCAATAAATAGACGCGGCGTAATTCGACCTTTTCGACAGATCAGGATTGCAATAATAATACTAGCAGGGACAATAGCGATTAAGTAATTCGTAAGGCCTCTGTAACTCGTGCGATTACCATTCGTTCGCTTTAAAAGACGATGTAAGTACGGTATGTCGTAAATCGCAGGAAGAGAATCTGTAAACATATCCGAGAGAAAATCGGAAATGGTAATACATTCGACCAAACACCAGTAACTTAAGCAACGTTTCCACGTAACTTAGATTAATATTATTTATTAATTATTTCACGGGCGCTAATGCGGAGTTTAATTTTAATTTCAGTATTATTTTCAATTATTTAAGCATTAAGACGTGTGAGAGAATGTGTCTCTGTTGGTCACACACGGACTCAAGGGTATTCTCAGAATTTCTATTGAGAAGACTTTAGTCTGTAGGTGTGGAAATATGATATATATATAATAATTAATTATGAGCATTCATACGCGGTACCGTACTACCTCTATATGCAATTGCGAATGTTCATACAAATCATGCCGTGAGTCTTGCAGCCATATTCACGATCGCGTGATTAGACGAATGTTCGCGTTCCGTATGATAAGAATTTAGAAAATGTTACGAATCAAAATTTAGATTACGAGGAGAAGGATAAGTTCCCGTAGAAGAATTATACCGTGCTTTGAAATATTATCTCCCGAATAGTCAGATTGTCTAGAAAAATTATTTTTCTTTAGTCTTATGGTCTACCATGATATATTATAAATTAAGTCTATGTTTATCGAAACGAAAGAACAGTTTAACAGGAATTTTAGATGTAAATTTTCCACGTGCATTTAATTTGCGTCCCTAAAGTTGTTTAACTGTGTACTAAAAGACAAAAGTTAAATGGGTTAAAAACTGTCACTACTGAGTAAGAAATCCCTCCCGATGATTGTGCAGTAGAGTCATTGGCGTAATTGTAGAGAGCGATAGTTTGTAGATATTGTTGTTAAATAAGTTATATACATATATATATATATTTTGTACATCGCATCTGAGCTGCGGCCACAGCCATAGGTAGCAGCTCAGGCCTTGTTGATAATAATAGGTGATAATTGATGCCAAGTTAACGAATCCCAGTCTGGTAGGCAAATTATAAGTACTCCGTTTGACGGATATTTGCATAAACATTCTACGTCGGAAGTCATTCATACTGCGATCTGAATTCTCGGTGGCCATGCACCTCCAAGAGCCATATTGGACGCGCATCCACTGAGAAGAATAAATAATTATTTTATATTAAAATTCTTTATAACCATTGATGTTATTATTAAATTATTATTAGCGCTCAATTCCGGCGCCATTGATTTCGATTTTGTAGAGTACGGCCAAGATGTAACCATCGTTTTGAATCGAATAAAATTTGTTTGTTTAATGAAACTGCTGCTTCGACGGAGAGTAACCGAGTTATATTTTTACTATGTACTTGGAACATTCATTATAAATAAATTCATGCTTCGTATGTTTAAATAGGGGGCTCTGAAGATCATACATTTTGAATTTCGCGCGGTATGCATCACGGTCAATCCAGAAGTTTCGATTAATCGACACCGGTCGGCATTGTATGTACAACATGGCGTCGGACGATGAAAAGCTGTTGGCCCTCCAAAAGGAGATTTTTACGAAAATTTACAATGATAAGGTGACAGAACTGAAAACATTATTGGGGGCGAACAAGATCAAGGTTGATTTCATCGACGAGAATGAATTGAGTCCTCTGCAGCACGCCTGCTACAGAGGTAACACCGAAATAGCACAGATGCTCATAGATCAGGTAGGTTAGGTCCGATATGTCGATGTTATTCTTACTGTTGATGGCACAATTTCCCTTAAAAATGTGTGCCGAAGTAAACGCAATATTCCATCAAAACTACGGAATCTGAGATGTTTATGTTATAAAATTTAAGATATTCGATTTTTAATATACATGTTTCTCATGAAATGTTATAAGTCCATCGGGAATATTTTTTGCATCTTGATTTAATGAAAGCTAAGCACAATATGCCTATTGGATGAAATAAATGATGTGTTCACATGTATTGGGTGTAATGAGGGCATTATTTACAGGGCGCGGACGTAAATATGTGTCTGCACGAACATGCTTATACTGCTCTCCATTTTGCTGCATTAAGTGGCAATGCCGATCTTTGTCATTTGTTAATGTCACACAATGCCAAAATTACTGCAGTTAATGACGTTGGACGCACACCGGCGCAATTAGCTGCCTTTGTTGGGAATTACAATTGTGTGGCAACTATAAATAATTTCATACCGAAAGCTGATATAGATTATTATATCAAACCACAAGGACTACAGACTGAGCCACTACTTCCACCTCATTTAGCAGACTCGTTTCATAAGTTCATAATGCAAGGGAACGTTCATCCTGTACGTGTAGCATTAAACTTGCAAAGATGTCCTGGACTTTTGGAGAATCTTCCCAAGGTATTTTATCAATTAATAAAGCATTTACTTATATATTATTTTATATAAAAATATATGCACTTCATTTATTAACTCGTTTAGGTGCAGAAAGTATTGGAAACAATGCGATACCGAGAGATGACTCGTGGAGTGGAAACAAATGAAATAATGGCATTTAAATATCACTACCTCAGTTGCGTAGTTGCCGAAGTAATAAAATGTCAGAAACACCAAGAAGCACTGAAAGCTGAGAAAAAGTCTGATCCTGTTGAGTTACTAGTCAGAAAATTTTTGAAGTGTAGCAAAAGTGATGGCAATCCTGAGTATCAAGAAAGTTTCTTGCGTGAATCCGTGCGTGAGTTTCCCTTTAGGGAAAGCACAATTTTTAGACAGATGGTAGCAACTCTGGCCAGTAACGATCCACCGTCGGCTGTATCGGTGGTATCAGCTGCGATCAATGGTCAAAGAGGTTTTACCGATAATCTTCAGATTTGTATAACTTGTGGTGAAGAGAAAGCCACAAAGAAATGTAGTAAATGTAAGGCGGTACAATATTGCGACAGAGAGTGCCAAAGGTTGCACTGGTTTATGCATAAGAAAGCATGTGCTAGGCCAGTTGGCCAAACTTCTGGTGGTATAAAAGTGACTGAGACAGACAAGATTTAAATTGGTAATGCAGTTAGCACAAGATTACAACATTTTGCGGTCAATTTGGACGTGTGATCGCCTTGTAAAAAGGAGTCGTTCAATCAATTGTCGCACATCTGGATGCTCTGTACCTCTACTTGGCTCTGCACTTATTTATTTTCTGTAAATAACCAATTCCCATATGTGCGATCATGGCTGCAAGAGCCATGACATTGGTGCTTGAAAAAGATTTCATCAGTTCGTAATTTCGTCCTTTTTAAACAAAAATGGATTGCAAGAGTACAATTTATATCAAGCATTAGTGCAGTCATACATGTCATTTAATTTGGAATGAATGAATGGAAATTCTCGAGAAAAGTATTATAATTCAACGCCATGAAATATTGTTGTAACGTAGTCACTGATGTAAGGAAAAATGGGAGTGGTCATCGAAAGCAGCCAGTTAGTTTATTGTGATATCAGTATCTCGATGAATTAAGTTTTATAATACTGCTTTTGGTGTTGACCATCTTTTAAAACAATCCATAGATAGGGTATAAGAATATGGATTTTAAAAATAAGCGATACTCTAATGAAACAGTAATTGATCTGCAAGTATTTTCCGGTGAAATGCAATTCATTTCTTAATGTTCACCAGCCAATTGCCAAAGTAAAAGGTGCTAATCTTTAGCATCTTCAGGAAATAGACTTTTATATGACGGCATGTGACGTAACATCAAAACCCACGCAACAGTGCTGACAATTAGTCCAATGTAAGGACGAATGTCCGTATCGAATGATCTCTGTACGATAACATTATTTTTGAGTACTTTTTATGTGCTTCTGATTTTTTACCATTCGATTCCAAACAGTCTGTGCATTTTGCAACCAGTACATCCCCCTGGAGCATCCTATTATCAGTGTACTCACCCATGTGGTTGTAATATCATTGTAATGCAATCGTGTACATTTGTACTTAGTCGAAAGTAACTCTTTTATTCCCAGTCTAGGAGTTGTTGGGCGAGTCTTCGTGGACCTCGTAGAGGCAATGATTCTAAATAAAAGTACATTAACATCAACGTCCCCAATTACTAAATCTTTAATCCTTTCCGAAACATTGAAAAACAGTTCTTACATAATATGTAAAATATTTCATGATGTTACTTAAGTGAATACAAATTGAAAACAATAGATAAATTGCATCGATGACATGCCCGAGTGCCAGCCGTATACCTTAGTTTATTTTCCACGTCTATTGACTTGAAATTTTCGTGTTTCATTGTACAAGTCAATCGTTACATGCTAAATATACATATTTCAGAGTTATGCGGAACTCTTCACAGCAATTTACACTTATTAGTAGTATATACTAGACATTCTATTTAATCATGGCTGGGTCTACAGTCTATCGAATGGCTCTATTATATAACCTGCGTATTTTAAATTTCGAAATTTGCCGTTCATCCCTTTCCGGCCGGGGAAACGAGGAAAGCGAGATGTCGGTTTCTGAGAAGCCGACGCGGCTCGCATGCCGATTTTGAGGTTAAAGATCACTCCGACACGTTTCTAAAGTACGCGGGTCGTCGGCACGATATTTCGTCCAAGTCCCGGGTATTGGTTCCTTAGATGGCTTTCACTTTTGTCAACGAACCTGCCAAACGGACGGTCATTTGTAACGGGTGACTCGGAAGTTTTCTCCTTTTTATCTTCGGCGAAAATAATAAAAATACCCGTCGTGCATCGGTGCTTTCGGTCGCAATCGGTCACAATGGCGGCGCGCGAAATCCCGAGGTCTTCTTGACTTTGTCCATTTATTCAAGGCACACTGTAACATTAAAACATTAAATTATACGAAAGATCATTACTTACAGGTGGGACCAAAAGTTAATAGGAAGTTTGAAGAGAATTTCGTCGTCTTATATATATTAACGGAGTTGAAACACTCGCGAAACATTTAAATGTATATCAAAGTGTAGTAATGTGAATATATCGTGGGAAATGTAAATACCAGTAAGAACTGTGAGAAGCCTTGAAATAAACACGATTTCATTCCTGACAATGGTGAATGTCTTTTCCCAAGCTGAAAGCGGGGAGTTTAATTTTTTATCCCAATATCCGGTGTTTGCCGAAGAGTAACTGCGTGCCGGTATGTAAAGAGACTTGCCCCTGGCCCATTACTGATCTGGGTACTTCCCCGTTATATAATTGGCCGCATAGAAAGTAGAAACGCTGATGTATACATTTTCTACGGACTAGACGAATGTCCATTTTTTGTATCTACACTCTGGCCGAACAGTTTCAAACCCTATATTTCCTGAAAAGTTAATCATTCATTGTTAACATCTTAGAAATTACAAGTATATCGCGCATACCGTAATTGGACGATTAGGCGAACCGTGAAGGTCACGTAATTGTCTTTCTGGTGCCATAAAACAAGGTGAGACGACTGGCAACCGATATGACATTTAGGAATTTCTTTGTCCATTGAAATTACCTTCGTGAATTTGAACGGAATGGTAATTGAACCTCGTTCATGGCGTTGGTAGTTAAAAATTGGCAGGATGCATAAATACCGACGGAATAATGCTACAGATTATCGGAGCTCAGGGTGTTGCTTTCTAATTTTTTTACAAATATTCGGCTATGTTCCTTTCCCTCTCTTGGCTTCGGACACCTAAGTCGAGGAGCCGGATGTTTACATCTGCAATTTAGAAATGCGCCAAGGACGAAAACAAAGACATAAATTTGCGAAAATACATTTGCCGTGAATCTAATCGAGAAACGCCTTACCGATAAAATCGCTTAAATCTTAATGTTAAGCAAGCCTTAGCCGTTCGTTCATCGGTTACTTTCTCCCCGTCTCTGGTTTATAATAACAGATTCGAAAATAACATAATCCATTATCATACGGTACGCAGAATGATTAAGGCTCACATGAGCTCGTACATTATACGCTACGACAGTACATATTTTCTACTTTCTTCTAGGCACTGCTTTCATCTGAAATACATGGTAAGGTTCAGAGGCGTTCTCCTCGTCAGAGGATTCATGACCAGAAGAACGACTCTAAGGAATCATGGGAACTTCTTTCCCGAGTTACGCCTACTTCTTCTTTGTAAAAGAATTTGCCAAGAATACGCGCCAAGTTTGGAATCCCGAGTAGCGTTACAGGTTTCATTCTGTTACTAATTTGTCCTTCGACGACGATACTTGTGTTCGTAATCGAAAAAAAAAGAAGAGTTGCAAGCAAGACGGCATCCGGGGACGGCGCGAGGGAAACCAAGATGGCGTCGCACAGCCCAATTTACGTCTATTATAGAATAACATAATCCATTTTCATATGGGACGTAGAACGATTAAAGCCCACAAGCGCTTGTACATTCTACAGTATTTCACTACGTATTATGTACTTTCTTTCAGGCACTATTTTCTTCTAAAATACCCAGTATACTTCACTTTCTCCTCGTCAGAAGATTCATGACCAGATGAAACAGCAGAGTAATCATGGGAACTCTATTTCTGAGCTCCACCTTCTTTGCAACAGAGTTTGCCGATAACCCGCGCCAAGTTCAGTGTCCCAAGTAACGTTATAGATTCCATTCCATTATAAGTTCGGTCCCATCAATTACGGTACCAGTGTCCGTATTCGAAGAGGAAGCGGCAGGAAGCTCGGCGCGAGAAGCAAAATGGCGGCGGGGAAGCGTAGCCGAATTCACGTCGTATAGAATTATAATAACAGATTCTAAAGTATCACAGTCCATTTCCATACGTTACTGTTCATACATAGCGTGGAATTTCAATTTTTGTTTTCTCTCTTCGGAAGGTCCACAGCCGGACGAAAAGCCAAAGAAATCATGGAAACTTTTTTCCAAGCTCCACCCGCTCCTCTGCAACAAAGTTTATCAGGTTTAGATCCCCAAATTGTAGATATTCCATTTCATTGCAAGTTCGTGCCCGTCAACGGTACTGGCGTCCATACCCGAAGAGGAAGCCGCGTAAGAAGCCGGCGCGAGAACCAAGATGGCGGCGCGGAAGCGCCGAATTCACGTCGCTCGGTCCCCGCGGCGTCGGCAGTAGTAGAGGAACGCCGGAGGTAGGGGCCAAACAACGGTATCGGGGCGCGAGGAAGAGGTAAACTAGTCTCGGGCCTCCCAGTCGATGACTTTTGAATTAGTCCTCGAATCGAGGAGGAAACGCCAAGATCGACAGCGGCGATGAGGAGAGCGCAGACCTTGAGCCTCTCGGCGACGACGTTGAGCCTGTTGGCGGTGACGTTGGGCCAGGTCGGGGCTACGGTAAGAGGTCCCATTCAGGACGCCATTCAGAGCGGTGCAGCGGCCGACTACAACCGCGAAGACTGCGTCTGGAGACGCGGGAACGACCGGGACTCCTGTCCGGACCCCGACGTCCACGTGTACCTGCACACGAAGGGGAACCCCAGGAGGCAACTGGACGTCTCCCAGTCCGACTGGCTGAGGCGTCCCGACTACGAGCCCCAGAACGAGAACATCATCCTGATCCACGGCTACGCGGGCGGCGACGACACCCTGCCCATCGCGGTCCTGAGGGACGCCTACGTCAAGAACGGCAGCTACAACGTCTTCCTGGTGGATTGGGGCAAGTTGTCCGCTGCGCCCTGCTATCCGGCAGCAGTGGCCAACCTGAGGCCGGTTGCCAGGTGCCTGGCAGGCACCCTGACCGCCCTGAGGAACTTTGGCCTGCAGATCCCCAGGACCACCTGCGTGGGACACTCCTTGGGGGCCCATCTCTGCGGCATCGTCGCCAACTACTTGCTCTTCAGGATGCACAGGATCATCGGCCTGGACCCTGCCAGGCCCTTGGTCAGACCTGGACTGGTTAATCGGCTGGACAGTGGCGATGCCGAATTCGTCCAGGTCATTCATACCAATGCTGGGTATTACGGGGAGACCGGACGCGTGGGCCACGTCGATTTTTGCGTCAATGGCGGAAAGGTGCAGCCCTTCTGCGAGAACAGGAGGAACGAACAATTGTGTAGCCACGTTTGGGTGGTTTGCTATATGGCCCAGAGTATCGACGGAGGAAAGGACATGGTTGCCGATGCCTGCTCCAGGAGGTGTCCCTCTGGACCCAGGATCACGCAGAGGACAAACGAAGTGCTGATCATGGGCCAGCACACTCCGTCCGGGTCTAGAGGCTCCTTCTGTCTCACTGGCTACGATCCACCGTATTGTCCTAAGTATAATCGGGGTCGTGGAGACGAGAGGTGCTGTCTTTGATGTGCCGATTCGACCTGACATTCGCCATGATTGATACCAGTTCATTCCAACTGGATGTCCCATCCAAAAACTGGGAATGGAACGATGAGGAAGCCCGACAAAAAATTCTACAGAGTGAAACGTTTAAGACTCCTTTCTCCAAATTTGAATAATCTCTTTATTTTTAACAAATTCTGATGATATTCAAGATATACCTAAAACGTATTGGCCGTAGTTTTTTTTTCCCCCGAAGGTTTATGTTACCATATCGACGTTAATGGAAGGCAAGGGAAAACTATACGGATTAAATTTATTATTATTTCTTGAGCTGTTTAAATTTTTTTTTTTAGGTTTTGATGTGCATTTTTGTGCCAATAGGCGTTTGATTTTATAACTTTACTCATAATAGTTATAAAGGGGGAATTTTTGGTCTCATTTGATTCCTCGTGGAATTCTTATCGTGACTGATGTATCGCTAGAAAAGTATGTGACATGAATGCATTTTTTAAATGATTTAGGCAGAAGACCTTATTATATTTAAAAGATGTTATATTTAAAATAAGTTAGTTATTCGCGTTTATAGGATTCTTAAAAACGATATCCTGGAGTTCGAGGAGCAATTTGATCAGAATTTGTGTTTGCTTGTTGGCGTCCACAAAGCTTTGCATTCTCTGTGCATCCTTTAAAGAAAGCTGGGCATCGATCGATCAGATCGATCGAGGCGTCCTGAATACGAGAAAAGACATTTTGCCGATAAATGGCTTTACACGAACTGTGCCATTTTCTGAAATTTCTCCAGTAGAAATGTCGGGTCTCGAACGTGGAAATGTGTATCTCTGCAAAGAGTTAAACAGAGATTTTGTTTATTTGCTCCGAGCAAACGTTTCTCTTGGAAGTGCAGAACTTTCCCAATGACTTTTTACCTCGATTTCGTATTCAGGTAGAGTCAGGGTCTGTCCCCATGAATCATTAAAGAAGGTCTTCCCGACTTCGGGAATTAAGTATTGCATTGTAACGTCCACGTCCAACAAAAATATATACATATATACACGTTGGATAAGAAAAAAAAGTATTATACAGTTTATTGACAAAGGAGTGAACGACCTTGAGCTTTATTTCCGCCATTTTGTTCCACTTTACCTGGATTAATTCCTTATTTAAGAATTTACCGTACTTCTAATCGATAAGTAAATGTTATTAATCATAATGTTATATTAATTCCCGCGCTATACCGTGCCGACTTTAACAACAATGTATAAATTCCTTCACCTCGACCGATCCATCTTAGTATTTATGACATACTTATAAGTTGATACAGTTTGTAGGAGAATGCCTCGTTATCAATAAACTCGGTGATGTAATGCACTAGTAAAGTCTTGCGCAATTGCCTCGTTCGACTGAAATCCACTTTTAGACCACAATTTACTTTTCCCTCAGACAAGTCTAACACGCGAGGTCGATTGAGATCAACTTAAGTCGGTCAAATTATAACCAGTTTATATTTTCCTTCGCCCAAGGTAAACTCGATTCGCGCCAGTTGCGATTTAATTCTAATTGAAAGTGGAAAGTAATTACCCTTTCCATCGTTTATCCGTAGATCAAGAGTCAGTTTCAATAGTCAGTACGGCTGATTTGTATGCCAGGTTGGATCCAGGGCATTCGTGCATTCGTAATGGTAACGGATCGGTACCGTTAAGTGCTCCAAAAAACATTCCTGGATAAGAATAAACTCACCATTTTAGTAAGGGATATGCTAATGATGTCGGGACTTGACCCGGCATCGTGGCAATGTACAGAGAAAAAAAGGAAAAAAAAACAAAATGATTTGATCAGTGAGGGTCTCGCGTAACCGCGATTAACGGCGCGTTAAAGACGCCATTTTTTCATATGACGCTCGTCGAAGTGACACGACGATACAACCTGCCCCGCATTTGCATAATTCATGCAATCACCCTGACGAGCACCGGCACGATCACCTTGATTAAGCGGTCGACATAATGTACGCTCGATCGAACGGGATCGTAGCCTAAGTCATTGCGTAAATCGCGTAACGATAGGACAACGACACTATACCGTAACGCCGTTACACGGACATTAATAACTCCGCTTAACGCTTTCAGGATCGATATTTAGGGAGCGATCCCTAATTAGGGAGAGTTAACGATGGATCGTTGCCTTGAGCCTAAAAGGGGTTAAAATATTATAATATATTCCTCACAGTCCGTACAAGAGGATTAGGATATGATAATGCAGATATATAGGTCGCTCGATATATAGGTACCAAATGACGCCACCTCTAAAACGTTACATTCCAAATTAAAGGAAACATACTTATTAGATGCTCTGGCTTGGGAAATATGTAAAAGAAATGTTGCATTCCAGTGTCGTATTCCGTTCCTCGATGGCGGTTTGCGGTTCCTCGCAAACCTTGGAATTGACTTTGCCCAACGGGACAACCTGTTCTCGAGTGCGCAGTTAAGTTAATGTGCCCGTGTAAAAAGGATATGCGTTAGGGTTTTAAAAAGTCAGAAGGAGGCGGAATTCTTTGCAGGAGGCGCGTGGCCGTCGAGAATAAGCGAGAAAAATGGGGGCTCGGAGAAGAGATTAAGGAGAGTTAAGATGAGTTCCCGTCGTCCCTTGTCCGAAATCGGCTCGCATTCCTCGCCGCCATTTCCGGGGCCTGGGGAGGCGTAAAAGGGAAATTCGGCGCAACGAAGCCGGGTGCCATCCTGGTTGCGTCACCGAGCTACACTAAAGTTCGTTTAACGGCGATTAGCGGAGGTCCTATCTCGAGGAAAACTCGAGGCGGCGCCAGTTAACGCCAAAGTGTCGTCGCCATACTCGAGGCACGTGACGCCGCCGGTGGCGCCGCCCGGCGAGGTCGCAGTCAACTTGACGGCAATTTGCCACGCACGATTGTGTTCACGGAAACGGATGAGTCGTCTTCCATTAAAGCACTCTGGACTTCTGGCTCTTCTCTTCTGGGCCTTCTCAACGAGTCATCGAAGCTGCGGTGACGACTTCCGGCATGTTGCGAAGGGAAGATAGGAAAGTCGCTCGACGAACGGAGGGTTTACAGAGGGCTTCGGAAAATGCCTGTATTATGTAACAACTGCAACATAGTATCGGACTAATTTCAGGAAAATCTAAGCAACTGCCATTTTGCACGCCGTATCGTATAATCTTTGGTACGTTGCTCCAGTAACTAATTATTAGGTGGTCAAGAATGCGGTTTTTGACGTTTAAGCCTTCGTTTTCAAATAAAGTTCTCTTCTCTTTTAGGTCCATTTTGTGCACAACTTGTAACTAAGAATCTTTCCGAAGATAAGTAACAGGTTATCGAAGAACTTTATAATAGCTCCTTCGATTTTTCTAGTGTATATACGGAGTTAAGGGTTGACAGTCCTACAGAAGCAGGAACTTCTGTTTTCCGTCGAGGACTTGGCCCTTTCAAGCAGCTTCATCTTGACTTACCGAAGAAGTCTGTTTTGGAGGGTGTGTCTAGACGAATTCAGTAACCGGAAACTCGAAAACCCACTCGAAGAACCTTTGGACCGAACGGTAAGTATTAATTGCCACGAATCTCCCTTAATTAATCTGAATCTTTTAGAATACTCGTTTTTTTTTTCTTATTAAATAAAAATGGAAGAGGGCACTTTGAGAGTTATGACATTAGTTTATTTGTTGCCATCGTTCATTTTTAAAAAATAAAATTTTTATCGGTTCTTCGGCGCCTAATGGAGGACTATACCGGTGAGACTCTCTGTACGCAGGGTAACATACTGTTTAGGTGCAGATGTAACAATCCGATCATTACGCGGCAGAGGTAAATATTTTTCATTCGAAAAAATAATAACTTGATATATTCATCAGATGCATCGGTAATAACGCCCTTCGAGAACCATAACAGCTAATGATAAGGCACCCTATCGTAAGGAAAGTATGTCTATGAACAGTAGACAGCACCCTAATAGCAGCCCTGAGGAATACTTAATTTGCAAGTAATTACATCGTCATTACTCTTACATCAGTTCTCGTGAGATAGGATCGACAAGGGGCACGATGTGCGGATAATTGTTGGAAAATGAAAACTAGCGTGCAACGGGAAGGTTAATAAGTGCACCGAGCTTTGTATAAAAGGTAATTTATTGCAACGGTAATATGAAACATAAAGGCAACCTGCCTCACTTTTTATAGACTATCACTTAGGAATAACAATTTTATGTTGCAACTTATGGCCTGAGAGGAATCTTCCAAAGGACCATCGCGCGGTTAAAAATGGCCAAAATATTGAAGTCGATATTCCAGCGCACTATTTTGCCCACTTCTAATACTAAAAATGGAAGTCACCCTTAAGTCGAGCTTAAGCTATAGTTATTAAATCTACTTGCCACGATTATAAACTATATACTATTTACAGAACGTACTATCAAGACGCGTATCGTAGGTTGCATAGAGATATAGATCGTGGCGTTATAAAAATATAACATATGTACAGAATATTAACGAGTTAAGGCACATTAGAAATACTTTCATATTTACAGATAATCCGCATCTGTAGGTACATGGTAATTGCAATGGAAACACTGAGACTGTAGAATACGATTTTCTTCGTAGACGGTTATATAACAGAATGTATAAAATTTCTCGAGCTCATTTTCGCAGCCTTAGAAGAACACGGCAACAATTGGCACAGAGTGAAATGTAACAATATTATAAATGCAATCAAGTCTTGACGTTGGAGTAAGTATAAAAATAATACCTTGCTATCGCATTGTATTACAAGCCTCCACTTAATTTACATTTAACTATCTGCACCTTAATCATTTATTTACTATCCAACAATACGGTGTTTATAACTAACCTAACGATCACTCGCCTAATAAATGTCCCCTTACTTACAATCTCTCTTGTATAGACATATTATTGCACATGAGTCATAGAAAATTTACGAAGATATTTTACAAAGAAGATAATTACGGCGCGGTGTAACGACAGTCTTCTAATTTAGCGTTTGATTGAGGACGCACTCCTTCTCACAAACTTCGTGTAAACCGAGCAGAAGGTCGCGGGTACTCGTGAACAATGCAGCAGCAGTAACGAGCCGTACAAGCCATTGAATTGTATGCACCTAGTGCATTAGGAAGTTCCTGACAATAGACGGAAGTAAGACGACCTCCAACATCGGCAAGCCATTTCCCGTAAGAGTACCTCGCGCACATTTAACATTTTCAAGTGAAAAATAGCAAGAAATCAAAGCCCTCTTACGGAACTAACAAATGGCACGCAAGTTCTAAACAATTTCTTTGGCTCTGTGGTACATTCATCCCACATCGAAAACAGGGACGAGCGATAACGAGTAAGTGACAAATAAATGCAAGATTATTTCATGAATGTCCATCCCTGCTTCGCCTATACCTATTATCAACACAGACGCATCGATTCTCGATGGTCTGTCGATTGATAGCCTCTTCGGCTACTACTTCTAATGATAAAACTTAGTCATAAGAGGTCCAGGGTAATATCGGTGTATCTGCTGAATCCTCGCTAGTTCCAGGGCCGCGAAATGATGCTGAGGCATCAGAAAGGGATTGAACAAAGGAAATTGCTGATGAGCAGGCGCCGGTTTCGGAAGCGGAGGTGGCGGCGAATCGGCCCAAGGTCTGTGAAGACGAGGTCTAGGGTTCTGGTTGTTCTCCACCGTTGGTGATGGATGAAAGTTCACCGAAGGCAAGGGCGGACTGGCTCCATCGGAACTGCTGACTCCACTGTCGTCCAAACTTCCGGCCTCGCTGAGTGCCCTCTTCGTCCTCTGTTCGACGATTTGCCCATCGTGGGAACTCGATGTGCGGTTCGATTCCGATTCGGACGAGGACACGTTCCCTTCTTCGTCGTCCAACGGCGAGCGCACCTCGCATCCTGTATTGGAATCCTCGGAAGTAAGGTGATGCAGTTTCCGCTTGCACCTCGACTGGCCGGTTTCCCGGAACCCCTTGGCGAAGGGATTGTTGTCGATCTTCAGCTTAGTAATGTTCTCGTTCTGCAAATATACGATTAAAGTATGAGCCAGGAGATCGATCAATTGTTAACTCGAGTGGTTTACTTTGATTTAGGAGCAATCCAGCAAGATCGATGCTTACCTGATAGGCCGTGACGGCGATGAACTCCGTCTCGTTGAAGTAAAACGACGCCGCTGGCTGGGAGCTCAAGTTGTTCATACTGTTCAGGTCGTCGCATCGAATTATCCAGATCTTTGGTATGTACTTGTGCATCGAGGCCAAGACCACCTGAAAGACGAAAAACATCGCTGGAATTAGGCAAACGTAATCCAACGTTCCATTAGCGCGTTCTTATCCAGTTAGTTCCGTTCAATCCCTTCCGAGGGCGCTGCGGTAACGTTGAAAATTAGTCATTGCCTTAAAGTGATATGAAAATGGTGTCGTTTATGAAATCTTTGACAGTATTGAGTGTACCAAATAGTTTTAAAAATTACAATTTGAATATAGAGACTACGAGGAAAGTCCGGACACCCATGAAATTACAATTTAAAAAAAATTTCTTTATAGGCATTTTAAAAATTCATGTTCACGTTGTAAAGTTTGATACGATTCGGTACACCCAGTTCGGAGAGAAATTTCATGAACCATTGATTCCTCGGAAGCTACTTTCACATCCCCTTAACCCTTTGCGTTCCGACTTTCTCCGCGACGCGTTTAACGGAACGCCTGGCGAGCATATATGGAGTGCAAAGGGTTAACGCAGCGTTTCGGGGAAATCCTTGAAAAACGTAATTTGCGGAATGCGTGGTTCCTCTCGACGTCGAGTGCGTCTGAAATTACGCGGCCCGGGGCGTCGAATTAGCGGAAAATTATAATTAGTCGGACTCCTGAAAGGGTGCCGCGCTTTAGAGATAAGATGGCGCCACCGTAACGAGCGAACCGTTGAAGGCAGACGCGATTCCGGAAATTCGGACCAAGGAGGCGCTTCGGAGAATCCCGAAGAGGTTAGGTTCGCCGCCGGATTAGGCCGTGAATCACGTGACCTCGGGCACGATTTGGTAAGTGCGATTATCGCGTGCAGGGCTCTCGTCAATGACACGAGCGGCAAGCGCCGGAGCAATTAGTCAACCGCAACGCAGAAGACACGGGCCAAAAGTCTTTTGAGGTTAGCGTCCCGATGTCCAACTACGACGCTATCCGCCTATCGGTGATTCACGGAAGCTCTAATGCATCGTTAGATAACGGGGAATTATAAGCGTGCAGGCAACGGGACGACTATATGGAGGCGCACGCCTTCGGCTGGCGGCCATCTTGAAAGTGCAGGAAATCTTATCAAAGCCCGTGGAACGGCGTCGGCTACTCCACAGCCCGAAGTGTTCCTTAAGGAGTGATAAATTAGGCACGTGGCAATAAAGTCTTTCTCGTCGGGCGCATCCTTCCGAGGGGGCTCGAAAATAAAACCGCTATCAAACGTGGCATCGGGCCTACACTGTTAAAAGCAAGCGTAATAATCCTATAACATTTTAAAATTAAATGCACATTACGTCCTATTAATTTAACGCATGTATTAATTTCCCTATACTTCGCGATTTCACAGAATAGGTAATGCTACCAACTAATATAGGTATTTATGATAAACGTTTATCTATGCATATATATATAGTAAGGTTTACTGATTTCAGGTAACAAGTGGATGAAAAAAGGAAAGGTATACGCGGACTATTTTCTCGAGAAGTAAAATAACGCAACGAGGGGTCGCATTCTGAAACATTGACGGCGGCTGGCGCCGGAAACACGACGCTTTGATTGCCCCCGGCGGTTAAAAGGCATCATTGCCATAATGGATGGAGAGGAGAGAAGAAAGGCAGGAAAGAAGAAACAATAGCTGGCGGTGGAACGTCGGAGAAAGAGAGAAGGTCGGAAAGAGGAGTGAAGGAAACGAGCGTGTGCGGCGACCGCCCATGTTCATCCTTGTCGGACATGTTTCCACGGTAACCGGAAACCCGAGGTAGAAGCAACCCCCGACAAGAAGCTGTCCAAACACGACGACCTCGGATAAATGGAGCCGGCCTCTTATTTGCTCCCTTTCCCCTTTTTAGTCCCGCTAAGATGGAAAATTATCCGTCCACCAGGAAGTCGCGTGAAAACTCTCTTGTGAGGTCCAAGGTGCGACAGGATAATGAAGTCGCTTCTTGCGAGGAGTTTCACAGGACGCTTGCTGGTAGGTAAGACCGACGCGGTGCAATTTCGCCGTGTAAGAATTTTATCCCGGGTTCCTGTAAGATTGTGCTCCACGTTTCTACCGTTTCAATCCGAGAGAGTTTACCCCTCGCATTTTGGGCCCCAGGTGGCGATCAAGATGGCCGCCATGTTGGATTCGAGACACCACCAAGGAAGCCGCGGTTTCGCCATCGCGTTAACTCCACACTTTCCGATCGATAAAAATATTACCACGATCTTGTTAAATGCCGCAGTCCAGTATTTATAATATCCACCCTTTCACTTGGGATTGGGACTATTTTTTGGCACGCATCGATGTAACATTTCCGTCTCTAGATACTGACGGGAACACCCCCATTGAGTACACATATGTTACAGTTACATGACCCTGAGAATTATTACCCTTAGATTGTTACAAATACATATATTACGTATTCGATTATTCCTTAACAGGGTCATATAACCGACTGGGAGGTAATAATAAAAATGCATGTTACGTTTAACCCTTAAACTCCGGTTATACAGTCCTTTAATAGGCAACGTCTTCTTAGATTTATATTGAAATAATCATATTTGTTTGGTTTGTTCCCTAGTGACGTATCCGTTTTTAATCAACCCTCAACCTGGAAGGTACTGGAGGAACTGGATGAACTGGATTAACTGGATTAACCAAGATGACTCACGTTGTTATGGTGATCCACGGCATTGTTGGTGAGCTTGAGCTTGCTGAAGCTGATGGGATGCTGCATCCAATGGGCGCCCGACGCCGGGCTGTCGGGATGAAGGTACACCCTGCGATTAATGCGCGGTTGGGGTTCCGCAGGCCCTGCCGAAGTCCACCCCCTCGCGCCGCTGCCGTCCACGCCCCCGGCTCCGCCGACGTACTTGTGGCGGCGTGGCGACGCCGGGGCGACCTCCAGGAGTAGACAGTACCGCGCCCGACGGTCCAGACCGCTCACCAAGAGCTGCACGGAGGGGAACATCCGCCTGGAACACCAAAGAGAGTACTTAATAAGAGACCGGACACCTCTCTCTCGGGACGATATTTCCAGAACCACGCCGAGAAGAAAAAATAGTATTAAGGATTAAAATTAGTAAAGATCAAATGTAAATACATAGACGTCAGTCCAAGCTCAGGATGCGTAGAGTCTCGCGCCAAATGCATTAAAAAGCATGCGCGAACGGAAACGAGTACCTAAGTTCGGCGCTTTAATTTTTTAAATATTTATTTCTCTATTAAGAGGACTTATCGTGAACCCATATTATGCAAAATTAATGTATTTCCACGGTACAGATGTAATAACGACCTTACTCGTAGACGCGACGTTCGGATTCTCCGGGAAGCTATCCATCTTCTACCGCTGCCGTTTATTAACCTTTTTTCGTACCCGATGCCTTTCAAAAGCGTCGAAGGAAGATCGGTATCTCTGCGGTCGTAAATTTGCCGGTGCGTGCACCGCTTCCTGACGCGATGCACGCGTGCGGTTACAGACGCGTGACCGAGCGGTGGATGCACGCGACGGAAATTGCTCGTGATAACGGACTTGGCCTCTCGACTTTTTCGAACCTCTGGGGCTAATATACCGGCACCGTGTCACGAGATTACCCTCCTAAGTGACCTCCTAGTGCGTCTGCGATTGAATCTCCAGAGCGTCTGGCGGTTCCGGCACGGCGGCAGTGCACATGCACTAGTTAGAAACAAAAACATGTTCATTAACCCGCTGACGCCACAAATCCAGGAAAGCTTTAGAAAAAGTCGTCGCTCAAAGCGAAGAAAATTGAATTTTCTATTAATTATCCCACAGCCTAATGTACGAAAATTGCGTGAATGTTATGAATATTTTTAACAGGGCATGAACGTGGGAGGAAAGGAAATAAGATTTTTAATTATTCGAAGGATGGCGCCAGAGTTAAACGACCTTAGGAGGCAACCCTTTCGAGGGACCTGGCAGTTTCCTTTTTTTCGGGCCCCAGAGTCTGTTAGTTATTTCTTAGGAAAATCCCGACAAACTCCGAGGAGAAGGGCCTAGGAACAATAAACGAAAATTCCCAGCCATTAGCGTCCCGGGGAGGAGGGCGTTTCGGGCCCGAAAAACGGGCAACGGGAGTCCCCAAGGGATGGCAATCCGTGGCCCTATCTTCCGAGCCGCGCTCTGCTGCGTAAACATTTTCGACTCGGGTTAATCCGTAAGTCAAGTCCGAAAAGTCAATCTTCGGAGGCCCCCGGAGTTTGCCTAGATAATTGCGAGCCTCCACCCTTAATGACGGGCGCAGCCCTTCGCAACGCGGAGCGAAATTATCTCCGTGGAACGTCTCCGCGACGACGTACACTGGAAGACATCAATGCCCTCCCATCCTGCACAGGCGATGTCGTATCTGTAGGGGAGGCATTCATGCCCGCGACTGCACACGCTTTTGAGCCTCTCACATGCTCCCTATGTCCATTCCCTGGAGTTCGAAAAAATCATCAACACCGTTCTCCCACGGGGAATAAAAAATAATGACTATCGTGAATATCTTCGCGACCACGTACACGCTTTTGAGATCCTCTCGACATGGTCGCTATGTCCATTCCCTCGGTTTCGAAAAAATCATCAACACCGTTCTCCCACGGGGAATAACAGATAAGGACTATCGAGAACATCTAAGAGCGAAGAAAAAGGTAAAGGGACGGTTCAAATTCGTGAAACGCGTCGCCGAAGACAGGAAAGAAAATGGCCGCCGCGAGAACGGCGTCGGCATCGGTGCCTCGGATTACAAGAGGACTCCACGCGGTGGCACTTCTGGAGCAGTTTACGGCCAACCTGGAAGCCAGTAAAAGCCTGTAAAAGCCCCGCGTCGAATAATCGGCCGGACTGAAGGACAAGAAGCGAAAGACGGCCGTGGTGGCGCCTGTCAAGATGGCGCCTGTCTGCCCCCATCGCGACAGGATCCTCCAGGCCCGAAGGACCTCTCGACTGCTCGCATCGAGAAGGAGGCTTTCCTTTTCGGAAAGTCAAGTGCGCAGGCTCCTCGGGACGAGACCTTCCCGCGGAAGGAAAGAGAAAAACAGGCCGATTACGGGAGCGAACTGATGATACCGAGTTATCCAAGATGGCGGCCGAATCTCACTCCACCTCTCGCACAACAATCTCGATCTCATTGAATTTGTTCGTACTCAAAGCCTCGAAAAGACCATGGTTGCTTCTAAAACACGGTAGCGAGAAAAATCTAACGACTAGATGTAGGTTTTCCGAAAAAAGAAAAAGAAATCAAGAGGACCGATCTCGAGGGCGAATCGGTGACGCCGAATTATCCAACATGGCGGCTGAATCTCTCTTCCTCTCCGTAAAAAAAATAAAAAGTGAAAAATACAATTTCGTCAGGCTTTCGCGTATTTCGAGCCTCGAGAAGACTCGGTTGTTTGTACAACTCGGCGGAGAGAAAAGCCTCCTAGAGGAGAAGATCGTAATCGCGGAGCACTCGTAGCATTACCATCGCATTACCGTTAAAAGGCCGATGGCTAATGTGAATGATTACGCGAGTCGTGGCACCGCGTAAAGGCACCACGAAGACAGTAATCGGTTGACACTCTTAAGGGAGCGATGGTTATCGGGTCCGGTTAAAAGTCGAGCGGCTACCGAGGGCTGCTCCCAGGTCGTCGGTAATTTTCGACCAATTACCCGAAGAACTTCCCCGCTCCCCCTGGTCGCTTTTTCCATCCTTTCTTTCCCCTCGTTCTTTTTCTTTCTCGACCGCAGCGTCAGGCACGTTAATGCCACACGATCGGACTAAGAAGTGCATTACTTTGCGCGTGAAAGCAGCCACGTAAGTCGAAACCGTATGATTTACCTCTTACGGTGTTTCTTCTATTTTCTTTTTTCCTCCCCCTCGGATTTTCGTTTTTCTCTTTTTTATAGCTTTACGTCGTCTCCTGCCGGGCAGAATCGGCGTTACTTGGGTGTTAGAAAGGCATTACCAGGAGAGGTACCTCCGGGAATGCCTTATCGAGGGTAATATCTCGGTCGCGCCGAAGGTAATTGTCGTCATCTGGATCGCAATACAGAATGTATAAATTGCAGCTACCAGTATTCCTTTCATACTCCCCGCGGGGCCGCCGATAGGGACAAGCGTGATTAGATTCAGCGAAGGAGATAGCGCAAATCAATGCCGATCGATTTTCCACAATCGAGACCGACCGAGTTAGAAGTTTCATGAAATATTTTCCCCGTTAAGCCATGTTTAATGAAATTCAATCGATTCGTCTTGCACAGCCATGTATTATCGTGAAATTAAATGGAATTAATTAATCATATGCATTTGCTAAATTCTCATATGCAAAATTCTTTACAAGCATTCAAATTAATGGCGATCGATTTTCCACAATCGAGACCGACCGAGTTAGAAGTTTCATGAAATATTTTCCCCGTTAAGCCATGTTTAATGAAATTCAATCGATTCGTCTTGCACAGCCATGTGTTATCGTGAAATTAAATGGAATTAATTAATCATATGCAGTAATGAGTGCCTAAATGCTTGTCAAGTTCTTTATATTACGTCGCGAGAATGGAGTCGAAAAAAGTGAAGGAAAGGTGTACTGCACATTTTCCCAAGGATTGTGCAACAATAGCACAAACGAGATCCTTGCCCCAGGTCAGGGGTTAATGTCGAAAGTAAGTGCCAAATGTTGCAAAACGTCGCAAGGATCTCAGGCTACGGGGAGGGTAAAAAAAAAAAAGAAGTCGATCGTGTCGCAGAATACTGATCAGTTTAGGAGGTGGTCGCACATGGCGAGCACGTGGAGGCCAAACTGCGACTTCCATGGGAGGTGTCTGGTGACTGCGGACATTTTCGACCACTGTGTTCATCCCTTTGTGTTCCCTTTTAACGGGGGACAGCCCAAGAATTATTGCGCCGAGTGTACAGGGACCATTACATCTTGACGTCTGGTCATGATCTGGCGAGCAGACGTTGCGACATTTCCCGGCATTTTCCCGAGGATACCGAAAAGCCAGGTAGATCCCTTCTCGTTTCTCCAAGGTAGAAGTCCACGGGAGAAAGAGAACGATCGGCACCCAGAAACTCTATCGATTGAAAATGGTGTCTAGACTGAGAAAAAAAAAAAATTGGTTGACTCGAGGAAATATGCATCGCGATAACAAACGATCAAACACGTCCAAAGAAATATCAGATTGAGTAAAAGAAAATTCCTTTGAATCAATATGTATCTTTCTTCTCAAAAAAAATTATTTCTTGCAATCGTATACAATTCAGGCAACAATATGTATATATATTTCTTTCGGTCAATTAATCTTCTTTTTCTCTGCGTATTTCCGTAGGGTCGTTATCATCGACCGATAGGCTATTCGTTCGAAGGATTCGCCCACATTTCCGTTTCCGCGTCGAGAGCGAATCGCGAAATTCCGCGTACTCTTATCGAGGCTTCCATTGCCAATCGTTCGACCTTCCACCAGAAACCGGAAGTGTACACCCATCAGGGAGGAGGAACAATCAGCTAAGATTGACCGATGATTTAGTAAGCATTAATCGTGCGATAATTTTTTCTACTCGCGTTACGGCGAGATACGATTATAATTGCGAGTTCCTCCTGCGTGATGCGCGCCCGTACGAGGAATCTGCAAATGTCGACAATTTCTGGGAAGTATTCAGCGCTGGTCGATATACACGTAACTTTCGGGGCCCACTCGAGGTACAGGTTGGATCCATGTCCACAAGCTTGTAAATGGCGCCTGGGCGTCCGAAGGGACGCGACGTCCGAGATCCCGAGAGATAAGTTCCTCCTGGGCACTTTTTGCCGCTGTCCCCTGCCTCCCTTAGCGCCATCTGCAATCGCCCCTCGTTTTTCTTCCGACTCCGTTGTGTACCACACCCAGGCGACCAAAATCCACGCCTACCCCTTTGTTAGGTACAAAACCAGAAATTCCCTCCATTCCATTCCTCAACTGGAAAATGATACGGAAACTATTGAAACTTCCCTCGAATAAACGACTTGCCCTTAGGCGTCGGCAAGAAAACCAAGATGGCGTCACGGCGGAAGGTAAGACCTCGAGGTTTGCAAGCTCCTTCAACCTTGTATAACTCGGCTACCTGTCGGTAGCGCAATAAAACCCGAGATACACCCTACATTACTAACCCGAAGACTGGAAAACCATGAAAAACCTGCCGCAGAAACGGCATTCCTCGTTTTCTCTTTACTTCCTATCGAGCGACCGCGAGAAAACCAAGATGGCGTCGCCCCGAAACTCAAGGAGAACACGAAGGTAAATTTCAAAAGGTATATAAAACTCCTCTGACCTTGAATGACTAAGCTATGCATTGTTAACATTATCATTCAATTGTTTCCTTCGTAATTATCAGGATTTAGTGATCTAGGGTTAAATGGTAACTCTCAGGGAGTGAATTTGGAACATGCATTCGCAAGTAGGAGCGCGGTCTTAGACTTTTCTCTTTTTTTTTTTTACACCGAAGGTGTTTTTTGTAGGTATACGTGTCGCCTTCAAATGGGACGGTTCCGTGGGTCCGTTCCGAGCCGGCGTCGCGGCGCCCCGAACTTGGCGGTGTCTCCGCCGTCTATCGCGCCGGCGGTGGCGGCTCTCAAAGGAGACGGAGAGAAGTAGTCGGAGGCGCCGGCGACTGTCTGTCCCCGTCCATCCGTCCGTCGGGCCCATCCGACCCATCCGACCGTCTCCGCCGAGCGAGCCAACCCGACCGACCGACCCCCTGCGCGCGTGGGACTGGACTGCCTCGCCTCGTCCTTCTCCCTCCCGCGGCGCGCGGCCTCGCTCTCTCTCTCTCGCGCGCCTGCGTCGCCCGGCCGGCTGAAATTGCCGCCTGCCCGCCCGTCGATATCCGCGATTTTCCGCCTGATTTACGGCGCGACTTAGACGCGCTCCTTTGACCGGAGCTTTTCGGCGACTCGGGAGATCTCGGATTATCGATATACCGATACGGAGGATATGGAAGAACGAAAGAGAAAGCTCGATGTACACGTAGACTTTACGACGTACAAGAAACTCATGATTCATACAAATGCGTTTGGAATCTGTACATAGTGTTTTGTCCATTCCATTGTCCGCCCTTCCTACGTTGACTTCAACTTTTAACTTTCACTTAGGGATTAATTTCCGTACATACACTGCGGGTTGTACCGAAGTTAAGAATTTTTTTTCAACCGATAGGAGTGGTCCTGGACAGCCAAAAAATAAAAAAAAAATACAAGACCTCCCGCAACCTCAAAATCGTCGAAATCACCGACGAGACCCTTTAGGCGCCACTTTCTTAAATCTCACGGATCGCTTGCGTTCATGGTATAGCTGCCTTAAGGACAATGCGACGTCGGCGAGGACGCAGTGGACCTCTTCGTCGTCTTTACGTGTTCTCCTTCCCTGCTTATTCTACCCCTGGGACAAAAACCCAGGTTTGTCCGTTTTCCTGTTATTAACACATCCTGTTTTCACGAGTACGTATCTTATTTTCTCTTTTTCGACGAACGGCGTACTCTAAACTCCTCTGCGCGGAGCGAAGAAGGGGAGGATGAGAGTGCACGAGGACGGATCTCTCGCGGCGCGAGAGGATAATTGAATAACTGGGTAATTGGTAGGTGACGCGTGGCGGTCGTGGCGCCGCGCCTCTTCGCCGAGGTGAGCCTCCTCGCCGACTCGCAAATAGAGCGAGCAGTGACTCATTTGGAGGTCCGTTCGGTGACCCCAAGACCCAAGGTCAGCGAGGGGTCCCTCCGACGTTCGGAAGGCACTCCAAGAGATCAGAAAGGCGACGAGAAACCCTCCAGAACAGCCTTTAAGTGGGAACCAAAGGATTCGTCGGGACCCGAAGGAGCGAAATCTCGGTCGCCATTATGAGAGACCCTCTTCGTTTGCGAGAAGCTTCCGGTAGAGTGAGAGGTTCCCGTCTCATGTCAAGTCGTAAGTCAAGTATAGACATGCATTTCACCCGTAGGATATTATCCAGGAGCGAAACATCGCTCGCCATTTTGGGACACTTCTTGTATACGAGAAGAAGCCTTCGGTCGAGCTAGAGGTCCTCCTCATCCGCAAGGATGCGAAAAGTCGTACCCGAAGAGTCAATCATTCATCAAACTTTCTCCGAATTGGGTGTACCCAATCGTTTCAAACTTGACAACGTATAAGGAGGACACTCATCAAGTTTCATTTTTTATAACAAGTTTTAAAAATATCTATGAAGAAATTAATGAAAAATATATATTTCTGGAATTTCATGGGTTTCAGGACCCTCTTTAAACCCGCCATATTTATATTGTAAAGTTTTAATCGATTTGGTACACCCGGTTTGAAGAGAGGTTTCATAAACGAGACCTCCTCGACGCCACTTTGACATCACCTTGAGCAAAGATACGATATACTCGTTGTCGCGACCTCTACGAGACATTATCCAGGAACGAAATATCGGTCGCCATTTTGGGGCACTTCTTGTATACGAGAAGAAGCCTTCGGTCGAGCTGGAGGACCTCGTCTCCCGCAAGGCTGCGAGTTAAGGATGGATGCGCCTCGGCCGTTGTCGCGACCACCATGGGATATTATCCAGGAGCGCCGAAGGAGACGGACCCCCGTTGAAAAGGCTACCGTCCGGTCGCCGAGTATAATCCCTCGGCAGCCTCGCCCGGACTGAGCTCGTTACGCCGGGTAAGCGATACCCGGACACCCCCGTTCACAGAAATCATCGTAGCGCGACTAAGCGGCCGCTAAACGTCCATCCAGGGTCCCAAATAAGACCCTCCGCCGTCCCTCTTGGTTCGAGGCTCCGGAAAGAGACGCGCGGTTCTTCGGAGGCGTAGAAGAGCTAATTTCAATTGTCCATCCGCCAACTTACCGTCCGAGCTTCGTGATGATCATCTCCGTGGTCTCGGCGTGGAACTGCTGCCAGAGCTCCTTGTTGTGCAGCTCCACCTTAACGTCTCTCGGTAAAGAGGGTCCGGCGCCAGGACTCGGAGGGACGAACCAGCCACTAGGAGCAGGCATTTCCTCTATCGAACCAAGAGAAAAGCCCAATAATTAATTTATTACTAAATCCCTAATTACCGTTTAAGCGATTATATTTATAATTCTATAAACAATCCTTCCTAAGATCCTCCCAAAACCGTACAGTTAATATCTACATATCGACCCATGAAAGATAAATAATTCGCCGCCGTCGAAGCGGGCGCCCAAGAAGAGCGATTTCGGAGTAGAGCGCGAATCCAGGATCCATTCATCTCGATCGCCATCTCGAGGCGGTTTAGGATGCGTGTCCTGGAGGATCTTAAGAGGTTCCCGGACTAAGCGATCGCTGTTTACGTTTCGGAATGGAGAGGCGCACGCGACGCTCGACGAAGCAGAAGGGAGCCGTCCGTCGCCGAGGTCCTCGGGGGACACTCGAGGAGTCCTGGCCGGGCGAGGACGAGGACGAAGGGGGCGAACGGGATGAAAGGACCCGGGGCCCGGATGAGGGGCCCCAAATGGAGAGGTCCTTGCGGCCGGCTCTTCTGTGTCCTCGCATGAGCGAGCCGCACTTGTCTCGCTCCCAGGACCCCCGGACGACGCATTATATCCCGGCAAGGATAATTGGCATCGCCCGTGGACCTCGCGGGACATTCAGGGGACTTCCCGAGCCGTCCTCTTCACGGCCGGCAGATAACGATTGTACGGATGGTCGGACAGCGGTGCGTTTGATCTAAGGATCCCAGGACGGGATCCCGGGACGCGTCCTGCGGTACCCCGGACACGGGCGATACCTGCGGAAGGAACAGCAGGGATGTTCGGACAGTAGGTGAGAAGAAACCTTCTGTCTCGTGGTCTCCATTGAGGAGGTGGAGAGAGGAGGGTGGAGAGGAGACGCCGTTCAATTAGTTATTACGCGAGCGTTGCGATTGGTTATCCTGGGATCCTGGGCCCGGGCGAAGGTGTACAAGAGCCTTTGCAAAAACCTCACATTGATGCCTATAACCACGAGGTACTAGCTAATGAGATTGCATACAATTTAAAAATGATCGAATAATTATTTTGCGATCTGATCGCCCGATTTTTTTACTTATTCCGGAAATATGAAGGTGCCATCCGGGGGTGATCCGTCGTTTATGAAATTTTTTTCTTCGAGCTGGATGTACCGAACTGTTTTACACTTTATCGCCTGAACGTGGAGAAGCAAAGAGGGTCCTGATACCAATGAGATTTAATTGCTTATCACGAATTAAAATAACGCTTATGAACAAATCTTAGAAAATTAAAGTTTACGGACGGGTCAACTTTCCTTGGAGCCTCCACGTCTACGAGGTAAAAGTTGAAATAATTCGATGCATCCAGGTTGAAGAAGAGTTTCATAGACAAGACCCTAAGATGCCACATTCGTATCACCTTAAAAGTTGATCGTTTATAATTTTCTGGAATTTACTGGTACACGTATAAATTTCGAGCAGCTTAAAATGTTCTCACGCGTCCGCGACCATGTCCCATCCTCGAGGAACGAAAACAACCGATTCGGCTCAGGTATCCTGATAAATTAGGATTAGCCGCGGTACTCCAGTAAAGTGTAACCATTAATTAAATTCAAATCAACCCCGAGGCCGTAAGAGCCCCTCCTAGGGCGTTTCGCGAGGTAGGCGTCAAATTGGAGCACGAAATTATAGGAGGAACGAGTCGAGGGATTCCCGGCAGGATGTTGCATTTTGCTGTCCGAGAAGATCCAGGCCAAGGTCCACCGAGGGAACTAGGGTACCCGAAAATACAACAAAGCTAACAAAATAATGCCAATCATCGGATCACACTGCAAGCGCGGATGAAAAACGTGTAGAGAGGGAAAGGCGTCGGCGATAATGATCGATGACAGGGAGTATGGTAATAAGATGGACTCCGGAAGCGCAAGGTCTCGAGCGGCGTCCTCCTTCCTCGAAGGTCGTGACCCTCGAAGCCCGGGAACGGCGTGAAGCGCGTCCTTGAGTCGATCGGAAAAAAGAAGGAAAAAAAAAAAATCGGAAGGAAAAAAAGAAAACATAAAAATGGCAAATCGGATCAGGGCCGAGAGCGTTGCGTCCTCCGAGAAGCGGTCGTGCGAGTGGCGCGTTTCTCATGCCTAAGGAGAGCGTTTCAACGCCTGTCCAAGGAATTCTTAGAGCGCGTCGGGAGATACGTAATGACGGGTTGCGCCCCGCTAGGGCGCTCGCGTGCTAATGAACGCATAACGGAGGGGGCGAGGGCCGTAATGCTCGCGGTCACGCACGCAACGCGCACCGAAAGCCCGGCTGGCGCGCATGCGCGCGACCGCCAGCGGCCTAACCTGACCCGGGCCGGGCGGACCGCGGCGAAAAACAAACAAACCATTAGGACCGAATTATATCCCTCGGGAAGTGACTTAATAGCGCGAGGGGAAGGGGAGGAATTTAAGTACGGGGTCTGGGCCGCGATCTCTCGCCCGTGGCCACCTACGGGCCATTAGGTCCTGCCTCTGGCCAGAGGAGGTCCTGCTTCTCGAGTCCCCCGGCGAACCTGTGTTTCCTTCAGGAATACGGGAGTACATAAAGAGGAGTGAATTTAGGAATGTCAGCGATGTAGGAAATAATCGGCGGGGTATACCGAGTCGGTGAGGAATTAATTCATACTTCTTGTCCGTGAGAATGATGGAAGTGGTCCAAGCTGGAAGACCGGATTTATCCTATATTTGTGCTCATTCGTGTATTTAGAATGTGATGTTAAGTAATAAAAAAGAAATTACGTTGGTCAGGTTCGTAAGCAGCGGCATACTTTATCGGCTGTGTGACTTTAATTCTGTAATCGACTTAATATACAAAGGGAATGGGGGTTATGTTCGGAGGGTCATGGGAATCGCCCCGCTTGCCAAGATGGCGGCGCGGTGCCCCCGTCGCGTTACCTGATCGAATGTCAACCCGGAGGGGGAGAGGGTCGTCTTTGAATCGTGGGAGTCGGAGAAAGAGCAAACATTCTCGCTATCGCGAAGGAAAGCCAGAGGAAAGCTACAAATGGCCTGGATCGCTCCTTGTATATCGGACCTCGACCGTTCGACCCTAGATGCGTTAATCCCCATTCTTCGATCTTAATTGAAGACCTCAATGTGTACATTTTATTTCATTCGCATTTCCAGGTATGAACTCTACTAAGCTTTCGACGAAATCAGCGAAATTTGAAAACTCGCCCAGGCAATGGTGGATTTTATTTTGGAACGCGATTACATATACGTCCTTCGGGATTAAAATCGTACGGAAAGATGGCGACACCGGATCCAAGATGGCGGCGCATCGGCGTCCCCGATCAGGTGACCGTTGCCGAAACGCGTCCTGCCCCGACTAGCGGGGACCGAGGGGAAAAAGCAAACACCTTCGTGTCCATTAGGCAGAAAAAGAGGATAGGCGGTCGTTTTCTGGCTCAAACAAGCGCAGATGCCCCATTTTGGGTGCCGGAAACCGCGGTTCGGTCTCACGCGAGGGTACGAGCGTGTGTGTGTCGCCGGTTACAGGGCGGTCCTTTTCTGACGTCCTCCGATGGCGGTCCCGAGACGTTATGGGACGGAAAAACAATGCCACGACGGATCTCCATTGCGTAAACGAGCCAGCCCCGGGTAATAACAGAGTGCCGGTGCGCGAGGAGGGAACCCAGAAATAATAACGATCCCGACGATCCCTTTCCGCCCTCGGGGTGCAATTTCGTCAATTACGCGATCCTCGTCCTCTTCGGGGAACGACGCCGACTTTCGGGAAGCTTTTAACGGTAGCTCGGCCGTCCATTCCGAACTTATTGCGGGGAGTCGTTCGCCAGAAGTAAGTGCCCACTCGATGGGCCGGATTCTTCGTTATTGTCTGATAATTACGAGATCGCGCCGCGAGATGTCACCTCGGATAAAATTTCACGTCGCGTGGAACAGAATTCAAAGTGCTTGGGGTAATACATCCCTAGGATATAAAAACTCTCTACAATAACTCTGATGAATAAATAAACGTTAATAAATTATTCTGCAATCCTTGATATCCTTTAATTAACTAGCTGGATTAATTTTCCCGTTTATGGTTAGTCCATACGGTTGAAAGGAAATAAGAGCCTGTTTATTTTTTTTTAATCAAGTATCAGTGATCGTAATAACGTCATACCTGGCCGGTGATGATGTAGAGTGATCTGCTGCTGCCTGTAGAGCATCTGCTGGTGCAGGTGCAGTTGCAGCTCCATGGGCGAGACCAGATTCATATCTTCGGTTTCGAAGGCGACCCCTTCGACGAACTTTTGATCGCGTCTTTTTTTAATCTGAATCACCCCGATACGTGAAACCGATCGCGGTGGACCGATGCAGCTGACGCAAACGCACGGGTCCGCAGTCGGAGGTTGACTGAAGAGACGAAGACGCTGCGCGCCCCTAGAAGCGTGAACCGCGTGGGTCGGCTCCTCTCCTGGATGGGACCGAGCGCTGATTGGTCGGGGGGCGTTCCCGTTTCCTGGCCTCTGATTGGCCGAGAGGACTGCGACCCGACGCCCGAGGATGCGCGCTGTCACTTCCGATCGAGCCCCCAAGGTGCGCGCCCTCGGTGCCGCGCGCCGAGTGCCCATTAACGCCGACTAATTACCCTCTGGACATCGAACGGCACTCGTTAATTGGAATTTCGCCGCCTCCCCGGGCTCACGATTAGTCACCGGAGAAAGCGCACCCCTTAATGTCCCTTCTTTCCTTTTTTTTTTCTCTCCCCGACTCTCGACAGCCATTAGGACCGCATCTTCCGCAGCGACGTGCTCGCTGCGCAATGGTTGCTCAATGTGGTTACTCACTTCTTAATAACTTAAATTTAGGGACAGATCGTTACTCCAAATCGAGGTAAAGACGCCCATCGTCGGGAAATGTACACCTCCACTTCTGAGTTTCGGTGATTTCAATGCCTGGTCCCGCCGTTAGGTTTCTATCTTCAAATCTAATCTAGAAAATTTAGTACCCTGGGTTGTTGGGAATAGATGAAAGAGTTACGTACATTTGTCGATGGAAATATATATTTTGCGCTTGAGCTAGGTAGGGATATTTAAAACGAAATTGTGGCGTGACGAGTTTCGTTAGGAATGCTATACTTTAAGAAAACTTTTCGGATATCGTTTGGCGGCGACTGTATGGAGTTGTAGGACCGGAGTAGTCGTGAGCGAAATGCGTGCCATAAATTACGGAATCCTGGCGGGACGGTAGTTAATAGTTCGTTCTGGACAAGATCGAGCCGAGAGATAAAATCGAACGCGACCGTCGGGCCGACTAAACGGTGGCCGCCGATACCATCTCGCTCCTCGGGACCATCTTTTTCACGTATTCGCCCGTTTGCGCGGCCGGGTGCAGTCATCGGGTCATTGTTGTGGATTTTGAATTGCGGATTAACTGTAAGCGATACCCACAACAATGCGGTTCGCCCTGCGTACCTCCCCGAACGGCGGCTACCTGTCCTGCCGTTCCGAGGGGCCGACCTAACCTCACTTCGGCCATTGAGAGGTCCTTCGCTATTTGGCGGCATTTCGAGGCTGAATCGGCATTGCTTTCGCGGCTTTCAGAAAGGATGGACTTCGAACGACCTAATCTGGAACTTTGAAGTCCTTCGAAGTCAGTTTTGCCCGAAGTCTACCGGCCTTTAGTCTTGGATCTTCATTTCATTTTTCAGTCATTTTTCCACGTCGAATATTTTCTTCGATCAAATTTTAATTAACTTAATGGGTGTTTCACTTTTCCTATGTCATGTCGAAGTCCATGGCTTCACTCCTTCCAGAGTTCCCGGGGAAAGTTTTAGGGTAAGCACGATGCAAAGGAGATAAGTTTTGTTATCGGGCAGGCCTTTCGACGGACCAATAGTACCTTTCCATAACGCCGCCATCTTTGTTAACCGATGGATGAGAATACGGTGCCGAATACTAGATAAATTTATAAGAGATAAAATAAAAGGAAATAAATAAATAGGAACGCTTCCCTTTTCATTCCAGTATAAACGTGATTTTACCGAACATCCAGGCATCTTTCAGTGTCGAAAACGCAGTTAAGTCGTGATACTCGTAAACGAACTGTTGCCGTGCAATATGGCGGCGTTTTCTTGAACGGGGTAAAAATAAGATCTCCGCGGGAGAACCTCCTGCCTTCTTCGCATGGCGTTACTAAGTTCAGTCTACTCGTCGATATGAATCTATTGGAGAAATATGAAGTTTCGTAGTTTCTTCAAATTTGAGGAAACCTGAAATTTCTAGAAACCTCTTGAAACTTTCAGACGCATCGTCTCGCATTAGCGTCGGCTCGGACAGTAGGCAACGCTAAATGGCCTCTGAATCTAGATTCGCCATTTCCCATTAAGATAGGAGTTCCATTACGTGTCGAGGGCGAAGTTTGGCCTAGGAAATCGAAGGGAAAGGACGAGAATCGCGCAGGTCGCATTCCAGCGGGGAAACCGTCGCGCGAGCCGGTCTGCATAACCTCAATTAGCAAGGTAGGTACCTTCTTTGCCGGCGCGACAAAGATCTCTCAGTGGCCCTACGATAATTGCAGGTCCCCTTCTGCGAAGCCCGGCGGGGGGAGGTAGAGGGGCGCAGTTCTGCAGGAAGGAAGGACGAACCCGAAGGAAGTTAACAAACGAGCTTTACGGTTCGCTTCCTGTCGCGTCACGGCTAATGGCGACTGGACAACGGCCGACTCGGAGACGACAACGAGACGCGCGACGTCTCTTTATACTTTTTTAGACCCCTCGCGTTTTCCAACACGATCATTTTCGCCGTCTGGCGACCAGACTTTCCTCTTGCGCAGATGCGGAAGGATTCTGATCACGGGATGCAACTTAAGAAAAAAAGGTTTCCGGAGTTTCTAGAAGGGGGTTGTAAGGTTACTTGCTATCGGGAGAAGAGCACAAGTAATGAACGATCACACACTTTTATATATATATATTTTTTAACAAGTTTTTATTCAACACTTAGTTTTTACTCCACGTAAGGATCAATATGACTGACACTGGTTACCTCCTCGGAATAATTTTTCATTTAAAATTAAACTTTTGTATAAAAAATGTGTTGCCTGTGAAGTTGACGCTAATGTATGTTCTTACTGGAGGGGAACATCTAATGCTTGAGAGAAAAAAAAAAAGCACGAAAGTACGTGCAGGTCACTTATGGTTTCCTGCATTTCACATTCAAGGGTGGCTCTATCGAGTAGCTGGGACAACTTCGTTTTTCTTATCCCGCCATGTCTTAACTCCAAGTGTAACTAAACACACCAGGAAGCCTTTACGTTGCGGTCGAGAGTGCAGACGGATACAACTGCCGTTCTTGGAGTGCTTTCGGTACGTCTTCGGCTTCCAACAGTTTACAGCCGTTTACCGAACGGCGTTCCCATAGTTTCCCGCCGCCTCTCTTCAATGGAAACCCCGATAAAGAAGTTAAGCACGAGACGTACAAATACTGCGGCGACACGTGTCTCGCACGCCGATCGTGCCGAATCTCGGATCACGGCTCGTCAAATAAACGGGACAATGAGGAACGGCTGGCAGGACGAGCCACTGGGTATTGTTGTTTCAGGACTGAGTAACGTAAACAACCGCGAGGAGAGTCGTCGGCCATGGCGGAGCTCGGGGTGAGATAAGAAGAGGACGGTGGAGGAACGGATTCCCGAAGTAGAAAAACCGCCAACTTGGTGGCCTTTAACCGGCACGCATCCTGGCTTCCACGAGACATTAAAAAAGCCGCCCTCGATTTCGAAATGAACAAACGCCACTGTTCACGCGCCATTACGGCCGCTTCTTGCGCGGCGTTGCTCCGAGCACACGCGAGACCTGAAAAAAAGGTGGACAATGCACAAGTGCAGGGAGGAAAATACAGGACAAGAGTTACTCGTAAAAGAGGCAACGAGGTTTAGACTTGTATATAATTGTATTTATTTATTGTAAAATCGTGCCATGTATCGCGAGGTGTGGGGCGAAGAAGCGCAGTTCTAGTCATCCGTGGATTGAAATTACAACGCATGCATCCGCTTCCGGTTTGAGCGTCCTCAACTCGTGCCTGTTATCTCTCTTTACTTACCCATAGTTCTCATTTGTCGTATTAAACCCCAAAACTTAGCTTCCTGTGCTCTGTATAAACGTAAACAAACACCCTCGAAATCGCTCTCTTATCCCTACGGATGTTTACACATGGCGTGACGTGAAGCAAGAACGAAGGACCTTCGATTTTGCCCGAAGGACGCGGCACTCGCAAGGACTCCTTCTGTAAATCCCTTACTTATGTATTTTATGGGTATACACGACCATATCCTTAATAATAAAAAATATGACTGGGCTGTGACGCCCCTTGGTCTTCTGTTTGAACAATATGGCCGACAGGAAGTCCAGGATTCCGCGTGCGGAATAATAACGCGGGGAGGATTGCTCGCATCTTGCGGAGACCTCACACGGTGACGCTGGTCCTAGAAGAAGAAACTCGATAAAAGATTGTTGACTAGAATTTATGTGATTATTAAATCCTTCGGGACTGTTTTGTTTTACTTTGCAAATGTGTTATTAAATTATAAAGTATTCCTGCGGTTGAGTTTCTTTTGCAACAGTCGGCTCCGAGGAATCGAAGTAACGTCCGCGAAATATTAAGATGGTTGAAATTTTAATCAGTTGAAATAAATTATGGAAATGTTTTTTTATAAGTTGAGAGGTATGTGCGCATCTACGTGGGAACGACGTGGCCGGGAGCCAGGCTCTTTTCATTTCGAGGGACGCGAGGGTGCGTAAATACGTGAGAAAATGGCCCCCACGGCACGGCATTAAAAGACGGTAGGCGCCTTAATTCCTTCGTGATCACGAAGAAGACAAAACGGCATTTCCGGGCGCAGTAAAGCGTTTTCGCGCGTGGGCCGCGGCGCGCTTTGAACTTCGCGCCGCCCAGCTGCGCGTCTCTCGCTATCTTCACTCCATTCTTTCTTCTCTTTCATTCCACTCGATTACGATTCCCTGGCGAGAATCTTTGTCGGCTTCTTCACAACTCCATGCTTCCGGTAGCTCTTGCGATTGCCGATTGCGAAACACCGATAAAGATCGTTACGCAAAATGGCGTTATAGCGGGAATCTCTCATCACCTAGTTTCCATTATAAAGAGGCGTTGTCATTAATCAGAATTAATTGTAATTAATCGTAATTAATTATCTGATACCACGCGGAGATGAACAATGCAAGAAGAAAAGGTACCTTTCAGCAAGAAGGTGATGTCTTGTATTCGTCATTCTTGCGAGCGTGCTCCGCCATCTTGGATTCCAGAACTTCTTAAGTTTCAGTGCATAGTAATAATTGTACAAGATCTTGTGGAAGAGTATGCACGTAGAGTATTGAAAATCTGAAATGGCGTTTCCTTAGAGGTATATATTATGGAGAGAAGCTTTTCTTTTAAGAGTTAAGAAGACGATGCGTTGCTGTTCCCGGTTTTTATGGGCTGTCCATGAACCCGTTAATCAGTCAAGCAATCTAGCAGCGAGTGGACAGGTCGAAGACGTGTTTAGTGCATCCACGCAGTGAATTCGCAATAGTCATCGCAGCCGAATTTTATCACGTAATGTTAGGGACCGTTCATAAATTATGTACGCTTTTTATAGGGATGGCAGGGACCGCAACTTTTTACGGGCATTCGCGCAGACGCATGGACGGAGGATAAAATGCAAATGAAGAAAACTGTAAATAATAAAGTCGAAATTGGAGATAAAACCCCCAAGTTTTCCGAAGCGCCTATCAAATTTCAAATCGTTCGTTTTACTCTCTGGGCAAAGAAAAAGAGGAAGAATAAGAACTGTTATTTGGGAACGTTCGAATTTTGCCACGCCAATAAATCAATTAATGAAAAGGTTCTCGAACTGTTTTTCTTACTTTTGTTAGAATATGGAAAATATATTTCCGGTCGGCGGAAATTTCCTTTCCAGGTATTAGAATCCCCGCCGTGTACGGTAACACACCTTTAATAATCGGCAAAGCTTAATAGAGTCGCGTATTTATGATCTCAGTCTGGATAGGTCTCGGAAATTTGCAATGGCCGTGGTATTGGCCTGTCGGCCGGAATACAAAAGGGAAATCTCATTGTTTCGTACAAGCGTCTTCACAACTGCCTCAGGTGTCGTTGTCCCCTGCCGCTAAGCTGGGATATCCATTTCACGAATATCCCTCCCGACCATTAATCTGCTTAAACGGCACCCTTCCCATTGAAAAGGTGATTATTTAACGCTTCGGAAGGCTTTCGAGCCGTTTTCAATAGGACTGAAAATTGCCACGCTCGAGGTAGCGTAAGCCCCAAGTTTTAGGAGAAAATGTATACGGCACTCCCACTGATTTAAGTTTTCTTCGAAAAGACATCCAACCGAGCACTTTGAAAGGTGATTGCAATATTTCTTACCGTCGCTTGTAAAGTCCGTATAAAATCATTTTTCGAATACAGGGGGAATAATTGTACGCAGAAGAGATTTTTGTATAAATTCTCGTAAACAGGTTATTGACATCAAATATTAAATTAGTGCATTAAAAGTATTAAAATATTTAGTTTGTTATTTATCAAACGAATCCATCATCTGCTGGTAAATTCAATAAATCATTACGACCCTGTTACCGGTGGAGGATAACGCTTTGGTAGTTCCATTCGAGATGGCGGCACTATACGTAGACTGAATTACCTAAAGAGCGACAACACAGATTACTTCTCTATTCTTAGGTTAGAAACGTGTCGATTTAGGAATACAGGAGCGAATTTTGATGCTTTACCGAACGTAGAAACTAATTGCCGGAGCTGAAGACAGAGCAAGACAGAGAGAGGACGATCGTGCTGGTTGGTGCTGGTTGGCGTTGCTGTTTCGCTTCGGAATAGGATTTAGTGGTTAGGAATCCTTCGGAAACGGATGATAAATTAGAAAGAATAACGAGGGAAGTTGGTGCTCACAAATGTAATTAACAGTCCAGTTTACAATTCAAGTGAACAGAATTTTATAAAAAATGAGTCGTAGGCGAGCACATGAGGATGACGATGGATACGGTAAGCAGAACCAGTCATTTAGCGAATTTTGTTTTCCCAGCGTATGTTCTTCGTAAACTACTGAAACTTTAGTAGTATTATTATTTAAAATCAACAAAGTTTTGCAATTTCTGTTCCGTATTTTCAAGCCAAGTTTCCATTAAAATATTTTCTTGCTTCGAGGTCATCGTTCGCTGAACTTACAAAATTTAGTCTCGATAGATTGTTACTCCGTAAACTAAGTACAAAACATTCAGATTAAGTGGTTCATTGAATAGTATTGCGATGTACTGTTACGATATTTACGTCTCTTTGTTTTCAGTGATTTGATTAATTATTATGAATGGTAATGTTTTTCAGAACGTGTGTATAAGAAACGTAGAAGGGTGTCAGAGAATCAAGAGATCGAGGATCGTCTTGAGTCTCTTATTTTGCGGGTTGGGGAGAAATCTACATCGTCATTGGAAAGTAACTTAGAGGGCTTAGCTTCGGTGTTAGAAGCTGATCTTGGGCTATTTCGAAGTAAAATTCTTCGAATCCTCACCGATTGTGCAATTAAGATGCCAGAGAAATGTACAATATATACTACATTGGTAGGGTTATTGAATGCTAAGAACTTTAATTTTGGGGGAGAGTTTGTTGATTACATGGTAAGAAATTTCAAAGACTCGTTGAAAGCATGTAAGTGGGATGCTGCAAGGTATTCTCTCAGGTTTTTAGCAGATTTGGTAAATTGCCATGTCCTATCTTGTGGATCGTTAATGCAATTATTTGACAATATGCTGGATGCAGCTAACGAAGATGGCGTACCACAAGTTCGACGTGATTGGTAGGTTTCAGTTAAAGTAAATTTGAATCATTCTTCGCTTTATATTCAAAATAGTCAAGCAACTAAATATATAATAAAATATGCCTATTGTATTCAAAAGTTACTTGAAATTGAATTCAACCATTTTAGGTATGTGTTCGCTGTTCTTTCAACATTACCCTGGGTAGGGAGAGAGCTTTATGAGAAGAAAGAACAAGAATTGGATCACTTAATGGTGACGATTGAAATATTTTTAAACAAACGTAGCAAGAAACACCAACCTGCTCTCAGAGTCTGGTCAAGCGATACTCCGCATCCACAAGAGGAGTATTTAGATTGTCTGTGGGCTCAAGTACGAAAACTCAGGCAGGATAATTGGGCTGAGAAACATATTCCGAGACCCTATCTTGCCTTTGACTCTATTTTATGTGAAGCCTTGCAACATAATTTGCCAACTTTACTACCTCCTCCTCATCATGAGTCTTATTTGTATCCATTACCAACTGTTGTGTTTCGAATGTTTGACTACACGGACTGTCCAGTTGAAGGACCGCTTTTACCAGGTAGTCACGCCATAGAAAGATTCCTTATTGAAGAACACCTGAGACAGATTATCGATAACCATTACTTCGAAAGGAAAGACTGGTAATTTAGCGTTCTATTGTGTTTGTTTGAAAATTCTGCATAGAATAGTTTACATACTATTATTTGTTACAGCGCTGCACACTTACTAAACTTTCCTTATAAGTCTAAAATTCCACTGGACTATTGTGTAGTAGAAGTAATGTTTGGAGAATTATTTAGACTTCCAACGCCGAAGTATTTGGACATTTGTTACGGTTCGATCTTAATTGAGCTCTGTAAATTACAACCGTCCACAATGCCTCAGGTACTAAATATAAATGGATATAATCATATTCATCGAGTTTTGCAATTGTATGTCCATTAACAGCCTTATCCTGACAGCAGGGGGAGGAATTCTTATTATCCCCTAAGTTACGTTTAATCTATTAATATTTTTTGCATAATTTATGATTTGTTAATTTTTGTAGGTTTTGGCCCAAGCTACAGAGATATTGTTCCGTCGTATTGATAGTATGGCTGCAGCAGCATTTGATCGATTTGTTTGGTGGTTTGCTTATCATCTAAGCAACTTTCAGTTCCGTTGGTCGTGGGAAGATTGGGATTCATGCCTTCAAAGAGATGCTGAACATCCACGACCAAAGTTCATTAGGGAGGTACTGCTTAAAGCTCTGCGGTAAGTTACTTTCTTACAAAAGTACACATTGGCGAAAATTGGAATTATTACATATGGTTTAATATTTTATTTGAGGCATTAATACTTAAATATTTACACTCGACAATTGTTGCAGGTTGTCATACTATCAGAGGATTCGTGATATGATGCCAGAAACTTATGCAGAATTAATTCCTGCACCTCCAGAGCCTGTATACAAATATTCTTCCGAAGGAGCAAGTACGTTTAAATGACATTTGATACATTTAGTATTATTTTTATCCTAGTCAGATGTTGAGAAATAACATAGCATTAAATATTACATATATAAATAGTTCTTATGTCGTCACTAACATGTCCGATGTAGGTTCGCTTGTCTCTGATGTTACGGAAAGGGCCAGTTGTTTTAATATTTCCTTGTACAGCTTTAACTCTTTCTCTGTTTCTTGTTTGGCATTCAAAGGTGTATTATTCATATACTCTGTCTCCATACTCTCGTTTACGTGTTTGTCTCTTATTATTGCAAGATCACTTGGATACGTTTCGGTTGAATTTTTATCCTCTGGATAACTCTGCGCAGATGATGTTTCTTTAAAATCTTCAACTACATTTGAATTTCTGTCGACTTCCAAATATTTTGAGACTAAATTGTCGGTTGTATTCAATTTTTGTTGACTTTTGAAGTTCTGAAATTCCAGCCAGTCATCGATAGAAAAGGGCATTGCGAAAGATTCGTTAGACTGCTTTGGAGCAATTTCATTTTGCGATTCATTACTCCCTCTTCCATTATCATGGACGGTAATCTTACTTACATCTCGAGTAGACTCTCGTTTTACCTCATTAAATTTATTTTCCATTTCTACCTGCAAGGTTGTATTTTCTGAGCATTCACTTCCCCTTTGGCGAATAAATTTCCAGAAATTATCATTAGAAAGTAGCGCTTGGAGAACCTCCTTGTATATCAAATTATAATAGTCTGGATATACTTTTTCGTATTTTAATTTCTTTAGTCTCGACAAAGTCTCATTCGTTCGACCTTGATGGCGATGGACGATCGGGAATTCATTTACAGGCGTTACTTCTGACCCATTAGGAGTTTCAACTCTTTCTTCAGGGTCCAAAGTATTCTTTTTATCGTTCCTTTCTTGAATGTAGTTCGTACCATCGAGGAAAGAATGGTCGTAGTGTTTATAAAAATCTTTTTCATTTTCACTCCTTTCTTCTTCCATCTCATAGTCATCGGGACTTAGAAGATACTTTTTCTTTTCCGAGACATCTCTCTTCGTGGGCTGAAAGTCCTTGAAGGAGTACACGTAGTCCGTTAGAATTTTACCTTTCCCAAAACGATGACGATTTTGGGCGAATGTGGTAATTATAATATTAAGGTCATAACGAAATGTGTCTTTTGCAATAAGGTGCTTTGCTCGTTGAACGAGCCACGTTAATTTCTGTATGGACAGTATATTCGTGCAGAGGGGACAATTGAAACAGTCATTTTGGCAGAGAATCCAAGTTTCGTTTTTGTCTGTCCTTAAATCCCCAGAAGCAAGGACTTCGGTGTCCTTGTACGAATCAGTCGATGAGATTGTTTCTTGAGGACCGTAAAAAGGGGCCATAAAAATGGCATGATAAATTTCCTTGTTGAACAGAGGCTCTGGTGATATTGTCTTGAAAATGCTCTCCTTCAGCTTATCCAGCCAGTAAGGATACTTCTTCAAGGTCTCCCGATGGGTTCTTCTCGGAGTCATTGTTCTTGGTGTTGCCTTTCGTTGCAATGCAGGGATAAATAAATTCCCTGTTGCAATGCAATTTCCCATCATAGTCATCTAGAAAAAAATTTAAATGAAAACTTTATGAATTATTCAGGTTTAGAATTTCTGGAACGGAGGGACTTTTTTGGCTTTTTGGTTTAATTCATTCCGAGATAGTTTAATGTAGATTCATGTTTATTTAAACTTACCAGCACGAAAGCTCGTAGGATTGAGCGAGAGTTCTTCGGTTTCATGTTTCACAGGTGAAGTATAAGTGAAAACTGAGAAGGCCGAAGATGAGCCATGTCCCCTACTCCTTATGTTGAATGAAACCGATCGCGTACATGTTACTGTACAATGTGGCGAATATATTCGTGATTTAAAAGATAGCGAGAATGTTAAATACAGATAAGGAGAGTTTTATCATCTATCATTAAGAATGAAATCTCTTTTTCAGGTGCTCTTCCGGGTACTGCAGTGGCCCATGAACTGGTCGTTTCAATTCGGAGGAAGTGTACACCGGAGGATGTTTTAAATGTTTTGAATACTTTGCCTGGGCCTGGGGAAAACGAAGAGCAGAATACATTTAATCCTTTGAAAATTGACGTTTTTGTACAGACTTTATTGAATCTGGGATCCAAGAGCTTTAGTCATAGTTTTGCAGCTATAGGAAAGTTCCATTACGTTTTTAAGGTCCGTGCTAAAACATTCAAAGATGCTGTACTTAATTATTATAAGGGTTTTTTACATTTATTATTAACTTGTGCAATCAGGTCCTAGCGGAGACCGAAGAGGCGCAGATTTGCATTTTACGAAATATGCATGCCTTGTGGAAGAATCATTACCAAATGATGGTAGTGCTGACGGATAAATTTCTGAAAACTGGGATTATCGAATGCAGCGCAATTGCTAACTGGATATTCTCCAAAGAAATGCTCTCCGAATTTACGAAGTGGGTATCAGTATTCTATTTTTTTTTTTTTAACGTAATTCTTATAAGAAGCACTAGATAGTACAGGTTTACTTTTTATTAAACTGATTGATTTCAGGTTGTACATTTGGGAGGTATTGCATCTGACCATTCGTAAGAAGAACAAACACGTTATTAAATTAAGCAACGAGTTGTCGGAAGCCAAAGAAAAATTGAGAAGAGCTGAAAGCAGATCAGGATCTTCTTCTGAGGATGAGGATAATAATAAGGAAAAAAGTGGAGAAAGGCCAACCGAAGATGTGGTGGAACGTATGGAGGAAAAACTAGAAGCTGCACAAGCCGATCAGAAGAATTTATTCCTAATTATTTTCCAAGTAATGATTTATTTAGAAATATCTTCAGTGGATGTATTCAATATTTTCTAATATTTTCTTTTTCAGCGATTTATCATGATATTGTCCGAACATTTAGTTCGGTGTGACACTGACGGTGTGGACTACAACACGCATTGGTACAAGTGGACCATTGGAAGACTTCAGCAAGTCTTCTTGACTGTATGTCTTGTATTTTTATGATATCAAACTGTACTTAACGTGGTCTTTCCTTTTCGATTTAATTCTATGTGTTTAGGTATTGTGCTATTAATGGTCAATTTTCATTTTAGCACCATGAACAAGTTCAGAAGTACTCGTCCACATTAGAGACACTTCTTTTTACTCCGGACTTAGATCCGCACATCCTCGACGTGTTCCACCAGTTTGTGTCCTTGCGGGCATAAGGGCCTTTCATTTTACAAAATGTGAAAACAGTCGAATGACCATGTGAAGTGTCAGCTGGTTCTAATGTCGGACGTCGTTTTCATAAAAAAAAAAAATGTATCACGTTTCAGTTTGGTTTACTTGTAAATCAGACGCAGCCCTTTGGCGAAGAAAGAGTGATCTTGAATAAGAAGTGCACAATTAATACAGATACCCTCTAAGTGTCTCTTAACAATTGTACATAACAATTGATTGGACGCAGAGGAAATTATTTATTTCACTGAAAATAGTTACATATGACTTTATATGAAGAGGTATCGAAAGTATTATCAGGGTGCGATTAAGTCCAATGTGTGTTTAATTTTCGAATGCTCTCTTTTTCAAAGTGAGTTCAAAAGATTTTTTTTAATATCAAAGGTGTTCAAATAAATATCTTTTTTTTTTTTGTATTCTTCATCGGTTTATTTCGTGAAGCCATAAATAACATTTTAGAAATGCTCTTTTGACATGGTGAAATTACTATTCACTTGTTCCTGTACAATTTTGAATTTCTAGCTTAACCTATTGATGTACGTATTTTCCATTTTTTAGTGACGCGAAAAACAGTATATATGTATATGACCTTATATTTATATTTCACGATCCTCGTTCGCCAGGGTCTTGTAAAGATATGTATACGACGGAGGACGTCAAATTTGGATAGGTACATAGCTCGCAACTAATCATTGTATTTATATTTTAAATATTTCTAAATAAGTTGTAAGTCATACAATCCTCGATTATTGGTCAACAGTGCAAAATACAGATTCCGAATATTACTGTAATGTTATATATCAGAGGTATTATTGTAGCTGTTATAACAACGATGGCCAATTAAAGTTATACATTATATTGTACAGACCTGTCAATTATTCGATGGCTGGACTTAGCAAGCATCACTTGAACATAAGTGGAATCACTTACATAACTTTTAAGTAAAAGGAACGCAACATTTATTTCAATATTGTGTGTACTTAGAAAGTCTATAAAAAGAACTACTTGAAAATGCAAATGAAATGCGGAATTTACGGAATGTTATAACCGAACCGAATTAAAAACAACGTATGTCACTTTTGAATGCTTTTAGCAAATGGTATTATTGGACTTTGTCGGGGATTTCAAATGATCCGTTGCTTATAAAATAGTTTTCGCATGTCAAGGTGATTCATGATTAATAATTACTTTTCAGACTTTTATTTCTGTAGTGAGAAGAATGTTTACACTCTGCTGAAAATTTCACGTACAAATGAATAGGGCCGACTGAACGTGTATATAAATACTTAAGGTACATAAACATTGTATGTCTTTATTTGGTGTTTTATTACTATAACCAGTTTCCATGCGAAATTTTCAACAAGGTCGGACGAACACATCGATTAAAAAATTCACGATTACGAGTTCGAGGGGAAAAGGGGGGGTACTAATAGTCGGGAAAAATGGCTGAAACCTATTTGACATTTCCAAACAATTTATCAAAAAAGTTGACGATTTATCATCTGTAACAGGGTTGTCATATAACGGGATCTCGCGGTAACAATAATTCTTTCATCATCGCATTTGTTCTCGCTTAGTTTACGCATTATTGTTATTAACCTCTTACATTCGTTATTACGAGTTAATAATCGCTGAGCAGTAATACTACTAGTTGACATCCGTCAAACAACTCCACCTTGCCACGAAGTGCAATTTCCTCATCAGGGACGGTTTTCTTTACACATTACCGCGCGTTATACTCAAACGAATGAAAGTGATTGTTCCATTTACACATAACATAAATCGTACATCCTGAAGCTATGTATTAATCCGTGATTCCGTGCGTCTATAATAGTACTAACGAGTATCTTAGTACGAGATAAATTGTCGCGAGAACTTGCCCCTAAAAGACACTACGATGTATATAATAATTCGTTCTGCATTTAATTATTGCTAAATTCATCCTAGTGGCGACGATAGCTTATCCATGAGTTTGTGTAAAAGCGTCGACCTCGAGCTCTTATTACTTTCAACTAATCGAATACCATTACAGGATAGCGCCTTGAACGTAGTCTTCGCAATAGCGTTGTAAAAATCGAATACTTTTTACGCCCTCTAAATCCTATTAACCTATTGTTAATCCAGTCGGCCAATTTTGTGCCTGCAACTATTAAGTAGCTTGATCGGCACTAAGTGTTAAATGTTCGACGCATTGAGGCGAACCAAGAGGATGTTATTTAATTAATAGGCTTCTTCAATAATTTCACATTCTCTGCTCTAGGGCCTAAAGCAGTTCTGTTGAGTCCGGAGGAGCCTCAAAGGACTTTATTATGTCGACCAGGCTGACGTAGGTCCCTATTATCAGGCCTAATATACCGAAGATGATTAAAAGGACGTTCTTTATCAAAATCACTCGGAGAGGCCCGAACTTGTCCGGCCACAACACGCAGATTTCAATGATCGCTGGAAAAGCTATTCCCAGGGCGGAGAGACACAATGCTCCGAACAAAGAGATGAACAGTCCGAGCCTTGGTATCGCTATGGCTAAAACAACTGGAGAGATAAAAATTACTAATTAATAATTGCATTAGGTATAGTGGTATGAAATGTTATTATATTTAGTTAAAGTTAAGTATGATAAGCAGAGTAACGATATACTTACAAGTTGCTAGGGTGACTACGGTTCTACATACGTACTCCCAAAAGAGTTTGCGATTCTGTATGCGATGGTCCAAGTACGTATTCCAGATAATTTCAACTGGAACGTAGCCTTGAAGTGCGTATGTGAACAAAATCGCTATGGCGAACATTATTCGAATGCTTTGCGCCATGCTGAGAAGAAACGGTATAATCATTATTTCAAATGAAACGTGGTAATGCTTGAAATATTATTGAATGGAAAATTAAGGATTCATCGGAAGAACGCAACGATGAGAGTTAAATTAATGCTAACAATTCGGTTAACTTACACAGCATCCTTTGGCAAGCTTAACGTGATGCTTCCTCCAGCATCCGCACCAAACTTTATGTACCCGAAGAAACCCACCAGTATGTACAAAATGACAATTATTGTCATTCCAATGTTCAAGACACCGCAATAGCCTCCGAAATTTTGCGGCGTTTTCATATTGTTCTCCAGGGCGATAATCTGCAAATGTGACGAATGTCTTCAACCGTGCAAGATTTTCCACGGCATTAATGGATGATAGCTAGTTAATTTATTTATACTATTCACAAAAGACCAAGGAGAAAAATTAGAAGCTAGAGTTAATATTGTCAAAATGTTATTGGTTTGTGTTATGTGATTTGATAAGCGGCGGTTCCATTAAATTGCATTTGTTGCGTTTCCCAGAAAATCGTCAAACAATAGGTCTGAATAAATTTGCGAAAATGAGATATCTAATGTTAAGAGCGTTAATAATAAAATATTCTGTCAAGACTGTGACACGATTATATGAAACATCGAAGCTTATGAGACGCACGTATATGCTGCACAGTTAAATAAGCGTTCTTGCATCGGGCACGGATGATAATAACATTATGAACTTCTGCCATAATTGGAAAGACGTAAATGGTATCGTGTACACAGACATGAACGGAAATCGCATGCAAAGAAATGGACGTGAATCGGAATCGGGAGTGATGCATCAGAATTGTACTCGAAAGTCGTGCAAACGTTAAAAGCACGAGAAAGATCGGATAATTCTTTGCAACTCCTTAATCGAGAGCAGCGTATTAATTTCTTCTGCGACTTATTAACGTAAAAGTGACGTATTTAATATTCGTGTGACACGTTAAATTTGAACATTCGTGTAACTTACTGAATAGCGCCCATTCTCTGGGAGATAAGGGGGAATGTCAGAAATGATTTAATTTCGTTATTTAATTCTTTGGGTACGTTTCTTTTAGACTGCCTATTTTTTTTAAAGGAAAAGTGAAAAGGTAGATAACGTTATTAAATTGATGGGAGGCTTACCACACCGACAGCTTCCAGGGCAAACAATGTTGTTCCCACATACAAAGCAAAATTCCTTGCCGAACCAAAGAGCTGCCTTTCGCTTATCGACGGCATATCATCGAAAACGTAAACCATTATCATTGCCAGTCCAATGAACGTGATCACATTGGCTAGAGTTGAAAACGGCGCTAATACCTTCAAATTTCTTATGTAGTTTATAAGTATCAGCGGTACTAATAGAATCAGCATATGCACTTCTACACTCAACGGCGACCAATACTCATCTGCCACCTGAGAAAGTTATGAGAAATGTGACTCGTGATAACGTAACGTGCTACTTCTACGAATTTTTTAAGATGTCACAACAGGGACCTAGGAATAGGTCGGTCTTGTAAATCGGCTCGTTAGCTATGCGTCTACACGCTAAATTTTAAGCAACGTCTCCATTCCTTCTATGGTCTAGTTTAATCAATTTCCTCAATTTATCCTAATGACACGAGTCGCTGATCCGAGATCATTTGTCTGTTAGTACAACCGAGACTATAAGGACGGAACAATGTTCGAATGTCGTCTGAGAAAATGATGAGAAATGTGATTGTCACTACTCCTAGAATCTTAAAATGTCAGGAGGAGAATTTAAAATTAGGTTGATTTAGATTGCTGGTAGGATTAATCTACAGTGCTCCTACGGGTAGAAAACTCCGAACAACAATCTCCAAACCTCTCCATTCTCTCTATCGACTAATTTAATTACCGTCGTTATTTTATCCTACGTGTATCTGATCCGAGATTATTTTCTTGTCTTTGGAAATTATGAGGGCAACGTTTAAAACGTGTCGTAGGTTTGTGTGAGCAATTGTTTCAGTATTTTCTTTTGTGTTCTCTGCCAAAGTAATCAATACTTGCGTAAGTCTATCGGTTACGGTTTGGTTAATATCAGCCTAATTTTAACGTATCATACAATCACCTGTTTTATATTCGTTGCAACGAAGACAATGTACACGCAGCATATCCCCAGTTGATATGCTATCAGAAACCCATCTACGATTCCTCTGTAAACAATCACTTTCATCATATTGTCGATAGCTGTGTGTGCATTTTTAGCGAGTAATTACAATTATCGTAGCATTCGGTAGTATGTACAGGGTTTCTCTATCGATACAATGTGGAGGAAATAACGTATATATATATGTTCTGTCCTACAGTTAAACTTTTGGAAAACAAATTGTTTATTTTAGCGCTAATCTTTCCCAACTTATTATTCGTTTAAGCAGCGCATCTAATTATATTTCAATCACTGTTACGTGTCGATGAAGAGATCCTGCACATCCTGTGCTAGTTTTCTAACACGAGGGTGCAAACGGGTACAAAGATATTCCTCTAGCCATATTGAGCTTGTTCGATAAGTGTATGAACAATTACCCGGCTCGTCGGTAAATTTCGGAACCAGTCGAGTGCGCGGTATCTTTTCTGCTTTGCAGAAATGCAATTCGCGTGTTGAGAAGAATATGAACTTAAATAAAAGTATTATCAAGTGGACTACGCGATACCTGGAAGGTGCAAAACAAAGCGCAGTTCATGGATGCGAGAGAACCGGTGCGGTTGATATTTTATGAAATTAAGCGTGTGTGGTTAAAGGGGTGACGCATTCATTGGACTACGAACTAAGATCGTAAAACTCTGGGTTGCACACGCGGCTAGTGTCACATTTAACAACCAATCACATACATGTCATACATTCCTTTCGCTTCTTCGAAACGGAGGTTTAAATGAAATCCGTATTAGCGCAAGTAAATGGTTAACTAAAAAAAATAAACATACATACACCATTAATTAACTACTCCCAGCAGTAGCGGTGGGTATACAGAACCAGGAAAGATCCCAAATATTGCTTCGTGTATGGTAATAAATATGATTGGAAATTAATTTTTCCTTTTGATGCTTTCCCTTGCAGTAAGAGCATGATCCCAGGGGAGCAATGTTTGGACTCTTTGAGAGATATTTAGCGAGTACATGCATGTTTCATATCGTATTATGAGTATTGTTTAAACAATCCTTACGGTGCGTGAGGAGCGAACCATCTTAAACATTGTGGTCCCTGTTCCAGGGCGCATTTCATGCTTGCTGGGTAGCTCAGTATAGGAACCTTTAACCGCTTACATAGGGCATACTGAGCCTTCACTAATATGTGCAGGCAGTATGTGCACAAGATCCCAATTAAAATAGTGGCTATTACACCTGTTATAAGTCCACTGTTGTGGAATGCATTTGGCATCGCCAAAATACCGGTTCCCAAGCTGCCTTTCAGTAGATGAATCAATGTCTCTGCGTTCCTAAGGATGATCAACATTTCAGATAATTACGTTTGTTATATATTATTCATGTAAGAGATTTGTAAAGGAGTAGTGGTTTCTTGATTGTTGATGTCAATGAACATTGGAAGAAAACTCATGGTAAAGTATCGTGCTGATCGGTTGAAATTTTCACACTGTTCAAATTTTTCTTTATTTAAGGGAATAATGTTTAGTCTTATACTTACGTGGTAGGCTTTGGTCTGTTTCGGTGCTTATGAGGGTCGTAGTTCTCCGAATCTAACGATGGCAACGCATTTGGTTCTGTCCTGAGTAGAGAGTTTTCCGGAGGTTGGCCGTCGCTTCTGTAATTAATTATATTTACATAAGTTAGAATGCTGACCTTAAGAACTAAGCGGAGCGGTTATCGAAAAAAATAGAGTTTGATAAACTCTGTTGCATCTATTTACGTGTACGTGACTTCATTTAATATTCTGGGTCTTATTATTGGATTACAATACCACCTCAAACTCGATTTAATTCTTTATGGGATGAAAATGTAAAAATGTGAAATTGAAGGTGAAACCAAGATGGCAGATGTTCGTCGATTGTCGCCATTTTCTTTCGACGCGTAAAGAATTTCATAGATTTGACAGTCCACGCACCCCAGGGATTTTCTTCGATCGAATTTCCTCGATCGAATTTTCTTCTTTTCTTTTGTTTTAGTTATTGCTATTTTCTTCCTTTTTTTCTTGCACGGCCGCGATACCGTTAGAAGTGGCATTTCTTCACTAGCCGAACTACTAAAGTTTCTCATCAGGGCAGGGAAACAAGTGACTTTCGAATCTATTCAATTCTTTTTACGGATTCCATCTTCAGGATATAGTACATTCAGGTAAAAAAAAAGTGAATCGAAGATACGTGAATACAAGTATGGAACAATTTTCAAATTTTTCATTTTAATTTTCATTGGTAGTGTCGTACGGCGCGAAATTCAAAATGTCACGTGGTGTGTCTGTCCAGCGTTGCCATTGACTTTGTAGTTGTAAGGTCCCTTTTTAGTTGTAACCTAGAAAAACTTTTGCTACCGATGTTTTCGACTTTAGACAGTGAAATGATTGAAAATTAATTTCGAATCAGAGATGACTTGGTCCCGAATCACATATTTTGAAGGAAGATCAGTGGATTTGTTGCGAGGAAAATCATTTGTCAGAATGGAATTCGTAAATATAATGTTTCACTTTGCCGACACAAGTGCGGATAGAGTGCGAAACAAGTGATGGATGCGAGTTTGAATGTAATGAAAAAAAGATAATATTTTGTGCAGGATGTACAAGTGAGATGTATTTCGAACAATGAGTGGTTTGTAATGCAATTTATTGAACAGGGGAGAATAAGTAAATTATCATGATTTAACGAGTGTTCATAATTTTGAATTTCAGTAGTTCAAAATATGTAGGAATGTTACGATGAAGTGAACTTAAACATAAAAATCAGGAGCCATGGTAGTAGATAGTTATATATTTAGAATGATACAAATTAAACTGCCAGATTTTACAATGAGTGTGCCAGTGCGTAACATAATGGGGGAAGCAAAACAATGATGCTTACTTGTACGGACTTGGTGTATCGATAAGCTGCATGTTAATTGTTTCCCCATTCTTATTTTCCATGGTTTTATACTAGTAAATACGAGACTATGGTGTTCCTAAAAAAGATAAAATATATTTAAGATATACTTTCTAGGTTTTCTTATAAATTTTAATATTTATCAGTGTTTGTTCGATGTAACGGGAGAAACAAGATGGGTTATATGATCTGGTTTACTCTTCCTTTCCAACCATATTTATACATTTTGAGTATTAATTAATCTTGAATGAATCTGATACAAATTTTCAAAAGTAAAAGCGTTTCTGAGAAGATTGATCTATTTTATTCTTTGTGCATCTAATAATCCTGAAATGTAATTTCTGTTATGTATGTTATTATTAAATTTTCGACGAATGCAGAGATGACCTTGCAAGAAGCTGAGAACTATTTTCCATAATCGATAGTTCCACCAAAGCTTCTGAGACATTTTGATATAATCGATATAATCAATCACTTTGTTTTAATCCTGCAGCTTACGTTATTGGCAGTGAATTCATATATTATGTACTTATATATTAGTGCTATTGATGGGCTCATTGATGTTTCAAATCTTTGTCTATCCCTTAATACGTGATGTCTTAATAAGACATATAATACAAGATTAATCTTTCGATGAGTCAACCATCACATCGACGACTTCTCTTTGCATTTAATTTCCTCCTAGAAACTCCAAATATTGATCAATTAATTATTTTACGGGTTTCTTTTACAGAATTTACTTAATAATAAGCCTTTGTTACCAAATTGTATATTTTGTGTTATTAAAAATGACTTTGCATCAGGCGACGTGATATCTTCTTTAAAATGTAACGTATATTAATTCATGGAGCATTTCCAAATGCAACTCTTATTTCCAACGTCGCATTAATTTTCATATCTGCTATGTTCCAGAAGGTAATAATTTTCTGTAACGTTCACATCTTATACCCTTGACAATTCTAAACAATGACGGAAGAATCAATGCACACTGTTATCCACAACAGACTGGTCAACCCAATTTTCTTAACAGATATTGTATAAATTAGTGACCTAAATATTGCCTCGCTTGATCAATGCCGAGCACAGTATCATTACTTTACAGTTCTTTAATTAATATCAAAGCAATCCCGTGTTCACGACATATATTCTTCCTTGAGGTTACTCATCTTATCCCAGACACCTCATAATAAACAATACAATTATCTGTTAATATCGTGCCACTACCCTCTTACTTGCACTCCGAAAAGTAACACCTTCACTCATGCTTAGTGTATCTTTCGTAGCTCAAGTATTTCATTTTTTCTGTTTCTTTATTTCTTGATAGTGGGTTCCAGAATATCAATTCAATAAATTCTTCATCTTGATGATCGCAAGTAACAATCTTTCGTTTTTCAGATTTTTCTCAGCCTAATTTCGCCGTTGCTGAAGACCACTGGCAGTCCTTTTAAGAGAGAGAACACCCTGCTTCAAGTATTGAGTTTCCAGCTGGTGGTAAACTACCCTGTGGGGCGATATGTCGTCACTTCCTGAGGGCGGTTCATTCGAGGCAGGAAACGTATGGAAATGTGCAAATTGACAGAATGCGACATCCAGCTTTATCATTCGTCACGTAGGAAGTGAATGACCTCGTGTTCATCATTTGTATATTAACCGTGAGGATTTTTGAAAGAGGTGCGCTCTTGGTAACAGAATTGAATATTGCATATAATTTTGCAGACTCATATTTCTGTTTTTTTTTTCAGCGTTACTGAAAACGACTGGCAGTCTTCTAATAAGAGGGAATACCCTGCTCCAAGTATTGAGTTTCCAGCTGGTGGCAAAGCACCTCGCGGTGCGGAATGGCGTTACCCCTTAAAGGCGGTTCGTTCGAGGTAAGGGATGGACGGATAGTTGGAAATTAACAACATTTATATCGTCCATATTTATGATTCATTATTTAAAAAGTATATCTCTGCTTTGAATTAGAACATTCTCGTTCTAAATGGGTTAGTGGCATAGTTTACGTGAGCTTGAAACAATTTGTCAATATATTCTATAAACAAGGTACTCACATTCAAAGCACCTGTTGAAGCGCCCGTCCCCCGATTCGTAGGAACCTTATTAAAAAGTCAATGGTATTCAAGAATCCACGGTCCGCATGTAACAATTCACATTGGAAAAGTCTCCGTTTTAATGAAAATAATCGTCGAACAATTGTGAGAAAAACTGAACAAGGCCCAGTAATAATGCTTAAGTACACCTGGTTCAAAGAGTCATCTAAGTACGTACTATGGCATACTGAAATTATTCCAAACGTTGATTTCCTTCGGAGATTATTCCTGGTATAAAATTCCAACGAGACCACCCTGTTTCTGGTGGACGCCTCTTTGGAACCGAAATGTGGACTCACCTGAAAATGAAATCGATTCGCTGTTAATGAAATCTCTTCGATAAATAATTCTCTTTTTTCATTTTCAGATTCCCGTCACCCCCTGGGAGGTTTCAGGGGCCCTTAACGAGCACTGTCCATCCGGGATTGTTTCCTGCATCAAACGAGTCCACAAAGGTCCAGCATACGTTACCGGACCCACGCAATGCCAGGGATAATCGATGATTTACGTTCCGTGAGTCACGATTAATTAATTGCAACGCATCTGACAAAGGGGAGTCAAAAGAGAGGAGCAAAAGGCATTTAATCCACGGTGCCCGTCCACTCATAATGGCCGCGTTTCACATGATCGTTTCGTTACATGTTCCGCAACCCCATCGGCCCAACCAACGCAAGGACGAGTCGATCCAATTAAGTCCAGGCTAATCGTGACTAATTCCGAGGTGATTTCAACGGGGAACCACCACGGGGAGAATCGATGCAGAGAGAAATAGTACTCACCAGATGTGGCCCTGCGACACTCCGCGGTTACTATTCGCGAATTGATTGCTCTTAATCGATACATTGAGGTCAAACGCTATTAACTGAGGATTGCTGGCAGCTTGATGCTTACTTTATTAAGTACTCCTATGCCGTAATACTTGTCTCGTCACCTCTCAATCCGAAGGATGCCGATGGATGCCGACGAAATCGCGATCAGCCTTGCAACGGCTTCGATTTCGTTACCTCCCACACACACAGAAATTTCATAGAAATTTTATATGTCGTCCTATTAAGAAATTCACTCGAAGGAGGCGACATCTTCCTATAGAAAATTGTACCGACTGGTTGCGGAATGTGCAACGATAATCGTATACAATGTTCCCATGAAACAAGAGGGTTGGAACTATCTTTATGCCATTTGCGAGATATATTTATTAATTTAATATTGTTAAGAGGTAATAACGCGAGAGAATTAATTTATAGTGAACTGCGTTAGAATGAGGTTTCTTTAATGGTTATACGGCGAATCGTGTTGGATGCAGCGGAGTGTGGGAAGTACATTTGTATGGTCGCTTTAGGTAGGGATGCGAGAATTTGGATACCGAACACTTGCAGTTAAACAAAAATTCGCTCACGTAATGGTTTTACAGCGTCTTGCATAACCCAAGGTTGCTGCCAGTAATACTTGTCCCGATTTGAAGGATGAGAATGAATACCTATGCCCGATATATACACGTCCTACATAAAACTTCTTGGCAAAACTTAAAGTAATCCCTTTTGTCAAGCCTATGTAAAAGTGTAGATTGGCGGAATGTTTCGCACGTGGAGAATTGAATTAAAAATCTTAAAAGATATAAAAATTAGAAAATAATAATTGAGGCAAATTGCGCGCGTTTGGAACATGCCAATATCCAATTTATGGTTTAAAATCCCGTAAAAATATTAAATTGCTCTGTAGTGAATTTTCTATAAATCGTATACTTTTTAATATTGTTCACACGTTTAATTCCGCCCAACAATAGGTCTTTCAAATGTCAATGGCATAAGTATTTGAGTACTCGTCTACCTGTGGAACCTCGATGATTAGGTTTTGTTAACACAGCTGTAAGGTGTCCTCATCTATCACAGGATTTCCGAAATCCGTTCTCTCGGTTCTTCCTTTAACTCGCGCCTTTATTATGCAACATCGCGCCATGACATTCGCCTTTTAAAAAGTCAAGTTTAATTAAACTTCTCAAGCCCCAAGAGCATGAGCGCATCCTTAAACACGGCTAGCTGTAAATTGATTAATCTTTATTAACACATCGGATGCCTGTCTGGATTTATCGTTTAATTCAATCACTTCTGCATTTCCATTTTTTTTTCCCGAAAGGAAAATTGTGCCATAATAAATTTTATCTTTACCACGCAACGCAAATCTACGATTCCTAGTAAAAAATGTATTTTCCATAGCGACGACCAAAAGCGATTTTAATCCTAAAAATTTGGAGCAACCTATTCGCATTTTTTCTTCATCTGCAATATCGTTATGTCTTCGGGCGTGAAATTTTTTCACTGCCGATAATAACCGGGAATTTATTTATAAGATGGCAAATTGCCGGTGGACTTGCTCGATAACCGAGTCTTGCCCCTCGAAATCTCGTATACTCTCTCGCAGAAAATTCGTGTTCTATATTTAAAAGCGGAAACACAAGTGAACTACATTGTAGCGAGAGTGAGCATAGGTATTCTGAACATTAGCCTTTCAAACAATCAAGTTTAAATAGACTTCCAAAGTCAAAAAAGCATAAATCGCCTCTAAACGTCCAGTCGTACGATTAATTTTTCATTAATTTTTATTAACACCTCGTAAGCGTATTTCCATTCGCGCCTGTGGATCTGAAATTCCACTCACTCTTCTCGAATTCTCTCTTATTCTTTTTCTCTCTTTTAACACAGCAAACCACAACTCACTATTTTATTCTTACTCCGTCAAGAAGACTTAATAGGCGATTTCCTTACATCTTCACGTACGGAATTTTAAACTCTCATTAGGGACTTTGAATTAATTCGAGAGGGTACTATGCCGGGTGGATTTGTCCGTTCACCGAGTTCTTCAACACCAAATTACGTGCACCCTTTCACAGAAATATCGTGTTCTATATTTAAGAGAGGAAACACAAGCGAGCTGCGTTACGGAGCGGCTGCGCATGCGCACTCGCGGTGGAAACTAATTTCAGAGAAACGGCGATCCAGAGGTATCGGCAGGTCAAGTAGAAATTGCCCAGCAATTCTATATAACTAGCGAATCAGACGTACGAAATGAATTTCTCAAAAAGACTTCCCTTTCAGGAAGCTCCGAAATGGCTTAAGGAAGGACTCCCCGAATTTAAAAGTGAATTTCATGCGCCCTGTATAATGTCACCCAAGGCTCACATTTAATGTATATATAAAATAATCAGACATTTCATGTTGCAGGTTCATAGATAAAAAATATTATTCCACCCGTTGCAATCGGTATTTTCACCTCGTTACGACGATGTAGTACGCGCAAAGTGTATTAAAAGAAATGAATTTCTCGTTCCAGGCACTCTTGGCAGCAAGTGCTCTTCTTGATCGTACAAGTTGTCAAACGATTTGACATTACCCCGTCAATTCGAGGCCCGTTACGTGATTTAATGGATGCACGGCGGTAGGAAAAGTGAGGATGGCCCAGCTAGTGGTATCCTCTCTGCTCCGAGAATCCGCATTTACGTCGCCTTTGAAGACCTGCATTACTCTAATTACGCAGGTACGGTTAAAAAGTTGTTTAACAGTGCCAGGTCGGCACGGGAACGGGCACGTTATTCCAGGGGCGCAGAAATCCCACTGCATTCGTCGTACTTAACGTGGAAGATGTACTTAAGGAGGGATTACCGAGGCCTGAAACCGCGAGGAATGTGCAACTCGTTTCCGCCCCGGTCGAGAGTTTATTCTTATTTCCGGCGTAATGAAAGGTTATTGGTGGAACCGGCCGACTTCTCGAATGACGAGCGAGACTCGAGTTGTCTCGTCGATGGGAGAGGAAACCTAAGGGCGATGACTCGGGCAGGCGCATGCCGAGAGATCCTATCCGTTTTCCCTTCTTCTTGACGAGATAAAGTTTCCTTTTTTTTTTTCTTAATTTACCATACGCACACACGTCTTCAGAATGATAATTATTTTAAGTAATTATTTTTCAGAGCGGATTGCAGGGAGGAGATTATAGAGAGACCAGCCCATACATTGTTATAAAGTATTATTCTTTTTCCCGATTCGACAGAACGTTACAGGTGATAACAAGTATGTATTACTTTTATTACAGGAGTTTGTTTAACGCGAATCTCAAGGAAATACGACAATAATTTTCCCTTCTTTCGTAGGATTTAGGGATGAAGGAAATATTTAGATTCTGGTACTTGTAGCCTTTTTTTAAAATGGATTTACCTATCCGGGCATACTGGCGGTATTACAGAATGTGCGCTGTAAGTATGCCTTTTAGTTTGTTAACGCAAGACTTTGAATTTATTCCCTTTACCTTTGGTCAGAGTGAAATGTTTAACGTACCTAATTTTTTTGCACAGCTTGTTCATGATTACGCGTTTAAGCGGTAATTAAGGGGCGGACGTGCAGCTTGGCGGGATTGCTTGCCGAAGCTTTCGGTTGTTTCCGGCCCGAGGAAGGGTTAACTAACGATGTAACGACAAGTGCGGATGTCTCGGAAGTTGTCCGACTTACCAATCCGAGGAAGGGGAAACTAATCGCTCGTTAGGGGACAATTCGGCAGCGGTAATGCGTCCTCGGTGGTGGAGTTCTACCGACTGTCTCATACCGACTACAAGTGCTCCAATTTCCTCCGAGCTCAGCACGGTATTCCATGTCACGTGATTCAGCCGGACACATCCGATGCGGCTCGCCATGGTTTACTCCTTTATTTATTATTCATTTTCAGGGATCACATCTGGATTCATTGCCAGGGCCATTAGTGATCAGCCCTTAGAGATTTACAGCTCGCAGAGAAAATGGCGTTCCACGTTTGAATATGCAAAAATTAGGAAGGTTGCATCGCAAGCCGAATATATCATTCGATGTCATGGTCATGATCTCTAAATATCTCTTACATTGCTATTTTGTATATTATTTATTGACTGTTTAATATTAATTTCCAGGGATTTCCCTTGAATTTATTATGAAGACAATTGGCGTCCTTCAGAAGTTTCAGGCTTACAGGAATTGCGTCTTTTGGAGAATTGAAAAAAAAGAAGATATCATCGTAAGCAAGATATTGCACTTTTTATTCACGTCGCGCAATGGATTCGAGCTGTTTTGCTGAGGACAGGATGGGAGTCATTGAATGGTTTATGACGAACGTTCGCAATTGTTTTAAACGAGAAAAGCCAGCACGGTTACGTCTCACTGGTTCGAAGTAATTCATCGTTGACTGATAAAACTGATATGTATCAAGGAAGTCGAGTCAACTAATGAAAACAAGAGCATAAGTCTTTGGCGGTAAGAAATAACGAACATCGGGAGAGAACGACTATTTCACCGTAAACATTTTCGATTTCTGTAACTTTCACTTTCAAATTTTAAGACATTTTTAAGCAATCTTGATATTTACAAGAAAAAAAAAAAAAAAAAAAACACGGAACATTCAACGTTTACGGTAATTTTTAATATATTATTGTACTTAAAAATAGTAGTGCAGAAGTGGAAGTAAAAATGCGGTTCATGTATTTGGTGATTCAAAATGTGTTGAGGAAGAAGTGGAGATGACGATGACATTAGGTCCGGAAGGGTTGGAAAGTGGGACGAACTGATTCCCCTGTAATGTTTCAATTACAATCTATGTACAGAGTCCACGGAGTAGTTCTTATGAAAAAAATTATATCTTGAAAAGTTTCTAATAGCGTACGAATGGTGAAATAAATACAAGTCTGGGTATACAGGTGATCATTACATTTTAACTTCAACGTGTACTTTATTTTACAGACGTTACATTATCCTACAAATGTATAATTACTGTTCGAATAAGTTAAGAGTGTAACTGTATAAGTGATACGCGATCGGAGCATCATTAGGGAGATAGAATGAAAAAATCGAATAACAATATGTGCGTCAAGTTTCGTGGATTTCTTTCGTCGAATAGTTAAGCAATATTGTGCTTTACGGATATCGATGAGATCTGCTTTGTAAAATGTACAGGACGAATTTACAACGCCTCCTCGTCTTGGCTATTAATATTACTAATGTTACTAATGGCACACAGGATCCCTGGATATCCGGAATCGTGTATACAAATATCTACAGTGCGGTTTAAGTTACTGTATTTCTACTTATACCTAGTGAATGCGTAAAGTAAGCTCCATGTTTAACGAAATTATTCTGTGAGTTGGATACTGTTCGGTAAAAATTAAGAAAGTAGACATTTGTATGTACTTTTACGATGAACAATTTTTAATTTGGATGAATTACTGTTTGCCGGGGTTAAAGCGCAAACTTATTGATATCGTTTACTGTATAATGATTGGAAAAACCAGATGAATATCTGACTTGTCCTGATTTTTACAACTAGGCAACAATGAGAAATTTGTAAGTCAACTGATATGAAATTTTGACGGTGTACGTATATACAGTATGTATCATTACTAAGATATTAGCGTTGTTATACACTAAAACGATACAAACATATCACGCAGTACTTGTCAGGAACTTAACGGTTGTCCTTAATAATACTTTATGTTGTACAAGAAGGTACGGTTATTAGTGCAATTATTATTCTAACTAGTTCGGTAAGCTACACGCGTCACGGCGATTTTCTCCTTCTTTTTGCCATTTGACAAAAATTCCTTGAACTCGTACTAACATTTGTAGACAAAGAGACACTCCGTGTCGGAATATTGCGGACGTAATTCTAATAAACGACGCGATGATTGTTCGACAAAAGTTATTACTGGTATTTACGGTACAGATGAGCGGAGAAAATGGACATTAACGATATGAATATAAATATCCTAACTTGCAAATCTATTAAATTAATTAAACTATTAAAGAATAAATATAAGTTTACTGACAAATTTGTAAATACTACTTGATCAATTGGGGTAGTTGAAAGAAGTTGCAAAATCATAGACAATTAGACAATAAGAATTTATGGATAACGTATGAGCTCAAACGTGTTGGTAATTATTGACATTTCGGTTTGGTTTTTTTAGCTCTAACATTATTTTTTAGCTTTAACATTATTTTTATTGTTCCTTTTACTTGGCCGTTCAATTCATGAATACATGAAGTAAACAAAATGCTTTACTACATGAGTCCATTTATCATCGGGTTTAACGTCCATTTTCCCCGCGAAATATTCTGCAAAAAATTCGACTTAATTTAAAACTACTGCAATATATTTGTGCGTTCGCTATGCGATCCTCTATATACAAAATAATTGGCCTCATTGCCGCGCGTACAGCAAAAAGTGCATGTCACTAATACTACATGGACGTCCATTACATTTGTCACGTTTCCTCGATTCAATTATTTCATCCAAGGAGACAATACTCAATGATATTGGCTACACATTGTACAACAATTAAACCTCATAAAAAAAAAAATTCTACAGCCAAGAAAATCTCGAAATCACGACATCGCAGTTTTGTATCTGAAATACAAATGTGCGGATGAAAAATTATACGGAATTTAAATCATTCAACATTTTTAGGGTTTAATAGATTTCTACAATTAACGATTAGGCTCGGTAATTTCTGAGGAAACGGGACATTTTTCGGACGAACTTTTTGTAAAATAGCTCTTCAGGTATGCAATTAATTACATTGCATTATGAATTGTACTACTCGCCCCGTCAGGAGTCTTCGGTTCTATTTTTTTTTTTTTCTACACACACACGTCCTCGATTACGTTATCTTAAACATTATGTACGTCTCACTTTCGATGACTGGAATGTACAATTATTTCTATGTCCAGCTCGAGGATGGCTCGTCGCACTTCACATTCGAGCGTTGGCTTTATTCTTGGTCGGTTTTTGTTCTCTTATTTTCTCTCCTCTCGTTTCTTATGCATTCGTTCGATTCGGCCGACAATGAGCACTTTCGCGCACAGTGACGAAAGTGTGTCGCTATTAATGCAACGAGACACGTGATTTATTCCGAATTAAATTGTCACATTGGCGTCGATTCAAGAAAAGGTCGTTATAATGTCCCTCAGGCTGGTGTAGGTCCCTACGATTAGGCCTAGAATGCCGAAAAGAACCAAAGAGGTGTTCTTTGCGAGCATGAGAATTTTCTCGTTGCCCTGGATTACGTTCCAAAATGTACAGCTCTGTATAATTGCAGGAAAAGCCAGGCCCAAGGCAGACAAGCAGAGAGCCCCGAAGAGGGAGATGAAGAGCTCCAACTCTGGGATCGCAACGGCGAGTAAAACTGAAAAGGTAAAAGAAAAAGGTTATTCAGGATTTAAATAAAAAAAAAAAAAACAAGAGTATTTATCCTACGATATAAACTTATTCATTTTTTCATTTCTTATCTTTCTTAATTTCAGGACAAGCGTGCTTGGAAGACGCAAAATGGGAATTTTGGATAACTTCATGAATTTAGGATACAATTAAAATGCTTGAAACAATCTCCCTTCACAATCTGCAAGCTTGTACGTATTCCGATCTCTCAATCTTGTAATATTTAAAAGTGTCACCTTTCGTCAATCGTATTCAAGCATGACGGATTTTTGCGAAGACATTTAAGCTATAGTTCTTTCTTTTTTCTTTTTCCGTGCAATTGAGATATTAATTATTCGTTTATGAATAGTAATTCCAGAGGGTACTTACAGGTTACGAGTACGAGGCAGGTCCTGACGAAGTACTCCCAGAAGAGCTTGTGGGAATTCGACTTGAATTTGTGCCCGAGGTAGTCGTTCCAGCATATATCAACTGCCACGTAGCATTGCAGAGCATGTGTGACGTAAATGGCCAGTGCCAGCAAGATCTGCACAACTTTAGCGGGTATCTCATCGTCGGAAAGACTGAGAGTAATGCTGCCTTTGACGCCATTTCCATATCTCATGTACCCGAAGAAACCCATGCCGACGTACAGAAGAATGATCGTGGACATCCCGATATTAAGGACTCCGCACGATTTCCCAAAAGACCTCGGAGTCTTCATTTCGTTCTCCAGCGGCATGATCTGTCGATAAAGATTTAATTTATAACCCCGTCTTGGCAGGAATTAATCATAGAATGTTTATCAAACGTCTGGATCTACTCTTGAGGGAGAATTGCGATGAACGACAATGAGGTCGTGGAAACATTTTTTATGTGACAATGGCGATCAAAAGGGGAATTTTAGTGATACGAAATTTCCGACTTCATCACCAATGTGAAATGGGTACTATGTAGCTAATGAAATTACGAGGAGCAGGGATGGTTTTTTCAACTTACCACGCCGATAGCTTCTAGAGCAAAAAGTACGGTGCCGAAGAATAGAGGGAAATTCTCCACTTTTCCAATCGGGTCGCATTTCTCCAAACTCGGCGGCACTCGGAATATGTAATACAGAATTATCCCGAAGCTCACCAGGGTGATAGCATTCGCGATCGTGGAAAATGGCGCCAGATATTTCAAATTTCTGACCCAGTTGATCAGAATCAATGGCAACAGGAGTGCGAGCATGTACAATCTTTCGTCGATCGGCGTCACGAAGGAATCCAGGGCCTGATAAGAAACAAAAATTAATAATTAAGGAACATTCAATCACTCATTTTAAGTATTCTCTCGAGACGCTATTGTTGCGAGCGGATTTACTTTTCGTTATCTTCGTTAAGCTCTAACAAGTTTTGATCGAATTTCGGGAGGTTTATTTATTGATGTTTATGAAGGCTTTGTAATTACGTATTTCTCTCGAGAATTCTTGGAGTTTCTCTTAAGCTCGTATTATCGGTTAAAGTCCTCTCGCGTGATCTGAAATTAATTCGGCTATCGGCAAACTCGATCGGCAGTGATTGAACTATATCGGCTATCATCTCCAGGCCCTTGTCGGCGAAATAATTCACGATTCTTAGTTTCTTTTTTCCTCCTCTCGAAACTTGTCAAACTTTCCGCTTGACTTGCAGTCGCTTCCGAGGCTTTAAGTGCAGAATTATTAAGAGTAGGTTCGCTCAATCAGATGTGATTGAATTGCCGATTGGGTCGATTGAACGGACCCAGCCTTGGCTAATGTTGTAAAAACTAAAACAACCATATTATCCAATTCCGCCTCGCTATGCATAATAAACGCTCGTTGAGGGAATTTATCGGAAGAGGCCCAACTATTTTTAACTGCGGCCTAAGAAAGTGGTTTTTACGATTCGCTTATAAGAAAAATAAGAAAAAAAAATAATCGCAAGTTTGGCTATATCTTCTATCCATTATTGTTCCTCTATTTTAAGCCATGCTAGTTGTTACTGCCGTTAGATCGATTTGTTGATGCGTATTCGCTGAAATTCAGGCATGTTGTTTCGTCGGTACAATGACGTCAAGAGCAGCCTCAATCCGTTCTCTCTTAATGAATTGTCGTGCCTTTCCAGTGAACTCTCTCATTTGACTGTCATTTTCTTGACATTGTTTAATTACAGTCCTGTGGTGCGATTAATAAGACTATTTTTTTTATAAATTCTGCGCGTTCAGGCTAATGTCTCCTTTGTTGATATTGGTATTTCTATTTGCATACGAGTTGAGTATGTACGGGAAAAGTGCTTTAAAATTGGTAATTAATTCCCTAATATTTTTGTCTATATTTATCGGTAATGAAATTGATTAAGAGAAAGGATATATAAATAATTCCCTCGTGATATTTTCTTAGACAGTTGCACTGAAGTCGAATTGTTCTTGTAACCTTAATTTAATATGGGACTTGATTTATTTTGTATTTTGCCTGAATATGCATTACAGTCATTACGTTTATGTAATACATCTTGCGTAGAAATCTAGAAAACGGCCTCTGGGAGGTTAAATACCGACGTTCTCCTAACGGTGTACAATAATAACGGTTGCAAATGATCTAATCGCCATATTATTCGTCACTTCGCGCAATGAGTAAACCTTTGCAAGGCCACGTGCAATAATTGAGGATGTAGGCGGAGTAACGACTTAACTGTCCTTAAGTCATTGCAATTTCAATTCCACTTTCCAAACTCTCGTTGTCATCCGCAGACATTTAATGAAACACAATAGCCAATGCAAAATACAAACTACAAAATGTCATGCTACCATTAGTGCCGTTTTTGCAATTTTGCAATATTACTTACCGACTTAAGATTTTGCGCGATGAATACCACGTAGACGCAGCAAGCACCCAGTTGATAAATTAACAGGAAGATATTTACTACATGCCTGTGAACAAGAATTAATCATTTAATTTTATTTCTTATGCGTAAGATTTTTCTTAAAAAAAAATCTAGCATATCGTTTCTCTTACCAAAACATGATAATGTATCTGATAAAGACTTTTTACCTTAATGGCGGTATCTAGATGTACCAAATGGTTTGAAACGCTTTCAATTAATTAATTATAATAATCTGTCATTTACCTCGCCGAGCTCATAAAGTGCATTCACGATGCGAGGTAACATAATACACTGCTCGCATAAAATGCTATCACCCGTGCAGAATTCTTATCATCTACTTTTGATTAGATCAGTTTACACCCGGTGCATCCTTCTCGAATTCCGAGGCATTTTCAAATATCACCTCCGTGATATATCCCGATGATAATTAATTGCATCCTCTGCATCTGTCGGTCCTTGGCTCTTTTCCATCGCGGGAAGATCAGTGACTTCGATGCACGTCTTGCAACTTTATGTATCGTCACGTGAGTCACGATCACGCTACGCTCAGATTTTCTAAGTATCTTTTGCTGATTCTGCGGATTCCAACTACGCACATCTGCCGGTTCAATGTATCTCTCGCGCCGTTTAATTAGACACGAGATATTTTCGAGAAAGTGTAAGGCCAGTCGGCAGTTCTTTGTTATCTAACCCCAAGCCTCTATGTAAACTCCAATTAATTAGTTTTCATTGTTATTCAGCGGAAAATTCTTACAGAGCGACAAAGGTGGCGTTAAAATCGAATCTCTCGACCCTAAATCCTCAAAATTGTATTCAAGATAAACGAAGATTAAGGAAAAACATTGAGGGCCGATAACAGAAAGGAATTAATTATTCTTATTAGTGGGTTTATAATCCAGGGTTCATTTGTTCCTTATGTTTTAATGAAAAATCGGAATTTTCGCTTTCTAAAGCGCTTTCAGACATTTTCTGAATTCTGAGCTTATAGGGAAATAAAAAAGAAATTCAAGACAGGCACAACGGGATCACTTTGTAATCACGATAAGGAATGATTATCTCTTATCGGGTACCGATTTAAGAGCAGGAGGTGAGAAATTCTTCAAGCGACCACAATTCTACATAACGTTCGACCTGACGCTTTAAAAAAGCCACGGGGAATCCGCGGTGTACCACACGTGGAGAATTGCATACAACATTGTGGACAATCAACTCCGAAGATGAGATACCTGTTGCGCCATTTTGAAGTGTGACGAAATGCATGCCCATGAGCAGAATGGCCATTCAGGTAAAACCAATGCAATTAGACTCTGACTTGACCTCTGCATCCTGTCGAATAATTGAAAGTCCCACTTTAAAAGAAATACAAACAATTAATCACTTTTTATTCATTTGCAGACGGCAGAGATAACCAGGAGTAGGCCAGAGAGGTTTAACGTTAACATCCTCGTCTCTGCGTGTAAATTATTTACAGCAACCTCGAGGAATGCTAAATTTTGCATACAATTTTCGGGCCAGTCAACTCCGAGGCGGAGACACCTGTTGCGCCATTGAAGGTGAAGTATGACGAATTGGTATGACCATGGATGGGAGGTAAAGAGGCGCAGCAGGACTTAGAGCCTCGTAAACGTGCGTCAACCAGAACCCTCGACATGTATCGATGTACCGACTATGCATACGACTGTACTTCGGATATGTCGAGGATAGTCCTGACGTCATTTCTCGTCCGAGGTTGACCACTATCGTGGCATAAATCCGTGGCCGTGCCTACCGGAAGTGACCGTGTCGAGGCATCGTCCGGTTCTTCGTTTATTTCGGCTCCGATTGATCTGCATTGATATAGTAAATCGGCGCAAATGAACCGAATACTTCAATTTACGCGGCACCTTTTTTTTTCACGAGGTAATCCATAACACTATTTACCATGTTAGTGGATTTTTACTTGAACCAGATGTAATATTATATTATAACTTTCTTTAATTTAACTTAGATGCTGGATGGGAGATTACGGAGACAATGTAATTTTGCTGCAATTTATTGTGGTATCATAAAAATGACCAATGGGAATTTTTATCAGTGCACGTGGTACTCCGCTTAAATTGAGGGACGGGCGCACGAGCATTTTCTTTTATCTTTAATCGAGCCTGCTTGTATGTTTAAGATTTTATTATTCAACTATTTTTTAAAGTATGTAAACCAGGTATTAATTGATATGTTCTGTTTTAAGGAATGGCTTTGTATTAAAGGAGGATATTTCATCGAAAGGAGTTCCTTGGAAGAAGTGTAAGTTACATGTGTAATAATTCTCCACGTGCGTAGAGGGTAAGTAGAACATATATAGAATATTTCAAGTTATCTATGACAAGATGTTGACTAATAGATGAAGTTAAGTATTCGGAATATTCGGTTCTAGGTGCATGTTCCTATACGCATTTCTTCGAGATCGCGACCGAAGTAGACGACACCTAGGAAATAATTTGCCAAGGAAGGAACATGACATTGAAGACGTTTACGAGCGTGGCAATTGGTGAGAAGTACCGATCAGAGAGACTCATGATCTATTAATAGAGAGTAGACCAATTAAACTTGTCGCGGAACAACTTCCCCTTGGGTTGAGCATTGATACGCCCAGGATGTGTCATCGAAGTGCCAACGGAAGTCCGGTTGAGGGATTCCCGACAATTAGGGGAATCTAAGGGCCTTGGAAATAGGAAATTGATTAACAAGTAGCGACCACTAAAATGAACTTTCCACTTTCCCATATAATTTAGGAAAATATGAAAGGACCTTACGGATCAATTAAAGCGGCATCGAGACGCCAGGCGACTTCTTTGATGACGGCCGGAATAATTTCCTGACAATGTCAACCTTTGAGTCAGTGCTTAACGTCCTGTGACAAGAATCTACCTAGACGTAGATGGCTCGAGTCGCACAGCCCTGGCCTAAATTCGTAAGTCTACCGGGCCTCTACTTGAGACGTGCTCAATTCAACTTCCGGAACCCCTAAGTGTCGGTAATGCTCGCGATACGTTCCCTTTTTCCAGTAAGCGAGAAAATAAGGGCAAAAAGGAGTCGACGGACATTGTCCGAAGCAATTAGAACGGCTCCGATATCGGAGGTAACTCGTTTAATGACACCGAGAACACATTTCCGGACTTCCGAGTTAGTGCCCAATGTCCCGTAACGCTAATCTACCTTGATGTAGATGGTGGCCCAGGTCGCACAGCCCTGGCCTGAATTTTTCTGCTAAATCTATGGACTTCCATGTGAAATGCGTTCAATGCAACTTCCGGAAGCTTGTAAGTTGATGTACTTGAGAGGCGAATGCTTTATTTTTTTCTGCTTTCTAGGGGTTTGTCTGGGACCCGAATAAAAGCTCGATAAGTGCCTTTCTGGACCTAGTAGCTGCTAATTAAAGGCATAATTGTCAGAATCATTGCACCTCAATAATTCAAACTTGTGTAACTTCGATGGCAGGTGGAGTGAAATCCGAGTAAAGTATTTATTCATTAAGAGTTCTCTTAAAAGTATCGATCCTTGGGGCGTGGTCGAAATTTCTAAGTTGCTCGTTACATCTTACCCCGAGAATAAAATTCCCGTCATCGTTTAATGTACGTCGTATGTAAACGCGCCGTTTAATACGTGTACGCAATTATTCGGAAACGATGAATAAACTATGCAAGTGCTCCGGATGTCTCGGTATCTGAAATCTTAACTCGGTAGCGAACTCGGATGCGAATCACGCGCTGCCTTTCGTTAGAATTATGTTTTCAGAATACGTGACAATTTGCCATCTAGATACCGCCAGCAAGGATATCTAGGTGTAATAAATGTACGTGCGGGTATTACGAAGGAGTACTTACACGGCCGATTTGGAAAATCGTCGCAATATCTTCGGACCTTCGCTTAACGCCGCTTCCGCAGTCGCCGGATAACTCAAGGAAGGTACTTTTTTCCTCCTGCACAATTCGTACTGAGCCTTTATCAGCAGGTGTATGCAGTATGTGCACAAAAGTCCAATGACAACAGTCCCGATCAAGCCGACGACGTACCCTGCATTGGCAAAGGCTTTTGGCATGGCCAAAATCCCCGTCCCCAAACTTCCCTTCAAAAGGTGCAGCAACGTCTCCGAATTCCTGAAAAAAAAAAGAAAATGACAAAATCAATGAAATTAAGATTAACCCGATTATTAATGATTACGCCTAATCAGGTGCCTCGGGAAATGACAGAAATTAATCTGGTAATTTTTTTTTTAAATCTGTGCCATTTTTTTAAGGATCTATTTTCCCCAACGATAGTGCGGAAAATTTGCAGGTTGCTTTCATTAGCAAGCTACTTTTTTTCACAATGTTTTTATTAGACAATCACAGCGGTGTTTTATTTGCCTTGTCAAAAGTCTAAAGTTCCATTGCTCCTCCACTTGAATGATAGCGATCACAGGCGACAATCATGCTATCAACTAGGAGTCTGATCGTGCGAAAGGCAAGGCTGAATTACTCGGTAGAATGCCATCGACACCGTACTTAATGTTAATAGACAGACACTTTCATACAAATGCGATGTACATTTGCGGGGGGTTGGCCGTGGTAAATATAAACTCCACTCAAGACCATTCAGTATAGCAGTTTATTCCATCACCGGAACGACAATTTGATCCGGTCACCTAACACTTTATGATTGAATAGTGAGAGCAAATTGTTGCAAATAATACAGCTCTAAAAAAGGAAGAGTCCTTTTCCGGCGTCCCATTCATTCCCAGTATTGGAACCACGTTGCGCGTTAAATTCATTCCAACGTTCCCAGAGTACCGCATATAATAATCCCTTCCTCAATTTTCTGCTTTCAGGTTGATCTCCATCTCTCGAAAGCTGCGCCGAGATCTCCATTTAACATCGGGAGTAAACGGGGGAATTATTTACCAAGCACTCGATATTACCTCAAATTACACGGGATATCACACCTATAAAGGTAACGAGCCTGTCTTTGCATCATTCAAAGTTATTGCGCCAAATTACACGTGGACCCGTGCGTCATGCTCGCGAATGTGTAAAAGTTCAATTGCAATTATTTCCTCGGCTCTGCTTTTACTCTTCTGGGCATGTAACATTTATTGCGGTGAAATTTATCGAAACGCTCTCGAGGGTATGTAAACCTCGTTAACTTTCTGCTTTCGGCGCGGTTTTCATCTCGCGGGATTTCGGCGGTTGTTAAACCTCGAGGAAGAAGTAATACGACAAGTACGCAGTAGTAATGACCGCCGGTCATAAGAAATGGACTTTCTCCGGTGCAATGACGCGGTTCCCCTCGTTGCGGAACAGGCTCTTGATGAATTCTCGGGTTTTACGGGCCCTTCGTCGTGACTTCATGCCATTGTCCTGTAAGTGGGATTTTATAACAAAAAATCAGCATCGAACGGTAAATATATATGTATAAATTGGTAACGAAAAAAGGGCTTTCCGAAATTGTTAAGATGCTGCGTCCCAACTCGGTGTCATTGCTCCAGAAGCGAAAGTTTGATGTCTGGATGAATTAATAAAGCCATTACTCTCGTGCCCGAGAATTTACACAAAGGTACACCTGAATATGCTTCATGCAAACAATAAACGCTGTTAACCCGTTTTTGCAACAAAGAATGTCCCAGACTGGTCGTTGCCAACAATCGAGCTCAAGGTCTGCTTATCGTTCTTGTACTGAATGCCTCGTTTCGATTTTTCCCCATTTTGTACACAAAACGGAATTTCGAATTCTCTCCGGAACATTTTGCCGGTTGCTTTAAAATATAAATATTACGGAAATTAATACCGTGATACATATGAATACTGCAATTAAATTCAACCAAAATCTCTGCCCCCTTGTACTTCGAAAAACTCTGTTGTCAGGTTATTTTATTCACTTCTCCACGTGTGTTATGCTTATTAGCGATTATTGGCTGACTCATTGTTGCATAATCTATTATTAAATATAGTTTATTTTTAGAGTAGCTGTTATCCACTTTTTCACTCATGGCTCGAGCGAGGAAACTTCGCAGAATGCAGATCGCAATGCATTCTTGCATTGAAAGAGCACGACTTCCTTAGAATGGTATCACCGTGCTAATTATGCAAATCTACGATTCGCCTTGTTATCTTGCCACTCGGTGATAAGGTAAAACATTATTTCGCTTCTAAATAGTGGTAGTAAGTAGTTCAGCTTACGTAGTCGGATGTTGTACGTCTCTGTTCTCATAAGGTTCGTAAGGCTGTTCTGGATCCTTTAAGTAATTCTTCTTCTCCTCAACTTCCGCGACGAAAATTTTACTGCAAGCCAAGTTTATTTATTAGTATTCGATAGACCGATGTAATAAACTTTTATCGTCTAGGAAATTGTTAGTTACCTTCGCGGATAGTCCTTCCCGGTCGGAGGGAGTGGCTTGACGTCCACCGCTTCCTGAAAGAATAAAAAATGTTAAATATTATTAGACGTTTCAGCTTCCAAATTAAATTTTTCTTACGAATCCTTAAGATACCGAAGATGTCAGGCTAATTGTTAAAAACTTTTACAAACACCGGGGAATTATATTCAATTTTATTGTATGATTTTTCCGGGCTCTCTTGCAAAGTTAATCTCCCCAGATCTCTTCCTGAATATTCCTTAAGTAATTACCGGTGAAACATTTTTCACTACGCTTTTTCTGAAAGACGTATTTTAGTTCGATATGTTGTGGAAGGTTCTTCACCTACAACAGTGATGTAACGAGTCGAGCGAGTAAATTTAATCGACTCACGTGCGTACACTTCGTCGGAACGTCATACGCGGCGCACGTTTCCTTCCTGCAATAATACGTCACACGTTTTTATTGATAAACTCGTCGTAAAAGTGCAGTAACGACCACGTGCCGTCGGCTCGTTCTCTAGTTCCCTTTAATGTTCAAAAAATCCCGAAAAAGAATTTAATAATCCCCCAGGACAATTTTCCCATTACTTAATAAAAATCGAGAAATTCGATGTAGTCAATTGGCCGCTTAAAAAAAGAAAAAAAAAAAATCGTCGTGATTTAATAACAAAGGTTAATACGTGTGCCATTCAAGTGATTGAGGAGACATATTTCTACGTTATAATGGTCTTATTATTTCCTAGACTCTAAAGATCTCTCGCGATCGCATAATACGACACCTGGTTATTCGAATCGCGGACTTGTATTCATTTCCTGAGATTATCGCGGTCTACTCACAGGATAACTAACACGTGGACGGTAATTGCGGTTTTCATGAAAATTCCCCGTGTATGAGTCACCCTTAAACGTTGCACATCCTTATGATGTTACGAGGCGTTGCAAACAGTCTGCCAATGTGGCCATTATTCCACGACCAGTTAACAAGAAAATGCACATTGGAATTCTTTTTCCCGACAATTGCAACGTTCCTCATGTGGGTGCATCGCGTGCAATTTCCAACAACATTATTGAACAAGGCCAAGAAGAAAAATTGTCCCGCTTACTAATTAAAAAAAAAGAAAGAGATTCACTCAAGTCAGAATAATCTGCCGATAATTTTCTTTGCCGAGAAAAGAAGACTTGGTATGATAATTTTTCGGAAATGCAATTTCGTGCCAAAATGTCATATATAATGCTATTTAAAAAAGTGTGTTCAATGTGGACTAAATTATGTTCATTAATTTAATTTCATTAGTAATTACGGCGGACGATTACAATTGCACGCTCTTATTATTTGTAAGTTATCTCTGGATTTCTGTAATTTGTGAAAACTCGACGAGCCGCTATTGCTTTTGAAACACTTTCTGCATAATTCTCGCGTTACATGGAAATCCGTTTTAGGTGGCGTTTCCTCGTCGTTTTGCATTCCAACGAAACCTTCAATGGGGAGCCTTGAAAGTTCCATTGCCTCGGAATTATTTCCGTCCACCTGAACCCATAAGCGGTGGTAAGGATTCGACGCGTTCAGCTTTTTAAACGAGACACTCCGTCAGGATAAAAGAGGGAGCGTCCTTGATAAACGTGCTCTGAATGCAGTGACGATTTAATAACGATGCCGGATCTCTTCCACTTAGAAATTGAAGTACATCAGGTTTGGAACGAGCCCGATAATGGGCCTAAGGAAGGTCTCGGAAGGAATAAAAAGGAAGTCCGAATAAAATTATTTCAAACCAAGGCGGTGTCCTTCGAGGCGGACAAGACTCTCCAGGACCCGGGTCTGCGATACTAAACATGAGATAATTGAAAATCGACAATTTATCGCGCCCCGAGAGCGTGTTTCCAAACGAAAAGCGTGCATAAATCACGCGAGGCAATGAAATAACTAAAGCTGCCAATTTATAGATGGCATATAAATGTCCGAGGAAAATTATTGTAAACCGAGGCAGTGTCCTTTAAGAAGGACACGAGTCTGGATTTAATACTGTTCCATGGGAGTTAATTGAACGCGTAAACAATTTATTGCACGGCAAGGGTAATTATAAATTTAAAGTGCATGTCTGACGAGGTAATGAAATAATCGGAGGTGGTAATTTATCACTACGGGAATATTTGAATACGTAAATATTCATATCGAGTACCGGATCTCGTATTTCATGGCGATCACTCGAATGATGATCATCAGGACAGAGTTCAGCCTAATTAATTCAATTTAATGATGGGGATGATGGGAAAATTGAAAATTGGAGGATAGTTTTCATTGCTAGAAATGATGTGAAGGATCGGTACTCTTGAAAGTGATCGTTAGTCACTGTTAATATTCCGAGAGTTATACTTTGTAACGTTAACAAGCCGAGTGCGTAAAAAACACGTGCTCGACAAATGAGAAGGACTTTTACGTCACCTCGATGTAAACTTAGGATTAATCGTACTATTCACGGAAGTGGATCGTGCACGTAGTGCATATTTAGATTCTATGACAGGACTCTAAAATTTCGAGAAATCTGGGAAATTTGCCAAGCGCCATCGTCCGATATATTTAACGTTACGCGCATTTTAACACTATACGTCCATATGGGAAATTATATATTAATAGCACATTTTATTTTAGATTATTACACACTCAGTTTCTAGGTCACGAGACTGTTTCTTTCACGCCTAACATTTACCGTGGAAATATGTAAAAAAGCGTTCGAGCGTTGAAACAGTAACACCCAGTTCCTAACTTATTACTCAATCCGACGTTTATAAGAAACGCTAACTTGCGAAACTTGTTGAAATGAAAGAAGGTTAAAAAATTAAATCGGACATATATTTCAGAATCACGTGTTGATATCCACGATAGAAATAAATTAACGGCGAGTGAGAACCTTTCTGGAAATTCCTGAAGATTATTACGGATTGGAAAAAGTTAAAAAAAAAAAGAAATAAATAGGACAAAGTAGGCAGGAATTTGATGTATTATGAAAAATGAATTATCTACCCTCTTTCATAATTTCAGAACATTTTGCGAAGAGGTTGCATATGATATGATAATGCAGCTTCGATGCTTAGTATTAGTTAATAGCAAAATTAAAGATTTTAAAACGCTTCCATGCAGGAAAGTTTCTCACCAACCTAATAGCGTATGCAAATGCGTTCACGTGGTCGACAAATTAATTCTTAACATTCAAATTTTACACCGCAGGATGACCCTAATGACTCACAGCCCTCAAAGAATTTCTCCAGATTTTTCGTCATCCTCCTTTATAGATGCAGAATCCTTCTGCATTCCGGTCGTATTCATGGAAAATAGTTTACGAGGACCTTTTGTTCATTTCCTGAGTTTAAATTCGATTCTTTTGGAAATACCTCAAAAAAGCTATAGTTAAAAAAACCTATAGTTAAAAACCAAAACCGAGGGAAGAAGAATCAATAGGGACCAGAATCGCTATTTCCTGTAACGATAATCGATTCTAGGGATTTCCTTTGGAATTCCACTATTTTTAATCGTTTCATTATTTCCATTGTTTTCATGCCAATTGGAGAAATGTAGAGTTGTGAGACGAAGAACTGTTGGAGTGAAATAACGGGGTTCTTTTTATCGAGCAAGGTAACTAGCGTGGAACAGGGCGAGAAAGGAAGAAATCAGGAGTGTAGGTCGGAAAGAGAAGGAGATACAGTCATAACAATAGGAATGGAAGCCTAACAATAAAGTGGGATACACCACGGAATATTTTCTCTCCCACCACCTACAAATGCCAAGATACATACACACACATCTCCATTAACATTTCAAGCAGAACTTCCTCGGCCTTCCGATTCCGAGAAAGCAGATTAAGCCGGTTGCAAAAATGCTTCGTCTCATCAGATGTTGATCGAGTAAATGAATAAATTAGTCCACGTCATGTCCCATCGACATCTCTCACAATTTTATATCGTTTTAATCCCCCGTAAGAATTATTATTGTATAAAAACATTGCAATACAATTTTATTCTGCAGCATCATGAAATTCACTAGAATGATATATTTTAATTTTTTATAATTATACTTGAGAATGATCTTGTGTATTTAATATCTATTAGAAATGTAGCGACAATATGTGGAGTATTTTTTTTTTCAGTAATTCAACATCGATTAATTACGATTTAAATTTATTTAAAAGGAGGAACGGTAGGAGGGGATTTATGGAAAAGAGATATAAAAGTCGATGACTTTGACGCTACAAATATTACGACATTAACAATCCAGTGTTGGTTTTGAATGATTTGAAATTTATGCCTTCCCGGAGAAATAGGTAGACACGGAATATTCCTTCACCTGTCAATGTTAATAAACAGCTGTACCAATATTTCGGAAGAAATTCGGAATTCCTCGCAATCCGACGAAGCAACTTTGTCCATCGATTGAGTGACTTCATTGTGTGTACAAATTGCAAACAAGTGATGAAGTGTTATTCGGGTCACTTAGAAAGAATTCATTTCGGTATGGTTGAAAAATAGAGGAAATTAAAACCCCAAGGGGAAACTGGAATGAGAAGAGAGGAGAAGAGATTAAATGAATATGCGTGCAACTTCTATGTTATAGTCATCCCCACTATTAGTAACTATGCCACCGCCCATCTTTAATTGTTCCCAGTTTCTTTCCCGGAATCGTGTTCACCTTGGCACGATATTCTACAATAGACAACTACAGCTGGGAGAGTTAATGTATTCCATTAACCGTTAGCTAAGATTCCGTATTTCGATTTTTATAGTTTTCCCGTAAACCGAACCCAACAGCCTTCATTAACATTTACGATAAATAATATTCTACGGCGACTTTATTGCAGGCATTTTACCACGCATGCGTGCGTTTCGTTTCACTTTCCTGGCTAAGGAAAATATGTCAGAAATCTGTAACGATTAACATTACTCCTTGGAAAAAAAAAAGAAAAAAGAAATCATCGAGGCGAATAAAACACTCCTTCAAAAATTTGATCAATTAGGCATAATCTTAATAAAAATATCCTGCATAAATACAGGTCGATGGTTTGTTT